TATAAGGGAACTTTATTGAGTATTTGTATATTAGATTTTTAAAGTTTTTTATTATAGACAGTTTCAAACATAATAAAGGTAGGGTGAGTGGTACAATAGACGTGACAGGTAATCATTGCTCAGCTTCAGCAATTATCAATATATGGCAACTCTTTTTAATCTATATACACACACATACACTCTCATACACTTTTTTCCTGCCCTGCTAGATTATTTGGAAGCATATTCCAGACAACATGCTCTTTTTAATCAATACTGAGTATGTACCTTTTTTCTCTATAACCATTAATATCCTAAAATAATTAACACTAATTCCTTAATATTATCTGCTGTCTAGCAGAGTTGAAATTGTCCTGATTGACTCATAACTGTGAATTTACAGTTCACACATTGCATTTGGCTGTTATTCTTCGTTTTTTCTTTTAAACTATAATAGCTCTTTTACCTCTTTCCTTCCTTCTTTTTTCCATTATGTTACTAAGAAACCAGGTCATTTGTTCTATGGAATTTTCCACATTCTAGATTTGGCTGATTGTGGCCCCATGGTGTTGCTTAAATGTTTCTTTTTTCCCTGTCTTTCCTCGAAACAGGTAGTTAGGCTTGATTAACTTCTATTATTGGGGGGGGGTGGATAATAATTTCATAATTATTGATGCATGACTTTTTTTTAACGAACTTTATTATTATTTTTATTTTTTTTTTTGCGGTACGCGGGCCTCTCACTGTTGTGGCCTCTCCCGTTGCGGAGCACAGGCTCCAGATGCGCAGGCTCAGCGGCCATGGCTCACGGGCCTAGCCGCTCTGCGGCATGTGGGATCTTCCCGGACCGGGGCACGAACCCGTGTCCCCTGCATCAGCAGGCTGACTCTCAACCACTGCACCACCAGGGAAGCCCAACTTTATTATTTTTATTTATTTTTGGCGGCATTCGGTCTTCGTTGCTGCGCGGGCTTTTTCTAGTTGGCAGGGAACAGGGGCCACTCTTCGTTGTGGTGCACGGGCTTCTCTTTACGGTGGCTTCTCTTGTTGTGGAGCACAGGCTCTAGGCACGCGGGCTTCAGTAGTTGTGGCATGTGGGCTCAGTAGTTGTGGCTCAAGGTCTCTAGAGCACAGGCTCAGTAGTTGTGGCGCACGGGCTTAGTTGCTCCACGGCATGTGGGATCTTCCCGGACCAGGGCTCGAACCTGTGTCCCCTGCATTGGCAGGTAGATTCTTAACCACTACGCCACCAAGGAAGCCTGATGCATAACTTCTTAATATCAGGAAGTATATGATGCTTGGCTGCTTTTGTTAAAATTGATCAGTGGGTTTAGGCACCTGGCACAAGTAACCATCGTGAAGGTCTCCAGCAGCCTCTTATTTATTGATGTTTTTTGCCGCGCCCTGTGGCATGTGGGATCTTAGTTCCCCAACCAGGGATTTAACCTGTGCCCCCTGCGTTGGAAGCACGGAGTCTTAACCACTGCCAGGGAAGTCCCTCCATCAGCCTTTTTGCCTAATGTTTTAGCAGTCACTGATGCTTGCTGCCTGGATCGTTATTCATTAGGGGGTAGCAAAATGTTGCTACTCTAATTTATCATCTCTTCTTTGTTTATGAGCTAGTCTTTTATGAAAGAAACAGTCCTCATCGATCCTTCGATAACCCTGAGGCACAGTTTATATAGGAAAGACAAGATAAATGCTTGATTCTTTCTAGAAGAGCACTTTCTTAGTAAACCTACAATGAACATAATACTTAGATGTGTTTACTTTAATACCTAAAGTAAGAAAAGGATGCCTACTATTACTGCTTTTGTTTAACATATTACTAGAAGTCCTTGTCAACAGTATAAGGGAAGAAGAATAACTATTGTAAGGAAAAAGATAAAATTGTCATTATGTACAGACTATACACATTTACTTCAGGGGAATAAAACAGAATCAGCAAACTATTAAAACTGCCTTGAGTTCATCAAGGGTCTTAAAAATCAATACTATTTCTTTTCATCATCCTTAACCAGCTAGAAAATGAAATTTTTAAAAAATGTGTATCATTAAAACAACAAAACCTAGAAAGTACCTAGATATTAGTCTAATCAAGAATACACAGGACTCATTAAGAAAAATTTTAAACTTCAATAAAAGATATAGGAAATAATCATGGACATGATAATTTACTCTTATCAATAAATTCCAAATAATCTCTGTCAAAATTTTAGCTGGGTATTTTCGAGGAACTCTGTAAACTTATTGTGTAGAAGAATAAATAATAATTCATGAATAGTTAAATCAACCTTTAAAAAAGGAGAATAATGGGGAATTTACCCTATCAGATATTAAGATATATCAATACTACAAAAAGCCATAGTAATACCATGTGGAATAGTATAAGAACAAACAAAAAGATCACTCTTAGAGAGCTTAGATAATAGACCCAAGGATATATGGGAAACTTAATATGTTATATAGGTGACAGCACAATCAATAGGTAAAAGTTACGTTGTTTAGTAAATGGTTTTAGAAAAAGCAGCTCATTATATATGGAGAAGTAAAACAGTATCTCTATCCTGTGTCATATGCAAAGGTAGATTCCAGATGGATTAAACACCTAAATGGGGAAGGTAAAACCAAAAGGTTTAATAGAAGAAAATTATTTTCTTTAAAAACATATATATTTTTGTGACCTAGGGTTGGGGAAGGAACTTCTAAAACCTCAAAGCACAAACGAATTTTTGTGTAAATTTAATTGCATCAAAATAGGGAGCTCTATTTAACAAAGGACCCCATGGGCAAAACTAATATACATGTGACAAATGGGAGACAATATTTGCAATGTTTAAATTGCCAAGTGATTAATGTCCTCTATACTAGATTATATAGGAAACTCCTGCAAATAAACAAGATAAAGAAAGCAATCCCAGCAGAAAAATGGGCAAAGGATATAAACAGGCAGTTTATAGAAAAGGAAATCCTCAAAGCAGTAAGCATATGAAGAGTTGCTCAAATGTATTAGCAGTCAGAGAAATACAAATTAAAACAGTAAGATAGGGGCTTCCCTGGTGGCTCAGTGGTTAAGAATCCTCCTGCCAATGCAGGGGACACGGGTTCGAGCCCTGGCCCAGGAAGATCCCACATGCTGTGGAGCAACTAAACCCATGTGCCACAACTGCTGAGCCTGTGCTCTAGAGCCCGCAAGCCACAACTACTGAGCCTGTGTGCCACAACTACTGAAGCCCGCACACCTAGAGCCTGTGCTCTGCAACAAGAGAAGCCACTGCAATGAGAAGCACATGCACTGCAATGAAGAGTAGCCCCCGCTCGCTGCAACTAGAGAAAGCCCACGTGCAGCAATGAGGACCCAATGCAGCCAAAAAAAAAAACAAAAAAAGACAGTAAGATATTTCATATATGTTAAGCTGGCACATATTAGCAAACGAGATAAAAACCAAATGCTGATGAAGATGCAGGTTATAAAAACTCTTACCAAAAAAAAAAAACTCTTACACACTGCTGGGGCACATGTAGCCACTCTGGACAGTAGCATGGCACTCAGAATTAAAACTCTATATGTATATGACCCAGCAATTCTGCTCTTGCGTTTATATGCCGAAGAAAATCTCAGTCAGATCCATAAGAAAACATTTACAGGGATATTCATTGCAGCATTATTTGGTAGAAAGGCATTAGAGGTAATCCAGGTGTCCGGTGCAGGGATAGTAGAGAGAAAAAATGTTTTGGATACATGCCATGGCATATGATATACCAATCAGAAACAGCAAATCAAATGTACACATACAAAATGAATGAATTATGTTACAGAATTGAAAAAGAACAGAATGAGATATAACACAGTAAGATTTGCACACATCAAAAATACATGCACTCGGGGCTTCCCTGGTGGCACAGTGGTTGATAGTCCACCTGCCGATGCAGGGGACACGGGTTCATGCCCCGGTCCGGGAAGATCCCACATGCCGCGGAGCGGCTGGGCCCGTGAGACATGGCCGCTGAGCCTGCGCGTCCAGAGCCTGTGCTCTGCAGTGGGAGAGGCCACAGCAGTGGGAGGCCCGCGTACCACAAAAAAAAAATACATGCACTCAGTAAACAATAAGGATTTACTGTATGGCCCAGGAAACTATATTCAGCATCTTGTAATAACCTATAATGGAAAAGAATCTGAAATATATATATATACACACACACATATATATATCCAAATCACTCTGCTGTACACGTGAAACTAATAAAATATTGTAAATCAACTACAATTTTAAAAATAAATTTTTTTTAAATACATGCATTCAAAACATTTTGCAAGAACACATACAAATTAAAGGGCATACAATAGGCATAGTAGGGTGGTTGCCTATGAGGATACAGAAACAAGGATAAGGGGAAATTTAAAGATTTTCATGACACCCCATCTCATTTCATAGAATCATAGAAATTATTTAAGATATGATCTGTAAATGTATCTAAATGGCAGTATGATAAAAGCAAATGAAATGATCGAAGGCACCACTGTCAACCCCTTCACTTTGTGGAACTCCTACTCCCCCATCAGGATGTCTTATTAACCACAGGTTTGTGTGACCATCAGATACACAGACGGAGTGTGGAGACCCATGTCAGCTTGCATATTGAACACTTAATACGTTATTACCATTTAAATTAGTTAAAATATCTTAAGAATTTATAATATTTAAAATCTATTCCATATACATCTGTATGTTTTAATATAAAATAGAATTTCCCCAAATCTTTAGGGAAAATTGCCATTCTAGTAATATGTGCCTTCTAAGACCCCCTAGTGCACATCCAGTATGAGAAGCAGGTTCTTAAGCTGACTGCATTGATCAAAGATCTGATAGATCTTTGGGAAAAATAATTTCTTTTCTTCTAACACTAAGGCATTTCACTATTCTGGCTCTTCCAAGATGGATTCCAGTTTGAAATATTATGTGGTAAAATATACAGTTATTTTATGACACTCTGATTTTTTTTTTTCTTTAACTTTACAGAGACTGTGCAGTTGATCCAACTTGTGTTTTATGCATGGAGTGCTTTTTGGGAAGTATTCACAGAGACCATCGATATAGGGTTAGTAATATCCAGATAATAACCACACCTAGTATTGAATTTTATACTCAATACCTTTTCTTCTCAAAATTCCAAGATTTAACACTGAAACAGGGGAGAGTGGTTTAAGAAATGTGTTACTCAAATACCATTAAACATACGATGGCAGTGTAGAGATGAATTATGAATCCAGATTTCATGGAACACATGAAAGACTATAGATAACAGCTATAGTTTAGCTGTTTAAAAGACTATAGATAACAGCTCTTTCAGTATTGGTTTTCAACTAGTTTGTTTTGTTATTTTTTTAATGTTTATTATCTTTATAATTCTAGGTTTATAAAGCAAGTTGTCAAAAATTAGAGGATAAAGGTGAGAGTTAAAATGCAAGAGGGAGGTCCTGAAGGGAGATGAGTGAGCAATGAAGTAAAAGTGACAGGATTATACCATTAAGAAATGGTTCTATCTATTGGTCAGCTTCTACAGAATTGTCATTTCTTAATATTAAAGAGGCATCTACTACAATGTAGAAAAGGGCCAAATTCAGAACATAAGACTAATCAATTTTTTTTTAACTGCTATAACGCAATCAGTAGTTTTCCAAAAATCAAGTATGTTTGCTTTTAAGTCAGGGATACAAAATACATAGGCAGATTATTGCTAAGCCTGTCCTGGTTCCTCTACTGGAAGCTGAAGACAGAGCTATGAACATTCAAAAATTTAGGGAACTGTTAGTAGCTGGAACTTTTCACCCTAATCTCAAATAAAAATAGAGAAGAAATACTACAGTCTTACTAATTCAAGACTTTTGATTCAGGACTTTTCCTCCTGTTTGTTTTTATTTACTCTACCCGAGTATTGTTAACAGTGAACTAAAACAGCTGCAAAATTGAATTCATATTTTTATATGTTCTTTTTTTTTTTGCGGTACACGGGCCTTGCACTGTTGTGGCCTCTCCCACTGCGGAGCACAGGCTCTGGACGCGCAGGCTCAGCGGCCATGGCTCATGGGCCCAGCTGCTCCATGACATGTGGGATCTTCCCGGACCAGGGCACGAACCCGTGTCCCCTGCCGATCGGCAGGCGGACTCTCAACCACTGCGCCACCAGGGAAGCCCTATATGTTCTTTTTATTTTCATAAATCAGTAAGAGAATCCTAGTTTCCTTTAAACTGTTCTACCTATCTTTGATTACCAGAACACGCATAAAAGCTATAGGGTGATGTTATCATTTTCCGTATGGCTGCCTGCCCATGTTTCTTGGCATATATCTTTGCAGCCCCTAAGAATAACTGTCATTTGTGAGTTTACATTAATTACCTTGTGATATGTAACACACAAATACTTTGGGCAAAATATGAAAGGCTCTTTCTAAAATTTCCTTCTCATACCCATCCATAAACTCTCACAGTATTTTTTAAAAAAGCAAAATTTCCAGTCTACTAATTATTAAATAATAGGTTTTATCTTGCTAGATTCCTTGAATCATTGCTACATCTTAAGGAAGCATGAATAATTTTGAAGCCCACAGGTGGTAAAAGGTTTTATGACTAGGCACTCCATGTTTCCTTTTCAAAGAATGCTATTTAGAGAGTGTTAGAAAAGAAAAATAAACTATTTCTGTAGTTTTTTTGGTCACTTTCTCTAATGCAGATGCACTCTTATTAGACTTTTGTAGAAGACAGCAGCTATAGGAATCTTTGTCACTCTTGAATCTGTTACGTTTATAACCTGGTAGCATAGATACCAACAGTATACCAATTTAGCCAAAACCTAGCAAGAAAGCCCTTGTTATTTTCCTAATTAGGAAGTCATGCAAGTGGACATATTTTACCTCTTTAAAATAGCTGTAGCTTGCTAGACACTACAGAATAGCTTATTTTATTTTGAAATCACTTAAATTAGCCTATAGGCTTATTTAAAATCAGCTTTAAAACATTGAGAGGTTTGGCATTTTATTTAATTTTATCCCTCCAAAGAAATTAACACTTCAGCAACGTTATTTCCTTAGCACTTGATATTCCTATTTATAATCCAGTAGACCTCAGTAAATACTTATTGACAAGATACTTTACAATTTTTTTTCAAGATGACAACATCAGGAGGTGGAGGTTTCTGTGACTGTGGTGATACTGAAGCTTGGAAAGAGGGTCCTTACTGTCAGAAACATGAACTTAACACCTCTGAAATTGAGGAAGAAGAGGTAAAAACATTTTCACAAAATTGTTCCTAAGGAAATACTGTCTTAACCATGTGTTTGAAATATTTTCAGACATAAGAATTAGGTTATAATATAGCAATGGATAAGTAAAATATCAATAGTCCTCTCACTATTAACAGTGACCAAGTATATACTTCGAAAGTTTTTTGCATTTTATGGATGGCATACCAGTACTAGTAGAACACACTTGAAATTCTAGAAATTTAATTTAATTTGGACTTTTGCATTTGTTTGTTTTATTTTAAGCATATATGAGTTTTTTTAAGTCCTCATTTATTATTAAAGGGATTATTTTTCCTATATATGTAGATCAGTTAACTTAGTTGGTTTTTGTTTGTGTTGTGACTAAGACTTTGTAGATCAGATACCTTTTTTTTCTGTAGTCCTATATGGCAGCCAATCCTACTCATCATCTCCTGGTAAATCAATGTCATTGGATATGTGATGAGACCAAACACTGGGATGATAGCTCAGTACAAGTTACACTCATTCCAGCTGTAAATATGTGCTTTCTAAAATTGTTGTTGATCCTTTATTATTTTTCTCTAAATGATATTTGTAATGATATAATGGGCTCTCACTAAACAAATACTTGAAACTCTGCTGTTTGTGACAATCTGATGTTTGATTTAAGATCCTTATTTCAGATTTTAATTTTAAATGGCAGAGAGGTGGGTACATTAAAAGAACTTATGCATTGTTTGTAAGTAGGTCTGATACCGATTTGGGGCAAGTGGACATTAATAGTCCTTCCGAGTGCACATGTCTTCCTGGTCTCAGATATTTTAACAGAACGACCAGAGAACTTATGGTGTAGGACAGTATCTTTTAGACTGTGTTTCACTGTGTTTTAGACAGATGAAAATTTGTGCAGAATGATTCAGTGCTATAGAAAACATATATTTGTGTTTCATTTGCTTTGTGCATGTGCTCTAGGATTTGCTACAGAGAGATGCCAAGTGATCAGGGTTTCAGATTTCTCCACTGCAATTGGAGCAGCTCTGTTTTTATCTCTTACATACTGGGTTGGCATTCTGTATATAAAAATATAAGCAAGGCAAACAAAGACATATTTGGAAAAAATGGTTTTGCTTTTGAAAAAAAATTGAAAGCTAGTGTAAAACTTCAGGACTCTGGGAGAAAATATTTGCAAGTCATATCTGATAAGTGTCTGGTATCCAGAATATATATCTTACAACTCAACAACAAAAAACACAATTAAAAGTGGCCAGAGGACCTGAATAGACATTTCTCCAAAGAAGATATAATACAAGTGACCAACAAACACATGAAAACATGCTCAAGAGTATTAGTCATTAGGGAAATGTAAATCAAAACCACAGTGAGATACCACTTCACACCCACTAGGATGGCTGTAATCAAAAAAGTGGCAAATAGGTGTTGGCGAGGCTGTAGAGGAACTGGAACTCTGTACAGTGCTAGTGGGAATGCAAAATGATTTAGCACTGTGGAAAACAGTTTGGCTATTCCTCAAATGTTAAACATTGCCATGTAAGCCTGTAATTTCACTTCTAGGTATATACCCAAAAGAATTAAAAACAAGTATTCAAATAAGTACATGCACACACATTAGTAGCAGCATTATTCATAATAGCCAAAAGGTGGAAACAGTCAAAATGTCTATCAGTATGCAAATGGATAAACATACAGTGTAATATTACTTAGCTGTAAAAAGGAATGAAGTACTGATACATGTTGCAACGTGGATGAACTTTCAAAACATCAGGATAAGTGAAAGAAGCCAGACACAAAGGGTCACATACTGTATTATTCCATTTATGTGAAATATCCAGAATAAATAAATCTGTAGAGAACACAGACTGGTGGTTGCCAGGGAATAGGGAAGGGAAAAATGGAGAAAAACTGCCTAATGGGTAAGGGGTTTTACTTTGTTGAAGTGATAGAAATGTTTTAGAACTAGATAGAGGTGATTGTGGCTCAACATTATGAATGTACTAGATACCACCAGATTGTTCGCTTTAAATTTTCTAAGAAAACTTATGAATCTGCCTGCAGTTACTCTCTTGGCTTTATCCTCATATATTAGCAGGGTAGCTATCAAATAATGAAGACTTTGGTTAGTTTCCTGAATTTTTAGAAGATGCCAGCAAAATAACCTGCCTGGCTGAAATTGTATGGTTCTGCCTGGAGAATATATATTCCAGCAACTTGACAGAGAATCGAACCTCCAGACTTTGCCATTTAATTCCTATTTAAGAATTCAGTTAAGAGAAATGAAGTCTTCGAGAAGACTATAAGATATTAAAAAGATAACAGATAACATTATATTTAGCATACCTGGTCCCCACTCACTAAATCCATACATTATCTAGGGTTTTTCTATTTTATGCTTGAAATGGAAGAAAGCTATATAATATTTGAAATGAACCTCTTTAGCCTGTCATAGGATTGTTTTTATTGAATGTAATTTTTTTGTTATACATTCAGCCTACATCTTAAGAAAAAGTTGTAAAAAATTTTATTATATACTTCTGTTGGGGTAGTGTTTAGAAGTTCCACAGGTCTTCTCAACTTGTGGCATTTGGGGTGGGACATTCTACATTGTACAGGCCAGGGATCAGCAAACCCTGGCCCCACAGGCCGGATCTTGTCTGCAACGTGTTACTGGCACCACCATAATCCAAGAATGGTTTTTATATTTTTAAATAGTTGAAGAAAAATCAATAAGGGTAGTATTTTGTGGCATGTGAAGATTATGTGAAATTCAAATTTCATTATCCATAAATAAAATTTTATTGCAACATAGCCACGCTTAATTGTTCATGTATTATCTATAGCTGCTTTTCCACTACAACAGCAAAACTGAGTAGCTATGACAGAGACCCTGTAGCCTGCAAAAACTGAAATACTTAGTGACTTTTTATAGAAAAACTTTACTGACTCCAGGTATACACTGTCAGAAGCACTGTGTTTATTGTACCTAATTCCCACTCATTAAATGGTAATAGCATCTTCCATCACCGTGACAATAAATGCCCAACTAGTTTTCCAAATGGGCCCTTGAGCATGGGGGGTGAGTACAGAGGCTGGTGGGATGGTACCTTTCCTAGTGTCTCCTTTGTTGATCTTTATAAAAACCATAAGAAATTTGTCTTAGGTCTCTGCATTAGGAAATGTTACGTTTCTCTTGGTGTGAGTCTCGTAACTGACTGTGTTTCCTTTTGTTGGGGCATCTTGAAAACAGCTTGTCTGTAGTAGCTGTATGGAAATTTATATGATTGGCATTTATAAATAGATGTTATCTTGACTTCAGTTTATTTTACTTCCTTTATTTTCATTTTACCTGCTTTGTATATCTATTTTTTAATACTGTTTTATTACACTGGATGTATTCTAGTTGCTGAAGGGGAATTCCCTGGAGGTCCAGTGGTTAGGACTCCATGTTTTCACTGCCAATAGTGCAGGTTCAATCCCTGGTCGGGCAACTACGATCCCACAAGCTGCACTTGGCCAAAAAAAGTTGCTGTAAATCCTTTTTGGAATGAAATTTAATTCAATAACGTATATTAACTGAATGAACAACCTCAGTGAAAAATTTTTTATCTGAAATTTTCACTTATCAATGCTGCTTTCATCCCATTTGAATACAGATCAGTGGTAACTAGTAGCTGAATATCATACTAAATACGATTCTTGGTTTATATCATTTAATTCTCAGAACAACCCTGTGAGATAAATACTACTGTTACCCATATTTTATAGCTGCGGAAGCTTGAGTCTTAGATTAAGAAACTTGCCTACAGTGTCCCACACAGTAAGTGCTAGAGCTGGGCTTTAAACCTAGGTAGTATAGACAATTCTGACAGTACAGTATACTGGTTTTTGAAAACATTTTTTGGCAGTGGAATTTTTTTAAATAAAATTTTAATTAAGAAATCCCAATAATAAACAGATAAAAGCAGTATTACTAATGAATTTATTTTTTATAAGTTGGAATGTATATTATTTCTTGTTAGAAAGTCGATTCATAACTTTGGTTTCTAGTTTATTTCTAGTTTTAGTTGGGCAGTGTGGAGAAAACCCTCATTCATACCTTATTTGCATATGACAACAGTTAAACTCTATTATAATATGTGCTTACTTTTTTTTCTTTTTTTTTTTAAGATGGATTGATTTTTTTGGCTGCATTGGGTATAGTTGCTGCACACGGGACCTTTCGTTGCAGCGCGCAGGCTCTTCATTGTAGTGCGTGGGCTTCTCTCTAGTTGTGGTGGCAGGTTTTCTCTTCTCTAGTTGTGGCATGCAGGCTCCAGGGCGCGTGGGCTCTGTAATCATGGCGCGCAGGTTCCAGAGCGCACGGGCTCCGTAGTTTGTGGCACGCGGGCTCAGTATTGTGGCGCATGGGCTTAGTTGCCCTGCAGCATGTAGATCTTAGTTCCCTGACCAGGTATCAAACCCGCATCCCCTGCATCATAAGGCGGATTCTTTACCACTGGACCACCAGGGAAGTCCCAACCACAGGTAACCTTTTTAACAGCATGCTATTCTTCTAGTTTGGAAGAAGAATAAATCAAAGTTGACTCATGAAGGCTTGCATTCTCTAACATAAATGTCACGAAAAACAATTATTAGTCTTAGATAATACAACATAGGATAAGATGGTTATTTATTTTCTCATTCCAACTGACTTATGCTGTGATACGAGCACTTGGAACAGAAGTCTATTCAAATAATGTTTAATTTACCGTTGTACATGAGTAGGCTTGCACAGCCTAGCATCTCTTCACTTCAGAAATAATGTTTTTTAATCAGTAACCCATTTTCAAGAAGTTAACATGTGCATACAAAGATGGCAGAAGAATCTATATCCATAGGCCATTTAAAAATTTGGATAATCATGGGCTTCCCTGGTGGCGCCAGTGGTTGAGAGTCCGCCTGCCGATGCAGGGGACACGGGTTCGTGCCCCGGTCCGGGAAGATCCCACATGCCGCGGAGCTGCTGGGCCCGTGAGCCATGGCGCTGAGCCTACACGTCTGGAGCCTGTGCTCTGCAACCAGAGAGGCCACAACAGTGAGAGGCCCGCGTACCGCAAAAAAATAAAAAAATAATTAAAATATGGATAATCATATGTTTTTAAACTGGTGTGTATTTCAAATAGGAAACATCTCTACCAGGCCCTGGGATTTTTAGAACAGAGTTTGGACACTGCTGGCTTGGATTCTCAAGAATTGGCAGTTGTTTCTGTCCCAACACCATTTAATTCTTATATATCCTGTTTATCATAATTCTTCAATCCTCTAAATGTCTTGTATTATGGGATTTAATTGTAAGAAATGGAATGACTGTATAGTGAGATAGTATCACGAAGAAAACTGAGTTTTGGTTCTACTTTCTATTTTAGTACAGTGTGAGGTTTGTATTATGATTAATAGCCACTCTTTTATGAATCGCCAGAAGGTACCAGTTCCAGTACCTTCTTTGTAGCAGGTGGTTTTGCCATGTTAACTTCTAAAGTCTCCATAAGAAATAGTAGCAAACCTTGGTAGCAGTATAAAAAAAATTTTTTTTTGATGGGACATATAAAGCAGTTTATTGAGAAGAGTTGTAGGTAAAAAGTGCTATAAGACTTTGGAAAATCTTTTTCTTACTTCTTACATTCTTTAAGCCCTAGACCCATCTCCTTTAGGAATCTTTGTCTTTTTTCCTTCATCCTTGACATTATTCTCCTTCTCCATTTGTTTTATATCAGTTCCACTAAGCTGATCCTTGGTGAAGATGCACAGAAATGTTCTGTATCCTTATGTATATTTTCAAGAATGTACTGGTTCCCATTCAATGATGTTGGAATATATTGATTTTCTTATTGAGAGATGAATATAACACTATTTAGCCATTAAGCTAAATAACATGTTTAGATTTGATAAAGCATTAAGATTAGATTGTGTAAAACATTTTGCCAACCTTGACTGAAAGATAACCTTAGAGTATGTTTATAGTAATACTTTTTTACATTAACCTTGAAATTTAGTGACTTACTCACTGTTAAGTCTAATATACAAAGTTCTCTGTTAAATACATACACAGCTTGACTCGCTGAGAGAAAGTGAGTGATTCTTAACAACATCGAGGAGCAGTTTTCTGACCTTGTTGACTTCTCCCCTTTAGAATCCTCAAAATCAGGTTCTCCTTTATACCTATAAAACTAAATATTACTTGTCCATCCTTAGATAACATTCCTTTGTTTATTCTGGAAATTGGGGATTAGAGGGATGTGAAGCTGTAACCATGGTTTGATGTTAGGTTTAAAGATCCTAGAATGCCATTCTAAAATTTTTAGATTTATTTGTTAGGCATTGGAGTGCCGTGGAATATTGTGGTTCATATGATTCAGGATTGTGGATTATTATGAAGAGAATGTTTTAGGAAGTTTGATTTGCTGAGATGTAACGTATAGGATCAAATTGAAGAGAAGCTGAAGCTGGAAGATGTCAGCTTTTTACAGTAGTGTTTTGAGGAGGGAGGCAGAATGGGAAAAAGGAGAATTAATGTACATTTAACATGGTTGCGTTTTTTTTTTTTCTGTTCTTTCAGGATCCTCTTGTGCATTTATCAGAAGATGTGATTGCAAGAACTTATAACATTTTTGCTATTATGTTTCGGTATGCAGTAGAGATATTAACCTGGGAAAAGGAAAGTGAATTGCCACCAGATTTAGAGATGGTGTAAGTACAGCCCGTTTATTCCTTGTATTTGTATTTGCTCACACTCAATTTTAAGCATTTTGATTCTAATTCCTCAAATTAACTTTAATACAGCTAGGATAGAACATAATCGTTTTTAATAATTAGTTTTCAGCATAATAATAACCTTGGTTATATAGTTTTTAAATATGTGTGAGCCATTTAATTGGTAGAGGTTTTTCCCTGTTGATTTCACCGATTTATAGCCATATTTTAGCCACATCAAGGCTCTACCACGGTTTCAAGCACAGACATTTTTCTCTTCTTTGTGTGATAAAGCTGTTAAGTTAACTCTACTATTCTTTTTGTTTGTGTATGAGATTTGATTAGGGAATGAGCACTTTGATCTAAGTGAGTTTTCTGGTTTGACTAAATACACAAATTCAATTTTAACCATTTTTGATTCTAAATTTGTATAAAATTTATTCTACACTTCGTGCTTCTTTTAGAGTACATCTAACATTTTTACCATTTGTTCTTAGATTATTGAGGAGATTGCAAATTTGTGACCAGAGAGCTGGATTCTGCTATAGCTGTACTTAAGGTTAAGGGCTTACTTTTCTGCATGAATGTGCTTGCCTCAAGCAGCCTTCTCTTCTACTTTTAATTCTAGCCAAGCTTGTAGGAATTGTATTCACAGTTAAGGTTGAATACAAGTGAGAGTCTAAAGGACATTGGTGGTGTTTCTTTTTTGCTTTCTCAACAGTGTTCCAAATAATTAGGTTGTAGGTTGTTTTTTAGTAAAATGAGGAGTTAGTATTCCTTTTTTGGAAATGTTGATAATGGCTTAGTTACCTCATGACTTTATCTTCATGTATTTTGAGTTGGGGACCAACTAAGATCTAAATCTGAGATCCAAATTTAGACCGTAGAGAATAGAAGAGTTGTGTTTTTATTTTTCTGTTCCATTGTAAGTTTGGGACCACCAGCATAGAAGGGAAAAGAATCTAACTTGCGTCTCTTGTAATGTTTTCCCATCTTAGTAAATGGCATTTCATCTACCCAAAAACCTGAGTCACGCATATCCATTTAGATTTCAGGTCCAGCTGGTTCTCCCTCTCTCAAGTTGTTTACTTCTGTTCATCTCCATTACTACTATCCTAGTCCAAATTGCGTTAATTTCATCCTTGGACAACATGACGTCCCTAACTAGACTGCCATATCCACTCGTGTCTCTCATGATCCATTCTCCACATATAGCCAAAGTGAACTTTAAGACAAATCTGACCATAGCTCCTATTTCACTCTTTCAAATCTTTGATTGCCCTTAGGATGGCAAAATCGAAATCCATTACAAGGTCTTTAAGATTTCTGCCTATCTCCAGACTAATCTCCTCCTTCCTCCCTGTGCTCCAGCTCCCAGTATTTACTTTTGCCACCTCAGGTCCTTTGCTTTCACTTTCTTCTAGCCCATGGTTTCTCAACCTTCGTACTGTTGGCTTTGGGGGCCAGATATTATGGGCTCTAACTGGTGGACTGTAGAATTTTTAGCAGCATCCTTGACCTTTACCCACTGGATGCCAGTGGCACTCCCACCCCAGTCATGACAACCAAAAGTTTCCAGACATTGTCCAGTGGTCATCTATGGAGGGTAGAGGAGAATTGCCCCCAATTGAGCACCACTGATAGCCAATTCTGACTTCAGCTCTCAAATTACTTCTTTGGCAGCTCTCTGAACTCCCATACTGGTTTTATCCCACTCTAGCATCCTATTCTTCTTGATAAAAGCCAATTCACATAGATTATATGTATAGTATCTATCTTTCCCACCATCCGGTAGTGTCATAGAGTGTGGGGACCACAGATGGCTTCATTACAGGTATGTGCCTAGTACCTAGCACGTTCCCTAGAACAAACTGTGCTCTTAATAAATCATCCTGGAGCAAGGTGATAATGCAGATAATATATAATTAATGTTTTATCCCACAGAGAGAAGAGTGACACCTACTATTGCATGCTGTTTAATGATGAGGTTCATACCTATGAACAAGTTATTTATACTCTTCAGAAAGCTGTTAACTGTACACAAAAAGAAGCCATTGGCTTTGCAACTACAGTAGATCGAGATGTAAGTAATTTCATTATATTGATGTCACATAATAAACTTTTAATACAGATAAGTTATCCTAGAAAATTGAGTTACAGGTATATATATCTAGGCTATTTTTCTTTAATTTCATATGAATATTGACCCAAATATATATTGGGTATAACTGTAAGCTGTTGTCAGAAAGTTTAGGAGGAAACATAGATACAGTTGCTCTCATCCTACACAGTGGTTAGAAATATTCAGTTATGAAAATAGAAATGATAGCAGCCTAGAAGAATAAATGTTGTGTTGTTCAAGGATAACAACTTGAACTTATTAATGGCTTGAAAAATGTTAGGATAGCTTTGAAGGAAAATATTTTGATTTACTTTTTAATTAATGAATAGAATAAACATTGTAGATATTAAAAATTGACCAGGGCTTCCCTGGTGGTGCAGTGGTTGAGAGTCCGCCTGCCGATGCAGGGGACATGGGTCCATGCCCCGGTCCGGGAAGATCCCACATGCCGCGGAGCAGCTAGGCCCGTGAGACATGGCCGCTGAGCCTACGTGTCCGGAGCCTGTGCTCTGCAACCAGAGAGGACACAACAGTGAGAGGCCCGCGTACCGCAAAAAAAAAAAAAAAAAAAAAAAATTGACCAGAGTTGTTATGTGCTCAGATGACACTGTGTTTGTTTACTGTTTCAAAAGTTATTAATACTGAATATAAATATTTTTACAAGTTAATTTCAAATATCTTTATTTACAGGGACGTAGGTCTGTTCGATATGGAGACTTCCAGTATTGTGAACAAGCAAAATCAGTAATTGTGGTAAGTAATTTAAGAATATGTCTACACTCTTATTTTTTATTAGTATAAAACTAATCCCACATTTTGGTGTGTATGAACACATTTTTCTGCCTTCCTGAATGTAAAGCCACATCAATCAAAAATCATGTTTAGGGGCTTCCCTGGTGGCGCAGTGGTTGAAAGTCCGCCTGCCGATGTAGGGAACACGGGTTTGTGCCCCGGTCCGGGAAGATCCCACATGCCGCGGAGCGGCTAGGCCCGTGAGCCATGGCCGCTGAGCCTGCACGTCCGGAGCCTGTGCTCCGCAACGGGAGAGGCCACAACAGTGAGAGGCCCGCGTACCGCAAAAAAAAAAAATCATGTTTAAATATATGTTACCTGACCATTGCTTATTGCTTTATCTAGTTTTTTTTTAAACTACGTAAGATTGATACAGAAAATGAATGTTTAGATGAGATATATATGTATATATTTCTGTTGTCTTATTTTTTTATCAGAGATGTCTTAGAAAGTTTTTTGCTTTCTGTTTTGTTTTTGATAGGGTTTCACATTACTTTTTAGGAATTAAACTGGCCTTTAGCACCAAGATTAGAATTCAAGGGAAGTTGTTTCTTGGTACCTAATAGCAAGGTATGCTGCATATCCTGATAGCATTTAGTGTATAATTTATCTGAAAGAAAACTATTCCCCACATTTAGATTTATTTTTAAAAGTTATAATTTATTGTTTTTAACTATTCCATGTAACTGCGTTTTATGTAAATGTCCTTTTAAAATATAATTTTATATATTGTGAAATATTTTAAATATACAGATGAAAATAGATATAACAGTAAATGCCTGTGTGCTACATTATACCTTATTTTCTTCATAAGTATTTTAAATAAATAAAATAGTATAGAGGCCCTTGTATTATCCCTTCTAAATCCCATTCCCCTTCCTCCTTCCCTAGAGATAACTACTTTCATTAATTTATCTTTCGTTTTCATACATGCCTTTATATTTCATCTGTTAAATATCTATCCATATTATATGTATTGATTTGGAAGTCTTTAAACATTATATAACAAGATTCATACTGAATATATTATATTGCAATTTGCCTTTTCATTTCAGTGTTGTTTATAGATTTATCTGTGTTGATACATGTATCTGTAAGTATTCCATTGATGACTGTACCATAATTTTTCCATTCTCCAGTTGATGGACAATTAGGATATTTCCAATTTTTTCCTATAACTATCAGTCCTGCTGTGGTCATTTTTTTGTCCTCTTGTTGCATAGAAGCAAAAGTTTCTCTAGGGTATATACCAAGAAATGGAATTTCTGAGTTGTTAGCTTTTGAGCATTTTCAGCTATACTAGATTTTGCCAAGTTAATCTGCAAAATGGTGGTACCAATATACATTCCAGCCAGCATCAAAGTAGAGTTCCCATATCTCTACCGCTTTGTCAAAACTATATATTGTCAGATTTTTAAAATTTTGCCAACCTGATGTGTATGAATGGCATCTCATCAATTAAATTTGCACTGCCTTGATTACTGAGTATCTTATTTCATATTTATTGTATTGGTCATTTAAGTTTTCTGTGAATTTCTTGTTCATACCCTTTACCCATTTTTTTGTTGTTAGGTTACTTGTCTTTTTCTTACTCATTTGTAGGGGCTCTTTACATAATCTGAATCCTGATCTTTTGTTGCAGTATCTTTTCCTAATATGTGACTTATTTTAAGCTTATTTGTGATGCTTCTCCTTGAGCAAAAGCTTTAATTTTAATGTAGCAAAATATATTTTTCTCTTCATGAGTTTGTGTCTTATTCAAGAAATTCTTTATTGATAACTGGACATACCCAATTTAATAATACATCAGAAACTATACTGTGGTTGTATAAAAAGAACATTCCCATTCTTAGGAAATGTATACTGAAGTTTTTAGGGATAAAGGGACATTATGCATATAACTTAACCTTCAGTGGTTTTTTTTTTTTTTTTTTTTTAATGCTTGTGTGTGTGTGGAGAAAGAAAGATAATGTGCAAATGATAAAGCAGTTGGAATAGAATGTTTACAGTAGATGAATCCAGGTAAAGGAGGTGTTTTTTTTCCCTTTACATTTGTTGCTTCACAGTGTTATTACAGTTTTTCCCTAAAAAATCAGTACTTGTAATCTCTGGTAGTGTCTGTATAGATATACTATATGCATAATATAGAATAGAAAGTCCAGAAATAGATACTAGTATGAGGAAAATCTAGGAAACAAGTACATTCTAAGGGAGGAGGAGAGCTTCTTAACCAAGACTAGAACCCCAGGAGTTAGAAAAGAACTTATCTTTGGCTACATAAAAAATTTGCATAGCAAAATATTATAAAAAATGTCAATAGACAGTAGATTTAGAAAAATTATTTCTAACACAAAGGATAGACATTTAATGTTTATGATAAACAGAGCACTCATAGATTATCAGGTAAGGAGCAAACAACAAAATAGAAAAATGGACATAGGGTATGAAAAGACGATCACAACAGAGAAGATCTAGGTGGTAAATATATGTAAAAAGAGACTCAAACTACCTAGTTTAGTAAAGTGACAGAGATTTCATACCCAACAAGATGGAGAAATTAGAGTGATAAAGTACCTTGCTGGCAGAGATGCAGAGAACAGAAATACTTGTGTAAAAATAAATTGCTACCACATAATTGGAAAACAATTTAGTAGCATCTATAATCTCTCTTAGGAATTTATCCTGTAAAAATATAAACACCAGTTAGTGTGTGTACAGAGATGTTCAGTACTTCGTTTTTTTATAGTCATTGAAGACTGTAAACAAAGAGACTATGAATGCCCTTCTCTAAAGAATGTCTAAATAAATCCACACCACAGAATATTATTGAGTCATTAACAACAACAACAAAAAAACTGTTAACACAAAGATGCGACAGAATATGTGTAGTATCCCATTTTTTGTAAATCAAATAAAAACCTTTATAAATGAGTACATATATAATACATATAGATGGATAAAGTATGCAAAGGTGTACTGTGTTAATGTGGGTTATGGAGATGGGATGAACTAGTGGGTAGAAAGATGATCCAAGCAAAAAAGGAAAAGGGGGGAAAACATGTTAAATTAAAAGCTTTGATAGACTTAAATAGACATTTATCCAAAGATGATATGCAGATTGCCAAAGCACAGGAAAACATGCTCAGTATTACTAATCACTAGGGGAATGCAAGTAAAAACCACAATAAGATACCACCTCATATCCATTTGGATGGCTATTAAAAACAAACAACAACAACAACAAAACAATAACAGAAAATCACAGGTATCAGCAAGGATATGGAAAAATTGGAACCCTCGTTCACTATTGGTAGGAATATAAAATGGTGCGACCACTACGGAAAACAGTATGGTGGTTCCTCTAAAAATTAAAAATAGAATTGCCATATGATCCAGCAGTCTTGCTTCTGGGTATATACACAAAAGAATTGAAAGCAGGGTCTCATGTTCATAACAACATTATTCACAGTAGACAAAAGGTAGAAGAAACTTTAGTGTCTATCAATGGATGAATGGATAAACGAAGTCTATATACATACAATAGAATATTATTTAGCCTTAAAAAGGAAGAAAATTCTGATACATGCTACAGTGTGGATGAACCTTGAGGACATTATGCTAAGTGAAATAAGCTAGTCACAAAAAGATATTATAAATAATGTATGATTCTGCTTGTATGAAGTACCTGGAGTGTTTGATGGGTACAGAGTTTTAGTTTTGCAAGACAGAGAGTTCTGGAGACTGGTTATACAACAATGTGTGCTTTACAGAACTGCACACTTAAAAATGGTTAAGTTGGAAAGTTTTGTGTGTATTTACTACAATCTTTTTAAAGTATTGATAACATCACATTTGTGCAATGAAGTAACTTATTTAAATTAGTGTGTAATTACATTAAAAATTAGTTTAAAGACATAAAGCCAATTTAAGCATTTAAATAATTTATAATTGGTGGGGCAGATTTTCAAATATAAGACCAAAAATTCAGGTTACTTAAAGCTGTAACTTCTTACTTTTTTGTAAGAATCCTAAGATTCCTTCTAGAAAATTAGAATCTGAGTAAAGCAAGCCACATGGTATTTTTCTTACATACATACATGAAAAACTCCCCTATAATGATGAGAGTGTAGCTATATTAAATAAAAATGTTAACTTCTTTCTCTAAAATAGCCTTTTTAAGTTTGTTTTTTCATCCTGCCATTTCTTTTTAAGAGAAATACCAGTAGACAGACAAAGCCACTCAAAGTTCAAGTTATGCATTCGTCTATTGTCGCACATCAGAATTTTGGTTTGAAACTTTTGTCTTGGCTGGGAAGTATTATTGGATATTCAGGTAGGTTCATACTTGTGCTAATTGACTTAAAAATGAGCTCATATGCCTTTGCAAAACTGTTTTGGAAAAAATAGCAAGTGGAACCATTTTTTTGCTTTAGTTTCATGTTTTAAAATACCATCTCATAATATCTTTATATATAGAAAAAAATCTGTTTCCCAATTTTGATCCACGGGATCTTTTTATATGCATACAGAGGAGTCTGTGTTCAAATAAATGCAGGAAACAGTGGGTTAAACAATTGTAAATGACTATAATACGCTAATGAAACCTAAATCTTACCAACTTGATAAAAGAACCTATTTCTTAATGGTGTATCCTGTGGAATTCTCTTCCACAAAGCAAGCTGCATAATGCTGCTGTATATAAAACCTAAATGATTAACTGTTTAAAGGCTGTCTTTGTTTTGACTTCTATGACTTGTGGTTACTAATAATTTGCAACTCTGAAAATTTGCAAATTTGAAGTTACTGTGTATTTGAGTTTTTGTTTTTCCAGTCTACAAATTAGATAATCTTTTAAAAGTAGGGATAAACAGAATTAAGAACCTTCACGTCCAATGCCAAAAATACAAGTTTGTTGTAACACTGAAGAGTAAACTAGGAATAGATTTAAGCTGTCATACTGTTCTTCAGGCAAGAGAGGTGGTTTGAATAATGACATTCCAATGTTTGCTATAAAGAAAATTTCTAAAACGTTTGTATTAAAAGGCTACTAGAAAGAGTATTGCCACACTGTGAATTGACAGGTGAAAATATGGGGGTGTGGAAATTTAGGAGAATGTGTTTGTTTAATTTAAATGTCTTTCCAATTATTTCACTCATCCTCTTTTTTTTTTTTTTTTTTTGGCTTTGGTGTTTTCCATTGGATATCTGTATGCCAAGTACTGTGCTACAGCATTAATGAATAGTATCAAGGAATCAGTTTTCTGCTGAAAATTTTCTTTGAGAAAATTTATTTACCATCAACAATTTAAAGACCTTGTCTATTATTTAATTCATATATAAAGTTTTCTCTTTAGCCTTGTAAACAATTTCTAGTTGGTGACTCTTAAATTTTAAAATTACTCTATTTTGGGGGGTTTTTTTCGAATTATTTTGCATGCTTGTAGAAGACTTAAAAACAGTGATTTTAAATATAAAATATGAAACAAGAAGGTATTAAAGTTCTGGTTTTGTTAATGCTTATATATAGTTTTTAAGTTTAGCATTTAGAATATAAAGGAATTTGCCTTCCAAAACCCCTCATATAGTAGGTATACATAAGTACATAGTGTATTTTTGTTTAATGAAGAACATTTTGCATAACGTTAATAAAATGGACTGGTATATATTAAAGTACAGAGGTAATGTATTCTTTCTTTTAAATGGTAGTACAATTTTATATTATACGTATCTTCAGTTATCATGGGATATGTAACAATTTTACTGTAACCTGGTTTAATTAGCATAGATGCTTAAAGAACCATATTTATTTCAGTGGCTTTTGGGTTCTTTGTTGTTTATTTAAATTCTTTACAGCATAAGAGGTCATTGCCATTCCGATACACATGTATTTTGGTATTCTGGAATAAGAGTTGGTGTATAATGCAAGATTTGGAATTTTTCTCCATTTTGTGAACATGTTAATAAAAGTTAATATGTTTACTTTTTCTGAATAAATTTGACCTTTAGTTAAAAAAAAAAGTAAGACTCTATAGTAGATCCATTTGAAAATTTCTACTAATATGTCATTTTATTTTAATATTTGAAGTTACTGTTTCTTGACTACTTTTCTTCTTGTTTTAAGATGGTCTTCGCCGAATTTTATGTCAAGTTGGTTTACAAGAAGGGCCAAATGGTGAAAACTCTTCTCTAGTGGATAGGTTGATGCTTAGTGATTCCAAATTGTGGAAAGGTACGTATCTCAACTACTTTTAAGGTATAGGGGAACTTACACAAGTAATTGGGATGTTAGTTTCTTTTTCATTTGGGAGGTATTTAATAAATATATTTATGGTTTTTAGAATTAACACATGCAGTCTTATTCTTTGGGGAAAAAACAGATTTGGGGATCCATGATCCAAATTAAATCACCTTTATGTTTTGTTTGAAAAATATATTTAGAAAAACTGATTAAGGAACACATGTAGAGTGTTGCTCTTGACACTTAAAATACAGTTGATCATATGAAAACTTTGGAAATGTAATTTTTGGCTTGTTTGATATATCCTTATCTTAACGTCTGCTCTTTTTGTGAAAGGTGCTAGGAGTGTGTATCATCAGTTGTTCATGAGCAGTCTACTTATGGATTTGAAATACAAGAAACTGTTTGCTGTTCGATTTGCAAAGGTAAGTAGTTTCTCACTTTTAAAGATTAACAAAATAGGTTATATACAGAGTAACTGTAGTCCATGATTACATCCAGTGTTTGTAAAATTAACAGCTGATAGTAATATGTCAATGCGTTGATTTTAAATTCTAAGAAACTTCATAAATGATCATTTTATCTTTCATCAGTAGAATAAAATTCTAGCAGTGAGGTTTTTCTTGTTTATCATCTGCCATGATAATGTGAATATCCATCTCTGCAGTGTGTATGATGTGAAATGATAAATGAAGACTTTAAACCTATGTCATTGAATTATGTTATTCCTGTTAAATTTTGTGTAAGAAAAGATAATTTTAGTTGAAATTACCTGTATATTTGGATGTGATTTAAGAATCATAACTCTAGGTTGTTGATATTATTGAATTATGTTCTTCTCCCTTTCAGCAGCATGTGATTAAACTACCTGCTTGGTTTTTTATTCACCTGAATTAGGGGTTATTAACAAAGGAAACATACAAGGATCATTTGGGCAGCTCTTTCAAAATGCATGTGTTTGCGTTCCATTCTCAAACCTACTGAAGCAGATTCACCAAGAATGGGGCCCAAGCATGTATACTTTGAAAGAGCCATCAGGTGACTCTGATAGGCATCCAGAAGTAATGAAAGTGTGGTTTCATCAGAGACAGTGTAAAGCTACTGTGATTTGGCTCCACCCATGTACAGTGATGTCCCAGGATTTTAGTAGCTGTTACTCCTATTTGAGCTCACAAACTGCCATTGTGCTAAAGAAGATTGTATAGTGAATAGATATTTACACAGAGTTTAGTTGGTACATTCCAGTTATCATTCTCATAGAATATCTTATTGACTCCTCCAGCACTGATATTTCATTATAATCCTTAAACATTGGTCATTGTGGATTAGAGGTGAATCTCCCCCTTGTTGTTTAGAATTACCAGCAGTTGCAGAGAGATTTTATGGAGGATGATCACGAGCGAGCAGTGTCCGTGACTGCTCTGTCTGTCCAGTTCTTCACCGCACCTACTCTGGTGAGTAGTGCTTGCCTTTTCTTTGTAACTGATAGTTGGCACTCCTTGCCTTTTTTTGCCTTCTTAATAGAACTATGAGCGTTTGCAGAGTGATTATGTGACAGATGACCACGACAGAGAGTTTTCAATCGCAGACCTCTCGGTTCAGATTTTCACAGTCCCTTCACTTGTAAGTACTAAAAGACTAAGAAGAATTTTCTTGTTTTCCATTAGAAGAAGTAAAGCCTTAAAATAATAGAGAACTGAGATCTGTATATTCCTGAATAGAAAAATATTTTATTAATGGGTGATCAGACTTCAGATGCCTTCAGTCATACTAGAACATGTATCTTTGAATGTGTAATCTGGAGGGGGAAAGTCATTTGAACTTAATCTGTACTTTCTCATAGTACTTCCCCGAGGTTTTGAACTGATGAGTTAAAATTAAATTCATTAGTTTAACAAATTTATCCATTAGAAACAGCATATTGTGGGAATTCCCTGGCCATCCAATGGTTAGGACTCAGTGCTTTCACTGCCTGTAAGTTCAGTCCCTGGTCGGGGAACTAAAATCCTGCAAGCTGCATGGCACGGCCAAAAAAAGAAGAAACAGCATATTGTGTATAATCTCACATTCTAAGAAGCCTCCTTTTCCCTGCTAAGGGAAGGGGTAACTAAGGCAGTTGAATCATGATGATTGGGTGATCTTGTACTAAGTTTCACTAGTTGTTCCAGGAGGCATCACTATGTTTTAGTTCTATTGAATAATTTATTAATATTTAATTCATTAAAAAAATTACTGAGCACCTATTATTTATTGGGCACAATTCTAGGTTTTGGGAATGAACGGCGAACAGATATGGGCCTTGCCGTCATGGAACTTACAGTAGGGAGGGAAAGACTCACATAAATGGTAATTAAAATTATAATAAAAACTGAAGAATTCTGTTGTTTTGATAGAGTAGGAGAGATCTGACCTTTTCCCACAGTTCAGAAGAGGATTCTATAGGGAAGGTAACTTTATGTAGGAGTGTGACGAGAAATCATGCATAGGAATCAACACTTGAGAAAATCCTGAAGTAGGGAAGGGAAGAGAAGGGAAGAAGTACGGTCGAAGATCCTTGAACACGGAGTTAAATGAGACCAGAAACATAGGCAAGGGCCTAATTGTATGGAGTTAAGAGTATTCTACAGTTATTTTATTAACAAGGTATTATGTTCCAGCTTCTTTTTTTTAATGACTGTTTTTTCCCCAGATTATTTCTTTGTTCAAGGGTATATTCTAGGACAGTTGAAGCTGTCTGGAGTCTATTTAGCCACTAATGAGATATTTGGGGCCAAATTAAGGATTTTGGTTTTTCTCTTAAGAACATTGGAAGGCACTGAAGAGTTTTAGGTGACACTTATATCATCACATTTGTGATTTTTAAAAGATGCTGCTGCTTGTAATTTGGAGAACAAATTTGCAGGAGCAGTAGTGGATGTGGGAAACCTGTGGGGATTGTGGCAGCGGGTATAGAAGTTGTGAGAGATATGTAAGTAGTGAAATCTACTGACGGGCCACACGTTGGGTTTGAGGAATATTAGGTTTGGTGAGTGATTGGTTGTTGGGTTTGAGGGGAAAATATAAAGGTGATTTCTGGGTTTCTGACTTTTGTAACCAAGTGGAGAATGAGAACTTATAAAAAAGGAAAGTGTTGCTTTCAGTTGAGTCAGGGATGAGTTTGAGAAGCCTCTGAGACAATCCCATGTGTATTCAAATCTGTTTCTCTCCTCCATTGATCCTTTTGTCCATTTCCATGCCAGTGCCGAGTTTTAATAATATTAGCTTACTATTCCATTTTGATATTTTATAGAGCTAAATCTTCTTTCATTATTCTTTTCAAAAAAATTCTTAATTATTTTAGGCTTTTTTTTAGAGAAGAACTAAAATCAGTTTGTCAATTTCAGAAACCACATTAGGGTTTTTGACTGAAAAGATGTTGTATTTATAGATAATATGGGAAGAACTGATATCTTTGCAATATTGAGTATCCCCATCCAGGAACATAACTTGTCCTAAAAGTGTTTATGTTTTATATTTTTGACACTATTGTAAATTATTCACATTTTTAATCTCACTATGGCTAATAAGCAAGAAAACTACTGATTTTTGGGCTTCCCTGGTGGCATGGTGGTTGAGAGTCCGCCTGCCGATGCAGGGGACACGGGTTTGTGCCCCAGTCCAGGAAGATCCCACATGCCGCAGAGCGGCTGGACCCGTGAGCCATGGCCGCTGAGCCTGCGCGTCCGGAGCCTGTGCTCCGCAACGGGAGAGGCCACAACAGTGAGAGGCCCGTGTACCGCAAAAAAAAGAGAAAACTACTGATTTTTATATATCCATCTTGTATGAGGCTGGTTTTCTTATTAACATTTTCTCCGATATTTTGTGTTGATTCCTTGGAATTTCTGGTAATCTACAAATAATAATTTTTGTTTTTTTCTGATATTTCAACCTTTTATGTTTCTTGTCTGACTCCTTTAGTTAGAAGCACTAGAAAAATAACATATGTATTCATTTATTCAGAGCATATTTATTTAGCACCTTTATTAACTAGGCACTGTTTGGGGCTCTGGAGATAAATATAGCAGTAAACAAAAAAGACAAAAGACCCTGTTCCCATGGGATTTATAGTGCAACTGGGGAGAGACAGATGTATGTAATATTTACATATTTATAATAAATCAAGTGTTGAGAAGTGCCGTAAAGTAGGAAAGCGGGTTAAGGGGTTAGAGAGTGACAATGGAAGGGTCATACTTTATACAAGGTTATCAAAAAAGGCCTCTCAGAGAAGTAGTGTTTGGACAGAGACGTGAGGGACTAAGTGATGTGACTAACCAGTGAAAGAGCTTCCTAGGCAGAGGGAACAGCAAGTGCAAAGTTCTGAGATGAATATGCACTTGGCATTTTGGAAGAAAGAACCCAGAACAGGCCCGTGTTGCTAGAGTGAGTGAGGAGGATGATCCATGAGGTCATTGAGTCTGGGGATAAGGGGAACATGGGAGTGGATTAGTGCCAGACCTTGAAGGCCATTGTAATACAAGTACTTATATTTTTTGTCTAAAGAAAGTAGAAAAAGGGAAATAGTAAAGAACAGAAATTAATAAAACAATGTAAATGTACAAAAAACATTTTTCTTTGAAAAAAAAGGGATGGGGGTAGATCTCTAGAAAGTTTAATAAGAAAAACAGAAAAAAATTTTATTTAAAAAGGACTACAAAAAACTACAAATCTTACAGATTTTAAATAGAAAATAGGCAATATTAGGATCAAATTAATCAATATAATTGGAAATTTGGATGAAATGAACAAATCCCTAAGAAAAAAACACAGGTCGTTAGAAGAGAAACAAGAAATAGAAAATTTTAATTAATATAAAAATCTTCTCACAAAGAAGTCCCCAGGCCCAAAGGCTATACTGGAGAATTCTTCCAAATATTTAAGAAAAAAATAATACCTGTCTTATATAACTTTTTCTAGAAAATAGAGAAAGAGAATATACTTGCCAATTAAGTCCTCTGTAACCTTGATACCAGAACCCAACAATTACAAGAAAAGAAAATTACCATTTAATTTCTCTCACAAATGAGGTTGCACAGATTGAATCAAGCAATATAGAAAAAGGATAATACATCACAACCAAGTTTGGTTTTATTTCCTTAATGCGAGTAGTATACCATTTGAAAAAAAAATCAACTGGCGTAATTCAACTTATTAACAGACAAAAGGGAGAGAAAAGATCATATTAGATGCTTTTCCTGAATTCATGATTTAAAATGAACGAAAAATACCTCATAGTAAATGAAATAGGAATGAAAGAATTTATTTAATCTGATAAAATACCTGAAGACAAAGCAAAAAGTAAAAACCCAAAGCAAACATTATGCTTGATGGCGAAATAGTAAAAGCTTTTCCCCGAGACCAGAGTTTTTTCTTAGGTCAGTGAAATCACATATAGTCATTTAATTGTCTCAAAATTGACTAATATAGCAAACAAGAAGGAAAATCCTTTTACTTGTCAACACCTCCCCTCCTTCGAACTTGAACTTAGTCTTCACTGTCTAGGAAAATTAACAGAAATTAATCCTATTGACTTTTGAGCTTTTTGGGGCCTAAGTCCTGGCAATGGGATGATGATTTCAGAGTTTTTCAAAGGTATGTTTAACTATATCGATTTTCTCTTTATCTGATGACTTTACAACTTAACCTCTACATTAGAATACAGTTTTACTATATTCTTAGACATCTAACTTCTGCATTCTTTTGTCTTCTTTGAGGGGTTTGGTGATATCACTCAAAATTTATAATGTATATACACCTTAACCCAGTAATTCCACTTCTAGGAAATTATCCTATAAATATCCTTGCAACTGTACATAGTAGATATTTGTTGCAGTATCTTTTGTGATAAATAGCATAAGACTGGGAAAAACCCAAATATCTCACCAGTAAGGGCCTGGCTAATAAAGTATGATAGAAAAGAGTACTGGGGATAATTAAAAAGAATGAGGGAATTTATGTGAACTGGTATGGGACAATCTCCAAAATATATCAAGTGAAAAAACCAAGTGCAGAACCGTATTTATAATATGCTGTCCTTTGGGCAGGGGGGGAGATCATTATACATACCCATACTTACATCTACTTAATAACAGTTATCCATGTACTATAAATGTATATATGTGTGTATATATGCATACACGTATAATATACACACCATCTCTGGAAGTATATGCAAGAAAACTGCTAACAGAAATTGCCTTTGCAAGGGGGACTTTGGGAGCTAGGAGACTTAACTTTTTACCTGTTTTTTGTATCATTTAAGTGTATTTGCTTATTCAAAAATATATTAATATGTATATCTATATATAGAAAGAAAAACAAAAAAAATAAATCTCAACTAAGATTAAGAGGAAATATAGTTTCATACTGAGTTCTACAGAATCTGTGATATAAACCTGTGGCTCCTAGAATAATTATACCATACCATTATAGGTGTCTAAATGTCTCAGTTAAGGAAAATTTGCAGCCTGGTTCAGATCCCCCACCCTGAATTGTCTTTGAATAATGAGCCTTGGATCTGTCTCCTTACATTCTGGCATCTTTCTCCGTGATATAATTGTTGCTTCATACACGTGGCAATTGGAGTAAGTAATTGTTATTTAGAAATACACAAAAATGCATTTATGATATTACATAGCTGTGTTGAAAAAGGTCTAAACTGAAAGAGCTAACCAACATTGGTGACTTTTTTTTTTAGCTTTATGGTAAATAGTTTTTTATTACCATGTACTCTGATATACTTTGTCCTAGGCTCGGATGCTCATCACAGAAGAAAACCTAATGACCATTATCATTAAGACTTTCATGGATCATTTGAGACATCGAGATGCGCAGGGCAGGTTTCAGTTTGAACGATATACTGCTTTACAAGCCTTCAAGTTTAGGAGAGTTCAGAGCCTTATTTTAGATCTTAAGTAAGTTTTCGCTTAATTATTGAACGAGTTGCAACTTATAAAAGGTCATTGTTTGTCCATATATTCATTGCTGTTTTTGTGTTGTTCAGGTATGTGTTAATTAGCAAACCAACTGAATGGTCAGATGATCTGAGGCAGAAGTTCCTAGAAGGATTTGATGCCTTTTTGGAATTACTCAAATGTATGCAGGTATGTATTAGCTGACACATTTCAAAAGTGAAACATTTACTTTTTCCCTTTTTCAGTTCACTGAACTAAATACCTTTCTGTCTGCATTTTTTTCATACTGGGCACATTTTTTTTTTTTGCGGTACGCGGGCCTCTCACTGCCGTGGCCTCTCCCATTGCGGAGCACAGGCTCTGGACACGCAGGCTCAGCGGTCATGGCCCACAGGCCCAGCTGCTCCGCGGCATGTGGGATCCTCCCGGACCGGGGCACGAACCTGCGCCCCCTGCATCGGCAGGCGGACTCCCAACCACTGTGCCACCAGGGAAGCCCAATACTGGGCACATTTTTAAAAGAATAATTTGGATAGCTACAATTTGGATCAAGAAGCTCCTCTTAAAAAAAAAAAAAAAAAAAAAGAAGCTCCTCTTAATTGGAAACTCTTAGAAAGGTGTAGAATGCATGAGATCCCAGCAGAGGTTCTGACATCTGCTGTACTTTTGTATTTGGTTATTTTTTTGGTTACCATTAATGTTCTTTCCTTGGGGGTTTCAGATGGTTTTGTTTTGAATATGCTTACATGGAAGTATTGTCAAATTAGTTATTTAGGAAACTATGTCTTCTTAATGTTTCCATATTTTTCTTTCATTGATACCATATTTATATGATATAGTATAGAACTACCCCCCCATTTAATTTTCTTTTTGGAAACACTTCTGTATACAAAATAGAATCTAGAAGCAGAAACTGGTATAGTTAACCAGTTTTTTGTTGTTTTGGTTTTGTTTGTGTGTTTGTTTGGGGCCATGCCTCGAGGCTTGTGGGATTTTAGTTCCCCAGCCAGGAATTAAATCTGGCAGTGAGAGCACAGAGTCCTAACCACTGGACTGCCAGGGAATTCTCCTAACTGTAAAAAGATAGATGACATTTCAGAAAATCTGAGGAATATCATTATGATTCCTTTAGTAGCTGTCTGGCTTTCTTAAGAAAGGAATAAGCAAAGTTAACCTATCATTTTTAGGATATATTCTAGTTCCCATGTTGGTGGTGGTTTCTGGGTGTTTTATTATAGTACTTCTATTTTTTTCCTTGTACCTATAGAAAGAGTATCTACCTTGGTCATTTTGAATACTTGAAGTGTCCTGTATTTTCTATTATTTTTAATCAGTTCCAGTGCACCAGGGTAGTTAGGCTAGTTTCTAAAAAAGTTATATTCTTTTGTGTTAAAAGCTGTTTTTCTTTTTCTTGTTTTGCTTTCTTTCGGTCTCTATGAAAACTTTATTTATTGATTGATTGATTGATTGATTGCTGCATTGGGTCTTCGTTGCTGCGCCCGGGCTTTCTCTAGTTGTGATGAGCGGGGGCTACTCTTTGTTGTGGTGCGCGGGCTTCTCATTGTGGTGGCTTCTCTTGTTGCAGAGCACGGACTCTAGTCACGCAGGCTTCAGTAGTTGTGGCTCGCGGGCTCTAGAGCTCGGGCTCTGGAAGACAGGCTCAGTAGTTGTGGCGCACGGGCTTTGTTGCTCCACGGCACGTGGGATCTTCCCAGGTCAGGGCTCAAACCCGTGTCCCCTGCCTTGGCAGGTGGATTCTTAACCACTGCACCACCAGGGAAGCCCTATGAAAACTTTTAGTTACAGATTACAAATAAATATAAAAATTTTATTTTAGTATATTATAAAACATATTTATAAATTCAGTAGCATTTTAAAAGTCTGCCAAGTTTCTTCTGACCGTTTTTTCTATGGATGATAGAGCTAAAAAGGGATTTGAAGGATTGTTGCAGTGAAGTATATACATTTTATTGTCTAAAACATATAGAAGATTGCCTCTAAAATAAGTTGTTCTATATTTTACTGGGATTTTTAATTTATAAAATTTTAGAGAATGTTATATAAACGTGTTATTTAAGAAGTTGGACTTCTCATACTACTTGAAACTTCCTGTTAGAACTTTTACTTTATATGTTTTTGTAATCAGTATTTCTTCTTCATTATTTCTTAAGTTTTGATGTAAAAGAACGGATGTAATTTTAGTTTATTTAAAAATCTTTTTGTTCCTTTTAAGGGAATGGATCCAGTTACACGTCAAGTAGGACAGCATATTGAAATGGAACCAGAGTGGGAAGCAGCCTTCACACTGCAAATGAAATTAACACATGTCATTTCAATGATGCAGGACTGGTGTGCTTTAGATGTGAGTCTCTTCTGGGGTCAGGGATAGGAGATAAATGGAGGAGAGACAGAGATAAACAATTTCCTAAGTAAAATCTGAGGCAGTTTGGAGAGGATAGTGGTGATATGTTCATAAAACAGCATATTTTCTGCTTTCACTTGTATATTCAGTAAAAGTTCAAATTCTGAAACCTTAGAAGATAGATAAAGGAGGATATAATCCACACTCTCTCTTCTTTTATGTTACTATCTTTTATATATATATATATATATATATATATATATATATATATATAAAAATCTGTAAAAATTGTGAGCATATAAAAAGAAGTTTATAAATTTATACAAAAATGACATTTTACTTTTTGTTCATTTGTCCTATGTCTTAAAATTATTTTGGCCTTCCTTTGGCTATAAAATCTAGATGAGAGCTTGTGTAAGTTGGGAGGTCAGAGAAGGCTTCTGTGAGATCTGAACTATGTGTCAGAGTTAACTGATCAAAGAGTAAAGAATATTCCTGACTGAGGGACAGCTGCATCATGCTCTCTGATGAGAACGAGTACGGATCCAGGAGCTGTGAGAAGGCTCTGGTCGGAACAGAGGTTGAAAATAGAGAAGTAAACAGGTGCCTCGCTTTGCAGGACCTTGGAAGCAATGGAAAGAAGTTTGAATTTTATTCTAATTAAAGTGGGATGCCATTCGAGACTCCCAAGCAGAAAAGTGACATGATCCAATTTACATGTTTTTAAAAGTTACTCTGTGTGGAGAATGGATGGAGGAGGGTAAGAGTAGAAGCAGGGAGTTCAGTGGAGACATGTTGGCTTTCCTTTGAGTTACTGGAAATAATCAGTGGTCAGGTTTGAGAGAAATTTAGATGAAATTGCCAGCTTGGTAATAGACTGGACAACCGGGAATGAGGAAAACAGAGAGCCCAGAAATAAACCCACACATTATGGTCAATTAATCCACAACAAAGGAGACAAGAATATGCAATGGAAAAAAGATGGTCTCTTCAGTAAGTGTTGCTGGGAATACTGGACAGCTACATGTAAAAGAATGAAATTAGAACATTTCCTCACACCGTATACAAAAATGAACTCAAATTAGATTAAAGACCTAAATGTAAGACTGAAGCCATAAAGTTTCTAGAAGAAAATATAGGCAGAACACTCTTTGACATAAATCATAGCAACATTTTTTTTTTTGGATCTGTCCCCTAAGGCAAAGGAAGCAAAAGCAAAAAAGAAACAAATGGGACCTAATTAAACTTAAAATCTTTTGCACGACAAAGGAAAGAGACAGCCTACTGAGTGGGAGAAAATATTTGCAAATGATATGCCCAATAAGGGGTTATTATCCAAAATATATAAATAGCTCAATATCAAAAAAACAAACAGCCCAATTAAAAAATGGGCAGAAGACCTGAATGGACATTTTTCCAAAGGAGACATACAGATGGTCAATAGGCACATGAAAAGATGCTCAACACCACTAATCATTGGAGAAATGCAAGTCAAAACCACAGTGAGTTATCACTTCACACCTGTCACAATGGCGATCGTCAAAAACACCACAAATAATAAATGTTGGCAAGGATGTGGAGAAAAGGAACCCTTGTACACTGTTAGTATGGATGTAAACTGGTGCACTGTGGAAAACAGTATGGAGTTTCTTCAAAAAACTAAAAATAGAACCACCATATAATCCAGTAATTCCACTTCTGGGTATTTCTCTGAAGAAACGGAAACACTAATTCAAAAAGGTACATGTACCCCAATGTTCATAGCAGCATTATTTTCTTTCTGACTCACTTCACTGTGTATGATAGTCTCTAGGTCCATCCATGTCTCTACAAGTGACCCAATTTCCTTTTTATGGCTGAGTAATATTCCATTGTATATATGTACCACATCTTCTTTATCCATTCCTCTGTGTGAAGTCAGAAAGAGAAAAAAAAATTTCGTGTATTAAAGCATTATTTACAATTGCCGAGATATGGAAGCAACCTAAGTGTCCATCAGTAGATGAGTGGATGAAGATGTGGGAGGGTGTGAGTGTGTAGGTGTGTGTGATGGAATATTACTCAGCCATAAAAAGGAATGAAATTTTGCCATTCACAAGAACATGGTGGACCCTGGAGGGTATTATGCTTAGTGAAATAAGTCAGAGGAAGACAAATCCTGTATGTTATCACTCATATGTGGAATCTAAAAAAAAAAAACAACTAGTGAATATAACAAAACAGAAACAGAATCATAGATACGGAGAACAAACTAGTGGTTACCGGTGGGGAGAGGCAAGATAGGGGGGATTAAGAGGTACAAACCACTGTGTATAAAATAAATAAGCTATAAGGATTATGCTATAGCACAAGGAATATAGCTGATATTTTAAAATAGCTGTAAATGGAATATAATCTATAAAAATTTTGAATCACTATCTGTACATCTCTAACTAATGTAATATTGTAAATCAGCTATCCCTCAATTAAAAAAAAAATAGGGAATGAGGGAAAGGAGGACTTTGGAATGACTTCTAGATTTCTACAGCTCTATAAAGATGTCATTTACTGAGACAGGGCCCTGGAAGAGGGAGCAAGTTGGGAAGAAAAGACTAAGTTTAATTTTGCCCATATTGATATTTGAAGTACTTATACATCGTTGAATTTGAGGTGCTTGGTTAATGTTGTAGAAACCTTTGAGTAACTTACAGAAAACCATCTTTTTTAGGAAAAGGTATTAATTGAAGCTTACAAGAAATGCCTTGCTGTATTGACGCAGTGTCATGGTGGTTTTACTGATGGTGAACAGCCAGTCACATTAAGCATCTGTGGACATTCAGTGGAAACTATCAGATACTGTGTTTCCAAAGAAAAAGTTAGCATTCACCTCCCAGTTTCTCGCTTACTTGCAGGTAAAGCATTTCTCCCTAAAAGAGAACCCTGAAATTGTCTTTCAAATTGTTGTTTGTGGTTAACATTAATTGAATACCTACACTGCATTTTTCTGAGAGTTTCACATGCATTAACTTATTTAATCATCACAGCCTATGAGGTGGGTATTGTTGTTAGGTTTATCACAAATGGGAAGACTGAGACATGGAGGTGGCTCGCTTAGCGTCACACCACAACAAGTCAGAGTAGGGATTTTGAGGTAGTTTGGCACCAGAAACCATGTTTGTAATGACCATACCATAATGCCTCTTCAGACTTCTTAACTACATATACCACATGTTTTATTGTTTATCTCAGCCCAGCTTCAAAGTCTGTGTTGTTAGGATTCAAATTGGTCTATCACTTAAGTGATCACTAATAAATTGAAACCACCCTATACTTCCTCTCTCTCTAAGCTGTTTCTTATTTATTGATAACCTTTTAATCAGCAGGTTGGAGTGAGTCCCAAATTGGGGTAATAAGATTGTAAAAAGCATTCTCTGTTTAGACAACAACATAAACAGGACAATTAATTCTTAGTTAACAATTAACTAAGGTTGAGCTATAAAAGAGCCCTTTGCAGTTAGGGACTAAAGAGGCTTTGATCCTAAACTGGAAGTTCTGGGGAACTGAATTCTGAGGTCAGGATCAGTGCAGACCATGAATTCCATGGTCAGTTTCTCTGTTCAGCTGCCAGGAGGATCTCTCACTACTATACTTTAAATGGAACAAACTCCATGATCCAGTGGAATACGACTCTTAAAATTGGTATACTGATTGCTTTGATAGTTATGTAGCTGCTTTTGCTATGTTTGTATGTCTAACATTTACTTCTGTAAAATGTCATCAGTGTATGTTGGTACCTGTAATTAAGACTCCAGTTCAAGTGTGCCTTTAATTCTGAGGTTCATGAGAATAACAATTGAAAAGCTTCATTTATGGGTGCAATTCATTTTATATCTTAATGCGTAACATGATAGGTTCCCAAAGAGAAATAGAAAAGAAGTTAGCTATAAAGTTGAGTGAATATTTATGGTTTTTTTTAATCTGAATTATTTTCACTTATAGAAATACTTTTTTATTTGTTCTCCATGCAGGTTTGCATGTATTGGTAAGCAAAAGTGAAGTGGCATATAAATTTCCAGAGCTCCTACCTCTAGTAAGTAGTGCTGACATTTAAAAGTAGATATCTATTACAAACCTCCAGTTAGATAATAAGTCATGGGAATATAATATCCAGCATAAGGAATACGGTCAATAATATCATAACAACTTTGTATGGAGATGGATGGTTACTAGACTTATCACAGTGATCATTTCATAATGTATGCAAATATCAAATCATTATGTAGTACACCTGAAACTAACATAATACTATACATCAACTATATTTCAGCAATCAACAAACAAATAAATAAAAGTAAATATTTACTATGTTCTACATACTTGAAATCACTTTGAAACAAACTACTAGGGTTCTCCAGAGAAACAGAGCCAATAAAGAGTGAGTGAATGAGTGAGTGAGTGAGTGTGTGTGTGTTTGTGTGTGTGTAGAAGGAGAGAGAGATTGATTTATTGTAGGGAATTGACTCACATAGTCTTGGGGCTTGGCAAGTTTGAAATAAGCCCGGCAACCTGGCAGGCTAAGAGTTTAAGAGTTGATGTCACAGTCTGAAGTCCAAAGGCAATCTGGAAGCAGAATTTCTTCATCCTTGGGGAAGCCTCAGTCTTTTCTCTTAAGGCCTTCAACTAATTGGATGAGGCCCACCCCTATCATGGAGAGTAATCTGCTTTACTCAAAGTCTACTGATATAAATACTAATCATATCTACAAAATGCTTTCACAGCAACATCTACATTGGTGTTAATCAAAAATTGGGTACCATGGCCCAGCCAAGTTGACACATAAAATTAACTATCACACAAACATACCTTAAAATAATTTTGACTTGTGTTTTATATAAAGCTTCCATCCCTATAAACCAATCTTCTTTATAGAGTTGAGATTTTTGTGGTTTTTTTGTATACACAGAGTGAACTTAGCCCACCCATGTTGATAGAACACCCTCTTAGATGCCTTGTTTTATGTGCCCAAGTACATGCAGGAATGTGGAGAAGAAATGGTTTCTCTCTTGTAAATCAAGTAAGTGTTTTTTAATTCTACGAAGAGTTTTCAGTCCATTCTTTACCTTCTATGAAGGTTATAATTTTCAATGTACTTAGTCACTGAAAGTCCTCTATATTAAAACTGTTTGTGGCCCCTGGAAACGAACCTTAAAAGAATTTTTTTTAAAAAACTGTTTGACAAAAGAAATGTAACCTTAAACCAAAAGGTTTTTTAGAGCTTTTATTCATATTTTGTTAAGAAACAATATCAAAAGTAGAAATGAGCTTTATTTTCACTTGCAGTCATTTTTAGAACAATGTTGGATATCTTTAAAACATAAAAAGTCTGGATTTCACTTACTTAAATTAAACTGGGTTAAAAGATAAAAGTTCTGTTAGTATAGCTCTGAAATTGAGGTTTTAATTTTTAAACCTCACCAAGGCTTGGTATAGGACTTTTCTGTTTTTGATAGGTATAATAAATCTCACTGAAGGAACTTTATTAGGAGACCCAGAAAGTTGGCTGCAAAATGTAAACCATAGAGTGACTACTATAATCTGGAGATTTCTAATTAAATAATCTCTACTAAGATAGCATTAACTGCTGGGGAAACCACATTACGTGTGCACATTTGCGTGTTCATGCTCACATGCACAAGAGTCATGTGCTCTTTTTTTTAACAAAATAAATTTATTTATTTATTTATTTATTTTTGGCTGTGTTGGGTCTTCGTTGCTGCACGTGACCTTTCTCTATTCATGGCGAGCAGAGACTACTTTTTGTTGCTGTGCGTGGGCTTCTCACTGCAGTGGCTTCTCTTGTTGCAGAGCACAGGCTCTAGGTGCTTGGGCTTCAGTAGTTGCGGCACGTGGGCTCAGTAGTTGTGGCTCACGGGCTCCAGAGCACAGGCTCAGTAGTTGTGGCGCACGGGCTTAGTTGCTCTGTGCCATGTGGGATCTTCCCGGACCAGGGCTTGAGCCCATGTCCCCTGCGTTGGCAGGCGGATTCTTAACCACTGTGCCACCAGGGAAGCCCCCATGTGCTCTTTTGGTGAATGGGGAGAGGAGGGAACTGCACAAATAAAAACCTGTTTACCCAATATAATTACTTTTTTTTTTTTAGATTTATTACTACCACAATGTGAAATGCAGACGTGAAATGTTTGACAAGGATATAGTAATGCTTCAGGTAAAAAGCATTAAATTTAAAGGTTGTGGGGAGTTTTTCTTCTTGTTATTTCCACAGGACCCAGTCATTTATGATCACTCTCAAATCTATAACTGCAGCCTAGCTCTTATCTACTAAGCTCCAAACTCATATGGCTAACAGCTGATAGAACATTTACATCTAGTTTCCTGGACACATCTCACAGTTAACACATTCAAAATAACTCCTCTTGTGTCCTCCATACCTTCTTCCTATCTTTGAGGTTTCCCTACCTTAGTGAATTATTCAACAATCTGTAGTTATTAGAGTCAGAAACCTGAAAGCCATCCTTTCTTCACTGTCGTCTGATTGAAGACCCAAATCCCTCAAACTGATTTTCAAGGGCTTCAGTACTTAGCTATGTTTAAAATTCCATGAATTTGTCATACTCTCCCTTAAGTCTTAAAATCTGCACATTTATTTCTTTTGCTCCCTAGATTGCCCACCCCACCCGCTTCCTTTTCTGTTTACCATGTATAATATTTTCCTGCGTGTCTTTGTGTTTAGAGTCACTTTCTCCAGGAAGCCTTCCGTGACACACTAAAATGTGGCTTTGTGTCCTCCTTTTGGGAGGGCCCATAGCATGATACTTATCCCCACCATAGCATTCATAAGTCTGGATTGTAGTTGCCTATTTACTTTTCGTCTCCTACACTAAACTGTGGCAACTCTATCTTGTTCCTTTTTATGTCCATTTTACATAGCACAGTGCTTGTCACAAAGTAGTGTTTCCATATTATTGCTGAATGGATTTAGAAATTATAGAAAAAGTTACAAAATGTAAATTTCAAAAAAAAAATTATTGGTTCAAGATAAATTAAAATTCAAGTTGATTGAGAAGCTATACAAGATAATATTTAAAAGCTGTCATTTCACTTAGTATAGCATTTATCACTAAAAATTAGTTTGAGTTCTTGATAAGAGTTTAATATGATACATATTTTTTTAAATGCTAGAAGTTTTATTACCATACCACATTTCTGTCTGTACACCTGGCAGTGGTAAGATAGCCCTGACACAAATCTTTGAACTGAATTTATAGGAATTATGACATGTGGGTTTAGCGAGTGTTTTGTTTTGATTTGTTTTACCAGCATAGATCCCTGTCCACACTTGTAGCTACCACAAGTAGAGATTGGGGCTAAATGGGTTTTCATCTTTTATTGGAATTGATGAACGAGTTAGCTGCTTCCTCTTGTGCAAACCAAAATACCTCTCACTAGTTGTTTAGTAGCCCTTTTGACCTTCCTCTTTTCCTTTATCTCAAACATTTTAAAAAAAGACAGGTGTCTCCATGATGGATCCAAATCATTTCCTGATGATAATGCTTAGCCGCTTTGAACTTCATCAGATTTTCAGTACTCCAGACTATGGAAAAAAAATTAGTTCTGAGACTACTCATAAGGTAAGAAGAGCATGCTTTATGAGACCACAACACACTGTTAGAGAAGCATCTTTCATTCTTTTTGGTTATTTTGATCATCTGAGGTAATACAGTATTCTTATTATCTGTGAACTTTCTCCCACTGTCCCCGATTGTTACAGGATTTAGTTCAGCAGAACAACACTCTAATAGAAGAAATGCTATACCTCATTATAATGCTTGTTGGTAAGTTTGGATCTTTTGGAACATTTATGTATTATATTGACTTTTGTGGTATCAAATAGTTTAGAATCTGAACTGTTTCCTCTATTTGAGCAGTTACTCAGTTTTAGGGGAAGGAGATGAGGGTGTCTGTTTTTATCTCCCCTCTGGTTACTGTAATGATGAGAGAAACAGCACTGTGGTCCTTTGGAAGGAGAGAGGACAACTGCTAAAGCAGGATAAACTAGAAGACTGTGTTGGGAATAAAACGGGGGACAGGAGAATTCAGCAAACAAGAATAGGATATTTAGGAGCTATTTACAATTACTTTATATCTTAGCTATGTTTTTCTCCATGGTTTTGTGGTACAAAAGTGTCCTCTTGACTTCAGATATGAAAATTCCAAGTTAATAGAGACCTATGGCTAATAGACACAGATTTTTTTTTCTTATTACCTAAATTTTCAGTCCTGTTGCCTCCATCTTTCCTATTCTTTTATCCTTTACTTTCTCCCACCTCCCGTACTATTTCAGTCTCTCTACAGTCCATAGAGCAGAGAATCCTGGCTACTGTCAGGAGGTAATACCAATGAAGAAGGTCTCAGAAGGTGATATCTTATTTGCCACTAGATAAAAGAACAAAGGAAGGCTCTCCCTCCTACCTAGGCTGCTAGTACAGCTACTGCTGTACCAGTTCTTGACTACTTCAAATCCTTTCCCACCTTCTGATCCCATTTTTTCAAAACAGCAACCAGAGTTCTCTCTCTGTTGCTGAAGACTACACTCGCCTGTTGTGTCAGAGACTCACAAAGATGGTTAAGTGCTGCTCTCACCCTACCTTGTTGCCAGACCAGTCATTGCTTTCCCATTGCACAGAAAGAAAAATACATTGTGTTGCATGAATTATAAATATATATCACTTATAAGTATTATGATTGTTAAGTGTGTGTATATGTACTTATTCACTGTTGACAGGAGAGAGATTTAGTCCTGGAGTTGGACAGGTAAATGCTACAGATGAGATTAAACGAGAGATTATCCATCAGTTGAGCATCAAACCTATGGCTCATAGTGAATTGGTAAAGTCTTTACCTGAAGATGTAAGTACCTGCATTTTAAGAAAAGAAAATTATGGAAATCCTTCCCTACCTACCAGTCTAGTATGTATAGATTTACTTCTCTGTACCTTTTCCATAATTGTAAAAACTACAGTTCTAGAATATGTATAACTCTAGTCACTCTCATTAGAAATAATTAGAAAAAGAGAATACTAGGGGCTGGGAGTGGAAAGCAGCCTAGGAATAGAATCATTTACAATGAAGCCTTGAAAGAGATAAGGATGCTGAATAAAAGAAAACCTGTTCCAGGACTTCCCTGGTTTCATAGTGGTTAAGAATCCACCTGCCAATGCAGGGGACATGGGTTTGAGCCCTGGTCCAGGAAGATCCCACATGCCGTGGAGCAACTGAGCCCCTGCACCACAACTACTGAGCCTGTGCTCTAGAGCCCGTGAGCTACACCTACTGAGCCCACGCACCGCAACTACTGAAGCCTGCGCGCCTAGAGCCTGTGCTCCGCAACAAGAGAAGCCACAGCAATGAGAACCTTGCGCACCACAACGAAGAGTAACCCCCACTTGCCGCAACTAGAGAAAGCCTACGCACAGCAACGAAGACCCAACGCGGCCAAAAATAAAATTAATTAATTAATTAATTTTTTTTAAAGAGAAAAAAACCTGTTCCTCAGAACAGAATTTATATATCCATTAAAGAGGGGTTTTTATAGGGTGTTTAAGTACAAAGTTGCCATGGGTAGAGATAACGCTTTATAACCTAGAAATATCTACTCAGCTGTGTTGACTAAAGTCTGCTAGAGTTTTTTCCTTCTAAAGCATCCAAAGACTATGCTAAGCCATCTCTCTCATTTTAGTGAATGTAAGCTAATATTCATATGGGCATTCATAGATTCAGTTGTAACTATTTTTCCTGCCAGGACCTTAAGTTCCTCTGCCGCCTACTTTTCAGCCCTGGGGCTTTTCAGAAACCCAGATTACAGTTGTGAAAGGACTTTATTTTCATCGAGGCTTTTCAAAATGTTTTCCCGAATTTGAAACATAGATCAAAACTCTTAACCTTAATGTTCATTCTTCTGGGATTTAAACCTTTATTTGTTGCATTGTAATACTTCTCTTAAACTTCGTATTATTTCAAACTTGAAAAACTTGAAACATCTATAGAAATAGAAAACATAGTATAGTGAACCATCTCCAGCTTCAACATATGACCAATCTTATTTTATTTATACCCCAGCCACTGATCTCTTCACCCTCACTGGGTTATTTTGTAGAGAATACCAGGTTTACCATTTCATCTATAAATAGAATTGTATATATCTAAAACAGTGGTTCTCAACCAGGGATGATTCCCCCCCCACCCCCTGGAGCGGGTGGCATTTGGCAATGTCACTACTCAGGGCAGGGTGTGTGATGCTACTGGCATCTATTCAGCAGAGGCCAGTATACTACTAAACATCCTACAATGCACAGGACAGATTCCCACAACAAAGAACTATCTTGTCCAAATGTCAGTAGTGCCAAGGTTGATCCAAAAGATATGAGCTTTTAGAGAAACCTATGCATATGCCAATTATCACACCTAAAAAAAAATAATGATTTTTTAATATCACTGAATATCTAGTCAGAATAAAAATTACATGTACTTTTTTTAATAGATCTTTGTTAATGGACTACTTTGCCATTTCTAGTTGTGTATACATGTACTTTTTAATGCAGGAAATGAGGAAACAATTAACAGTTTCATTTAGACCATTGGAATAAGGAAGAAATAAAATTTAAAACAGTATTTTAAAAGTGTAACTGCCTTGTACAAAGTGATGGCATCTATATTTACCAAACATTTTTGACCAGAGAATATTTCACGGAATTCCTGTGAACAGCTTGTCGTGAATGGGATATGATTTGGGAAATGATGTTTTAACAAAAATAGATAAGAAATTAGTGTAGCTATTTCACAAAATACTGCAAATATATAAATTTTAAATATAAAATTTAAACGTTATGTGTACTTTGTGTTTTTACTTTATTCCTTTTGAAAGCTGTCATCTTGATTCCATATGGTAGTAACTTGTTTTTAATTATGTCAATCTGAATAAATGTTAGCTTACCAACTGAATTTCCCCAACTGCCTATTAATCATTATGTTTACTATGGAATCCTCATTTGTAAAAATCAGGAGAATAGTATATCTGCTTTATGCGATTGCTGTATGAAGCTTAATGAGATAAAAGCACAATGCTCAAGAGTGCTAGCAGATATTATTATTAACATGAAACACACTTAATTTGTTTCCTGTACCTTTAGGAGAACAAGGAAACTGGCATGGAGAGTGTAATTGAAGCAGTTGCCCATTTCAAGTGAGTTTATTTTCTGCTTTTTCACATTCAATTTTATTTTATACATTAATTTTTCTTAGAGTGTTTCCCTTGATGGAACTAAGAATAAAACTGTTGTTTTCAGAGAGTGACAACCACTTTCAAACATATAATTCTGAACTAGATTTCTCACTGACATTTCACTTTTATGATCTAGCCCTGCACTTAGCAACTTGAAGTAGCTTTATGAGAGTTTTCAGTTTTCAGGTGTTCCCTAGCTGATAGTTTCAGATAATTGAAACTAACCTGAGCAGGTGATCTGAGTAAATGCATTGTGCTTTCTTTGTTTCCATTTGAATGTGCCACCTAAGTTGTGGGATAGCCTCTGAATAATGCTTTCTTCGGTGTCCAGTGTGTTGCCCAGTCAGTAAACTATAAGTAGTCTATCCCCTTACGGTTGTTGAGGCAGTTTCTTAATCCTGCTTTTTCTGTGCTCCTCATTCCAATGGCATTGTCTTTATTTTTGCTGATTTTAAAACAGTACATATTTTTAGGGAAAATATAGAAAAAATTATAGAAAAGATTCTCTAAACCCTAAAATTGCATCTGCTTTTTTTTCACTTGGTAGAACTTATCACAGACATCTTTACATGTCAGAGTGTACAAGTTAACATCAATTTTAATAGTGTTCAGTTGTTTGGAGATGTCATAATGTGTGTAACCTGTCCCCTGTTGTTAGACTTTAAATTGTTGTCACTGCAGTGACCATCACATTCACTTGTCCAGTTAGAATAAATTCAAGGTGGACATGCTAGATAAAGTGAACGCACATAAAGCTTTGAATGTAGATGATTAAATGAACCCACAGAAAGTAGTTCCAGCTTACATTCACCAACAGTATATGAGATTGAAGAATTTTTTTTTCCCCCAAAGGAAACCTGGATTAACAGGACGAGGCATGTATGAACTGAAACCAGAATGTGCCAAAGAGTTCAATTTGTATTTCTATCACTTTTCGAGGGCAGAGCAGTCCAAGGTAATTGAGAAAATTAAAAGTGTACTGAGAAAGGGTTGCTTGGAGTTTTTTTGTTTTTATTTTGTTTTTTCCTAAACAACTTTTACTGCTTTTCACAGATTGAAAAAGGACACATTTTTATTGTAGGAAATTTGGAAAATATGAAAAGGTATAAAGAAGAAAGTACAGATTACCTATACCACCACGTAGCATTTGGGGTTTTCCCTTATTTTGTGCATACATAAAAAAGGTCTATATAATTATATACATACCCACACGTATCTAATTGTATGTATTTTATTAGCTTTTGAAGACATCATCAACGTGTATTCTAATCAGTTAACCTATTTAACACTCATTTCAGAATCGCTAGTACTTAACATGCTTTTCCATGGTGACTTAAGGAATTTTCCTGATCATTCTTAGCGGGTTAAATTTTGCCTTTTAGCAGTCTACTCTTAAAAATAAGTTTTCAATAAATGGCAGTAAATGAAACTTAAACATGAAGCTTTTGTTTATTAGTTTTCTGGGGTTTGTTTTTGTCTTTGCTTTTTTGAAGTATAGTTGATTTACAATGTTGTGTTAGTTTCTGGTGTACAGCACAGTGAAATCAGTCATATATATATATTCGTTTTCAGATCCTTTTCCCTTACAGGTTATTATAGAATATTGAGTATAGTTCCCTGTGCTATACAGTAGGTCCTTGTTGGTTATCTATTTTATATATAGCAGTGTGTATTAGTGTTTGATGCATGAAATAAAGTTCAAATCAAAAATAAGTTTTTGGTTTTGGTTGGTGCATGTTTCCCCTGCATTTTTTTTTTTTTTTTTTTGCGGTACGCAGGCCTCTCATTGCTGTGGCCTCTCCCGTTGCGGAGCACAGGCTCCGGACGCACAGGCTCAGCGGCCATGGCTCACGGGCCCAGCCGCTCCGCGGCATGTGGGATCTTCCCAGACCAGGGCACAAACCTGTGTGCCCTGCATCGGCAGGCGGACTCTCAACCACTGCACCACCAGGGAAGCCCTTCCCCTGCATTTTAAATCAAGAAAGAATCCACTTGGGATTCTCTTAGTGGCAGGGGGAAATTAACCTTGATACCAATTTTGGGGGAGTTGCAAAACTAAGGATAGAAATCTTCTAAAATCAGAAGTTAGTATGGCAAAGATTAACATATATCAGTAGTTTTGGATATTAAATTGTTTCATGTTACTAATTCCCTGTCCAAATTACATTCATTTTTATTAGGCAGAGGAAGCCCAACGGAAATTGAAAAGACAAAATAAGGAAGATACAGGTATTTTTAATCTTTCCCAAAATCTCGTTTCAGTCTCTTTTACGTGTTAAACATTGTTTTCTATTGACTATGATGATGATTCTTAATGAAGTGGTAGATTTAAATACAAGCTTTCTGAGTGAGCTTTTTTTTTGGCTGATTTGGGTCTTAGTTGCGTCACATGGGATCTTCCTTGCAGCACGCGGGATCTTTCATTGTGGCACACGGGCTTCTCTCTAGTTGTGGCGCACGGGCTCCAGAGCGTATGGGCTCAGTAGTTGTGGCACGCAGGCCCTCTAGTTGTGGTGCCTGGGCTCTAGAGCATGTGGTCTCAGTAGTTGTGGCGCACAGGCTTAGTTGCCCTGCAACATGTGGGATCTTAGTTCCCCACCCAGGGATCGAACCCACGTCCTCTGCATTGGGAGGCGGATTCTTGACCACTGGACGCCAGGGAAGCCCCATGAGTGAACTTTCAAGGGCTAATAAATATGCTAATGTAGACATAGTCTGTACTGAGTCACCTTTGGGTTAATGGTTTTATCTCGGATCATAAGACATTTCTAGGGAAAAGAAAGGCCTTCTTTTGTACTACTGCTACTTACACAGCTGTTTTTATGCATTTGACTGACCTGAGAAGGTAAAACATAGCTTTAAGATGTGTGTAAATGAATATTCTTTGAAGACTATCAAAAGTATGTAACAAAGGGATAGTTTTTTGCTGTTTTTTTTTGTTTGTTCATTTGTTTTTTAAAGGATGTTCTACAAAAGAAGCCAATTATAACTTTATTTTCAGCACTTCCACCTCCAGTTTTGCCCCCATTCTGCCCTCTGTTTGCAAGTCTGGTTAACATTTTGCAGTCAGATGTCATGTTGTTAATCATGAGAACAGTATTGCAATGGACTGTAGAACATAACGGACATGTCTGGTCTGAGTCCATGCTGCAAAGGGTAAGTTTGAAGACATTTATTATTTATATTTTAGTGGTCTTGTAGTAAAAACCAAAATACAAAATACTCCTGTCAATATCTGTACACAGGAAACTTAGGATAAAATGTAGTGTTAACTTAATTCGAAATATAATATTTTGTTACTGTTTGTGTCTGACCATAAAAATGAGAGCCTGGCAGATTTTTTTACACCACATGGTTGTGGTTACCTTGGTCTTGTTGGCAGATCTGCTCTCATTGATTGGTCCTGATATGTCTTTGTTTATACAGTACTCTGATATTTGTATTATGTGTTATCTTTGCATTTGTTTTTACTTAATTCTCTTTAAAAACCTCTGAGTTCATTAATACTTATGTTTTGCAGTTGAAGAAATTGAAAGTCAGAGACTTACGTTCCTATAACTAATTAGTGACAAGTCTAGAACCTTGTTTGTATTTTACTTTATAGATTTAATGTAAGTCATTCATAAATTATTATCTCATTAAATTCACGTAATACCCCTACGAGTATCAGTAGATAGTTTTTCCACTGTATAGATGAGGAAGGCAAGTTTCAGTGAGATAGACTTGTCCATGTTACCCAACTAGTAAGTAACATAATAATAATAATACTCAGTTATTAGCCTACTCTGTGCCTTATTCTATGCTAGGCACTTGTATGTACCATATTTGTAACCTTCAAAACTCTAGAGGAAAGCTTCTTTTTTTTATTTTGATTTTGAAGATGATGAAGTTAGGCTTAGTGGGACTTGAAAGCAGTGAAGCCAGAATTCAGATGAAGGTGAGCCTTCCTCCAGAGCCTTCCTTCAAAGTTACTGTTCTTTCCATTGTCTCAGCAGGCTCAAGTATCTCATTGGCTAAGATTTTTGTATATGTATACCCTCCTCCAGTTTACAAACATACACTTAAAATATAAAAGCATGGAGTTGCAGTATACTGGAGACCATCAGTATTAAATGAGCAAAAGATGTATGGGAAATGATGGAGAAAAGAGGAATGAACATCATTTATCTTATATATACATTTGCTTTATGTCATTCAGGCTAACTTAGTTCTTCCAAGTCTAACAACCACAGTAGCCCTATGTGTAGGGAATGATACAGAGACACCACACACATTATCTCCTTCAAAAATTGGGGAGCAGGATAAAGAACAATAAAAGTGCAAATAGATTAGTGTAGTTATATTCTTAGAAGTCTAGTAAGGAATTTTTCATGAGGTATGCTGAACATCTTTATAAATGATATGGCATTAGAGATAAAAGTGTGTCTCTTAGATGATTAAGATTTTTAGTCCTTAGAGAAATTGAACTAGGAGTATTATAGATTAGATCATTGCATGATAGATGATTTCAGGTCTAATTATTTGGCCACTGATTCTTAGAATCAGTGATTTTTAAGACTGTAGTGTAGGGATGGAATAAAACTGAAAATTATATGGATTGCTGGTCACAGCTCTTAGTAATTTTAACTTACCCTAAGAATTTGCAATTGAATTTTCTTCCTAGCTGAAATAGAAATTTTTGTTTCCTTGCTGAGAATTCTTTATTAGAAAATGAACTTTAGAGTTTGGATTTCATGAAAATTGGTACTTCGAATTATTTTTTACTGCACTTAGTGTTTAATAGTTTATCTTTTTTCAATAGTGAATTTTTTTTATTTCTTATAAAAATATGTACTTGATTTTTGTTTCACTAAAAGTTACAAAACATACTGCATTTTAGGTGTTACATTTAATTGGAATGGCACTACAAGAAGAAAAACAGCATTTAGAGAACGTCATGGAGGAGCATGTAGTAACGTTTACCTTCACTCAGAAGATATCGAGTATGTATACAGTTTTTACTAAACTAACTCAACATGTCCATGATTTTTAAATGTAGTATAACCTCTTTTATTTGATCATATAAGTTTTAAGTAGGTTATAATGAATCCAAATTTCTGAGACTGTCTGTATTCACCTGTGTATTATATCAGATCCTGTGTACTGTATCAGATCCTGATACATTTTTATAAAAATACTTAGGGCCTACCCATACTTTAAAAACATAAATTTTAATTCATAAACAGGAAAAAGTAATGAGGATTCCTTAGTTTGAAATCAGTATAGGACATAAATTTAAACTCTAGTATATACTTTTAAAAACACAGAGTTTGCTATTAGGATTTCACTTTTAAATTGTTGCTATTATCTTATAAAAAGTAATGAAAATAAGAAAATTAGCTATAGAGGATTACATTTTATATAAAGTAATGTGACTTTTTTTGAGAGGACCAAAGAAATATTTTTTCTTGCTTTTTAATATTAAAATTTCAAACATACAGACAAGTTGGAAGAGTTGTACAGTAAACATCTATATACCTGCCACCTAGACTCAGTAGTTAGTGTTTTGCTATATTTGCTTTATGTTTGAACACCTTTTTGAACCATTTGGTTTTTTGTTTATTTATCTTTTGGCTGTGCTGCACAGCATGCAGGATCTTAGTTCCTCAACCAGGGATTGAACCCGGGCCCCCTGCAGTGGAAGCACAGAGTCCTAATCACTGGACTGCCAGGGAATTCCCTGAACCATTTGTTTCAGATGTCATAATACTTCATCTCTAAATAAAAACGTTTCCTTTATTAATTTTCAGAATAAGCAGTTCTAATAGGTACCTGAAGTAGTGGCAACTGTGAATCTTTTTGGTTTGCTTACGTTTTTTTGTGGTTCTTTTTTTTTTTAATGTTACTCATGGGTTTTTTTTCAGAGTTTTTTTTTTTTTTTTTTTTTTTTTTTTTTTTTTTTTTTTTTTTTTTTGCGTTATGTGGGCCTCTCACTGTCGTGGCCTCTCTCGTTGCGGAGCACAGGCTCCGGACGTGCTGGCCCAGCGGCCATGGCTCACGGGCCCAGCCGCTCCGCGGCATGTGGGATCTTCCCGGACCGGGGCACGAACCCGTGTCCCCTGCATCGGCAGGTGGACTCTCAACCACTGCGCCACCAGGGAAGCCCTTCAGTGTTTTATAGTCAGTTATAATCAATACTCCTTTTGATGCTCAAACTGTGCCACTTCTGGGTAGTGGGAGTCTGTTCAATTGGCTCTGTGTCCTTTTGACCCAACCCCATTAGTATTTGAGCACCACCTTGCTTTCTGGCACAAAAAGTGTCTGAGGCTCATCTTGTACTTTACCTGCTCCAGACCTGCAATCAGTGATTTGCTGAGATGCTTAAATGAATTTGTGGTGTATAATAGGAGTTTCTGAATTCCTGATTGCAAGGGAGCATTTCTGTAACTTTGTTTAGTATTGTGTTCTCTGCCATTTCTTCCTAAAAGATAATGACTGTGAGAATACTAGGTTCCACTGGGGGATGAGGAGGAATAGTCCTGGTTGCTGCTAAATCTCTATTTTTCCCATTTTGCCCACATCCAGGTAAGTGGGAGGAAGAAGGGGAGCTGTCTTTCCCCACTGAAGACTATGTTCTTGGGTGCCAGCCTTTCCCAGCTCTTTTCTCTGCCAGTGTTTCTTTCTATCGATTAACAGTAACATTGTATCTGTTGTACATTCTTTATCTGCAGTTTTTTTACTTTGGGATAACCACACAGAAAACTCCCTTATTTCATTTGATCTCAGGTTCTCTTTTGCTTCTTTCTTTTTCTTTCAACAATCATCATTTTCTCTAGACAGTCCTCCTATTTCTCTTTAAACATTTTATATAATTAAAACAAACTATTGGAACTTCTGTGGTGGCACAGTGGTTAAGAATCCGCCTACCAGTACAGGGGACACGGGTTCAAGCCCTGGGCCAGGAAGATCCCACGTGCCATGGAGCAGCTAAGCCCGCGAGCCACAACTACTGAGCCCATGTGCCACAACTACTGAAGCCTGAACGTCTAGAGCCTGTGCTCCGCAACAAGAGAAGCCACCGCAATGAGAAGCCAGCACAGTGCAACGAAAAGTAGCCCCCGCTCGCCGCAACTAGAGAAATCCTGCACACAGAAACAAAGACCCAGTGCAACCATAAATAAATACATGCATACATACATACAAACAAAAGACAAACCATTTAGAGACAGATCCCTAATCCACAGCGACCGAATTTCAGATCTGGAAGAATATTAAAGATCACATAGTTCAGGGAATTCCCTGGCGGTCCAGTTGTTAGGACTCGGAGCTTTCACTGCTGAGGAACTAAGTTCAGTCCCTGATCGGGGAACTAAGATCCCACAAGCCATGTGGCACAGCCAAAAAAATAACAATTAAATTAAATTACATTTTTTTAAAAATATCACATAGTTTGGTCTCTTACCCTCTTAGGAAAGAGTAATATTTTGCCACAAATGTTTCTTAAATCAATAAAATTAATAATTGGATATTTCCAACTATAAAACTAAATTAGCTAATATTGTATTAAATGTACTCCTGAGAGTAATAGACTTTTATGTCTTTTTCTCAAAATAAAGTAATCCATAGAGGAAGAAATTTGTTTTATTTTGAATCTAGGTTTTCATTAAAGGAAAGGTCAAAACAAATAGATACATGTTATATACACATGGACTCCTATAATCCTGATTCATTTTCTTAGACTTGTAAAATCTCAGGTAGACCTTTCAGCTGGGTGTTTTTTTGTTTTTTGTTTTTTTTTGCGGTACGCGGGCCTCTCACTGTTGTGGCCTCTCCTGTTGCGGAGCACAGGCTCCGGACGCGCAGGCTCAGCGGCCATGGCTCACGGGCCCAGCCCCTCCGCGGCATGTGGGATCCTCCCAGACCGGGGCACGAACCCACATCCCCTGCATCGGCAGGCGGACTTTCAACCACTGAGCCACCAGGGAAGCCCTTCAGCTGGGTTTTTATTTAATTTTTCTAGAGGCTATGTTAAAATAATCATTTGGTGTAAGATGTCAGTTTTGAATGATTAAAGCATTCTAGTTGTTAACAACTTGTTTGTAAAATACAAATATGTCACATTTCGAGAGGTATTGAAAATTTCTAAGTTGAGCTGTAATCAAATGATGGGCAAATGATGGGCAAATGTTATAAGCAACTTCATGTATCTTCTTGTGCACAGTAATAAGCACTATGAAGTCTTAGCTGTTGTTCATGTGCCCTTTTTTTCTTCTGCCTCAGAACCTGGTGAAGCACCAAACAACTCTCCTAGCATACTAGCTATGCTGGAAACACTACAAAATGCTCCCTACCTAGAAGTCCACAAAGATATGATTAAGTGGATATTAAAGGTAAAATTTCCTGCATCACTCTGCTTTTTGTGAGAAATATTAAATGTTTATCTTTAAATTTTTATAATGTTTCATAGCTTCAGAATAACGATATTTTTTTTCATAGACTTTTAATGCTATTAAGAAGATAAGGGAGAGTTCATCCACCAGTCCTGTGGCAGAGACAGAAGGAACCATAATGGAAGAGGTATAAGATGTAAAGTGTGGTAATGCTGAAAAATTGTGGCAAGCTCACTATAAACAATTAAATTTATCTGCATTAAGTTGGTAGTTGATGTTATTCACAAACATGTAAATCCCAAGAAGTGTGCCACCATTTGTTTATATTTTTGTAGCTGTCTTTTTGGACTGCCTTTTTTTTTTTCTTTTAACATGTTAGGTTGATTAAGAAATCTTTGCTCTTCGTTTATAAAAGTGAGATTATAGAATAGTTTTTAATTAGTATTTACAATAAAGATGTTTCTGCTTTGGGGGAAAAAAATATGCATTTAGCCTCTAATGGTCTAATTAAATGAAGCGTAATTTCAGAGTTCGAGAGACAAAGACAAAGCTGAGAGGAAGAGAAAAGCCGAGATTGCCAGACTGCGCAGAGAAAAGATCATGGCCCAGATGTCTGAGATGCAGCGGCACTTTATTGATGAGAACAAAGAACTCTTTCAGCAGACATTAGAACTGGATGCCTCTATCTCTGCTGTTCTTGATAATAGGTAAAAATTAATCACAATTTTTGAAACTCTTGACCATGGTTCTCAACTGAGGAAGATGTTTGGTTTTTTTTCTTTATAAGTACACTTAATCATAGAATAACTTAGAAGAGTTGATAAATTTTGTGGCCTTGTAGTTAGAGGACTTAATCTTAGAAATCTGAGTTTATTAGCATATGATTATGAGCATGTCTCTTGACTATAGATAAGAGAATTCATATGTATGCTTAAAATGTAAGTTATACAGAAGACCCTTGAGATTCATAAAAGAATGAATACACTGGGCTCAGTTAACTTCGTGTCTGGCTTATGTGTTGCATGTTGGATTGCTATGAGAATTGAAGGAGATGGTTTTGATACATATGAAAGACTTGGGTCTCTCAAATCAAGTCATCAAAACTGTGTGTTTTAGGGACTTCCCTGGTGGTCCAGTGGCTAAGACTCTGCGCTCCCAATGCAGGGGGCTTGGGTTCGATCCCTGGTCAGGGAACTAGATCCCACATGCTGCAACCAAGACTTTACATGCCGCAACTAAAGATCTGCACGCCTCAACAAAGATCAAAGATCCCACGTGCTGCAACTAAGACCCGGCACAGCCAAATAAATAAATATTTTTTTAAAAAAACAAAAAACTGCGTGTTTTAAATACGTTTCTACTTACCTAGAATCTACTGTTTTATGATTCTATAGAAACTTCTTAGGCTCATTAATTATACTCCTAACCTTTTTATTCCAGCCCTATGGTTTCAGATATGACTCGTACGGCATTGGGCCCAGCACAGACTCCGGTCCCTGAACAAAGACAATTTGTTACCTGTATATTGTGTCAAGAAGAGCAAGAGGTCAAGGTGGAAAGCAGGGCAATGGTCCTGGCAGCATTTGTTCAGAGATCAACTGTATTATCTAAAAACAGAAGTAAATTCATTCAGGATCCAGGTAAGCCATAGCTATATCCTCATCCTCCCTCTTAATAATGACTGCCACATAGTATGGTAGGTGATATACAGAGATTTTATTAACCTAATAGTAACTGTAGGCTTGGTGGTATCTTGAGCAGGTAACTTAGACAGGAATTCCTCACTTGACAGATGTGGAAACACTCCAGAAGGTTAAGTATTATGCCTGAATTACGCAGCTGATAAATAGCAGGGATTCAAAAGAAAGCTGTTCTTTGTTTCATTAACTACTTTGGTACTTAACAGTCTTTCCCATTCTTCACATTTGTAAAGTCCAATAATTAGTTGACACTTAAATAACAATAACTATTTTATCTCCATAATTATTTTATCTCATGGATAGATCCAGGGTGGAATCCCTTGATCTATCAGTGGAATCCCTTGATCTAACAGTGGTGTGAGTCACCCCTGTGAGAAGCTGTCCTTGAGCCAGATTCTCATTTAGATTATTGAGATAGAGATTACCATGCAGTGCAGGATGTTATTCAAGAGAGTCTTGGGATCAACGTGGAATGGAGGGGAAGGAAGCAGGTTTGGGCAAAGGGAGAAGTTGAGCTATGATGCAGTCCCCAAAAGACCTTAACCAACCCCATGGGATCTCTGGAGCTGAATGGCCCTTCAGAGGTGTCCCAACTTGGGGCAAGGGGGCTAGGTCTTTATACCCTGACACTGATCAGTGACTGGTTGTGGCCTACCTCTGGAAAGAGGTGTGACCTTGATCAAAGTAGTGTGACCCTGAGCAAAGTCCCTTAAAGAGGGATAACAGTTGAGTGCTCTCTTCTAACAGCTGAGGGAGTACGTCATTCATTCCTGCAGGGGCTTCTGGGCTGCACCTTATTGTGTCCACCGCAGATACTTTTATGTTTCTACTCTTACATTTGTTTATGTGTGCATATGCCTCAATGATACCAGTAAACTTCTTGAGAGTAGGAACTGTGTTTTAATTTCCAAAGCACTTAATTTAGCCAGTGCTTTTCACATTGTATGATTGGAAGGAGGTGTGAGAGACCACTGGTAAGTTTGCCTTTTCTCTATAATGAAAGTCTTCACAGTGTGGCTCTCAAGCACCCTAGTTAAGATACATTGGTCAGCTTCACCTTAAGAAATGATCATTTGTACTAGACGATTTACAAATTTTATTCCAGGCTGAAGATAAAGATAAAATACCAATTGTATTTAGTACTTGGCTATAAGTGGATTTTTTTAATGCTTTCACAATTTATGTCATAAAAGATTTTCTTTATGCTGTGAAATTTGTACTGTTCTATTATATAAAGCAAATTGAAACTTGAGTAATTTAATGTTAGGGAATTTCTAAGATTATACTAATTTATGTAGAGAATTCAAGAATTCCCAAAGAAGCCAGCTACCCACTTTATGTTTGTCTTCATTTTTCATCTCCTTTAAATATAAAAAATTAGTACCAGAGCAGAAGACTGTCTGAATTGCCTGTTTTTCCCTACTCTGGTCTGGGCTGCTGTCCCAGATATTTTGCTGCAGCTTTGACTCTGGTATAGTAATTATTGCTAGTCTCTGCATGATTGTCTTTAGGCAGATTCTCCTCTACTGCCAGGACATCTTTTTTTGTTAGAGATCATTGTGACCCAGCTGCCCTGAAGGTATTAAAGACCTCTCCCTGAAGAATATCCCTTTTACCTCAGGCTCAGGGCATTTTCGGGGAATAGGAGTCTCTCAGTGCCCTGAAAATGTGAAATGTTCAAAAGATTAGATGTACTTAAATATGGGATCCCAGTTTCAGTTAACAATTCAGGGATGTTTCATTAACTTGCTCAGAGTAATGAAAATTAGAGAGTCCTGTATTCTGAATAATCCGGGGTCTTGCATAAATTATTGGTATCTCAAATCAAAGGAATAAACTAGCATATCATTTGAAGTTTACAGGCCCTTAGTAAGGATTTCACAGTTTAAAGTTGTACATTTGTTATAGGAATATTAAATGCTTGGTTTTTTGCTTTGTTTTTTGTTTGTTTTATAATGCAGAAAAATATGATCCATTATTCATGCACCCTGATCTGTCTTGTGGAACACACACTGGTAGCTGTGGGCACATTATGCATGCCCATTGTTGGCAAAGGTAATTTATATTCTTAATATTAGGCAAGAGAAGTTTATCCAAAGGCTCAAAATTAAATTTTTTAATAAAGGAAATTCCATTCTAGAAAAAGGGAGAAAGAACTAAAGATGTTTGAAGAAGAAAACTCCGTATTACTGCCTAATAAATAACAAAATTAATTTGCTTTGTCATTACATTTAAAGGAGTGACTTAGAAACTTCATAGTATATCAAATGTATTTTTTAATGTGGGGATCTAACAGACTAGATGAAGTAAAGGATTTTTACAGTGGTATAAACCCTAGAAATATGTCTTTCTTTGGGTCCAGGGTGAACAACTCTTGATTCTGAAGATGGTAGTACTTGTCTGGTTAGTTCCTAAGATTGTCATGGCTCCCTGAGATAAGATGGGATAACTTCAAACTTATTCTACTTTGGTGCTTTCTATGCTTCCGCAAAACCAACAAATCAGTGCTGTTATTCTAGTGCTCTGCTCATTGAGTTGTTATGAACTGCCCCTAGTAAGTAGTCACCAGCACTGGGGGAGTAACCGCAGAGCACTGGGACCAAGAAATATGCTACATTGTGAATGATTGTTTGCAAGGCAGTCTTTTTTCGATTCTCCTGTTTTAGAACTCTTAACCCGTTTTGGTAATTACATCAACTCAAAATTAGAGTATCACTGTTAAAAATAATTCAGGTCATTTCAAGATTTTAATTTTTAGATTTTTTTTGTGGAAACAAATTATTTAAAATGTTGAAGCTTGTGGCTCTCATTTTCAAAAATTACCATTGTTTTTGATACCTCATGTTTTCTAATTGTTAAAGGTATTTTGATTCCGTTCAAGCTAAAGAACAGCGAAGGCAACAGAGATTACGCTTACATACAAGCTATGATGTAGAAAATGGAGAATTCCTTTGTCCCCTTTGTGAATGCTTGAGTAATACTGTTATTCCTCTGCTGCTTCCTCCAAGAAATATTTTTAATAGGTAAGTTTTGGCTCATAAAACCTTTATATCAAAGAACTAGTTTCCTTTGAAGGTAATGAAATAATAAACAACAGCTGGGTGAGGAGATCACTCTAGGTAAATGCATAATGTCTTCCAGGTACTTTCCAAACTTTTTATTTAGTTATTTCTTCTAGCTGACCTATGAAATATGATTTTGGTTTTTAGAAAGGAACAGGCTAAAATTTAACAGTTTCTTGGTCACCTGTAAGCACTATAAAGGATATAAAGTTCCCATGTGTTCATGAAAACTGTCTCCTTTATTTCTAAGACCCCACTTTAAATATCTCCCTCATACGTTTTAAGAAATGCTCAGTAAATTGATAGGGGGAGAAGGGGCAGCTCAAACGGACATTTTTGAACATACTAACAATTAAATATAATTTTTTGCAATTTACTGGCCAATTCAAAAATTGGGCCAAAAAGTGAAAATCTGTTAGTGTATTTAAAATGCAAAGTTTTTGTCATTTCATAATTTTTAGTGCACTTTTAGTTAATAGGAGTATTAGACATACTCATTTCAGATATGAATTTGATAGTGTCTCCTCTTCAAACCTGACCTTTGTTACTCAGTTTATGGTGTCTGTCTTACATTCACAAATACTAATTTGAGTTTTGTGAATATGAATCATCTGTTTATTTCTGTGCTACTATTTGGGTTTAAATAAAGCAGGGTCAGTTTTTTTCTCTTCAATTTTAGGAGTTAAAACAATGGTGTCTTAGTCTATGCTACTACACAGTGTTCTTAAAATACCATTAGATGTGCATGTAAGCTCATGCATTTTAATCAGAAAAGCATATCATGGTGCTGACTTATACCTGCATTTGAACTGGTAAAGAAATTAGTCATTGTTAGATTAAGAATTCTCTGCATGTAAGGAGAAAACAATCACTTTTGTGATTCAGATTTTGCTTTTTTTCCCAGGAGAGTCAGTTATGGCACATTTGTTAAAAGAACACAGGCTGTGGAGTCTGATATAGCTGGGTTTGAATGCCACATCTGTCCCATATATGGCCTTAGTCAAGTAACATAGCTCTAAACCTCAGTTTCCTCATCTGTAAAATGGGGACAATAATATAACCTATTTCATTAAAGATTCTGAGGATTAAATATAATACTGTAAAATGCTCACAACATAACTAAGGGCTTGCAATATAATAAGCACTCAATAAATAGTGTCCGTGGTGTGGTGATTATGATATTTAAGAAATACTAATAAATTCCAGTACCGAAAAAGTGAAATATTTGACAGATAATTCAATATGGTGCTAATAATTATCAGCATCATATTGACGAATAATGTATTTTCATTTCCATTGGTAAATACCTATTCTGACTTCTTAAAAAGCAACAAATTTTCCCCTAGGTTTTTTGTTTGTTTGTTTTTTTAATATTTGAAGTGTGTCTAAAATATACCTGTCATCATTTAAGGAGTCTTTTTTGTATCTTAAACTAAGCAGCAACAGAATACTAAACACTCTCTATAATCCTTTCTAGCAGGTTCCTTTTTTCAGACCAACCAAATCTGACTCAGTGGATTAGAACAATATCTCAGCAAATAAAAGCATTACAGGTTCTTAGGAAAGAAGACAATACTCCTAGTAAGTTCTGATAACCTGCTTTCATTTTTCCCTAACGTCTGAAACCATTGGGAAATAGTTTCAGAATAAATTGTTTTAAAATATTTTAAAAATGAAGCCTCTCACTTTAAAATTTGACTTTCTCTAATTTTCTTTGTCTTAATGAACTAAATTTGAATCTCTTACATTACTCCTTATTCCTTGAAAACACACAAGCTCATGTGAAGTTTATGATAAATACTTCTCACTTACTCCCCCATTTTATTGAAGAGCTTCTGGGGGTCGGGGAGATGTAACTGAGTATGGAAGAGCTGGCTTTATTCTCTGTGGGCTGACTCACTATATTGTTGGCATTACCAAAGGCTTCCCAAGTTTGATAGACATGCACTGCACTTCCGACCTTGAGGGAAAACAGTCTGAGCAGAATTTATACCATTGGTTTATAAGGAAACAAAACGGCATACTCTTCCTTTTCTTACCTTCCCTAGCTACATTCCAGTGGCTTTACTTTGAGGAGAAGCACAGGTGACTGAAGAAGGTACCTAGGTCATCCAGAGCAATAGTGTTTCTCATGCTTTGAATGTATATTATACTGGTTTTCATTAATGGGAATTTTTCCCATTTTTTAAAATTTCTTTGACCTAAATTTAGAATGAAATTTGTGACTGAAATTTATAGAAATATTGTGGACTAAAGAATAATAGTATAAAATGCTTGTTTCTGTAGATACTGCCTTATCAAAGAATTTAGAAAATGTGGATGAATTGCAGCTCCCTGAAGGATTTAGGCCTGATTTTCATCCTAAGTGAGTATATTATTCCCTTTAAATTTGGCCCACTTGAAATGAAAAATTAAGTCAGCAGTTAGTAAGAATATCATTTGTCAAGTTAGGGAGCAAAATGTTACAGGACACTGATCTTGAATTCTGAGACTTAAGAATATTTACTGCAGGTGTATTGATAAAAACCTATGAACTACATGGCATGTTTAATTCTCACAAACCTCTCCTAGTCTATGTTCCTGACTCCCTCCTACACCCCTTGATCTGGCTCTCCTTGACGACACCTCATCAGTACATCTAAACCTAAGGTGCTCAGCTCCCCCACCAAAGCCCATGCTTCCTTCTGACTTCTGTTTTCTATTTATGGCCCCATCAACCTCTTAGTAACTCAGGACCAAAACCAGAGTGTTTGCAGCCTAATTTTACCCATAGCCAGTAAGTTACAAGGTATAACCCAGATTCTAGAGCTAGACTGCTTTTGTTCAGTTCCAGCACCACTGCTTATAAGCTGTGCAACTTTGTGCAAATTGCTTGACCTCTCTGTACCTCACTCAGTTTCCTCATTTGTAAAGGGAAGATAATAATATCTACCTCATAAGTGTTATAAAGATAAAGTGACAATACATTTAACGTTACCTGGAAGCTGTGCCTGGCAAATACTAAATTACTCAGTAAAAATACTACTGGAGGGCTTAAACAGAAAGAACATCAGTCCTGTGCCTCTCACATTCCTCCTCCCTATCCCCAGTCCTGTCATTTTGTTTCTTCTGCTACGTACTTCCATATTTCTAATTAAAATGCTTAATCAGCTGTGTCTTGATTTATCATTTTTTTAAACAGTATCTTTCTGTTGACTAGTAATTTAGGATTCAACTTTGACCTCTACCCTATTCACTATTCCTCGCCAGTCTACCTATAGAGTTATTTCACAATTTTTGGTTAAATCATTTGTCAGTTTTTATATTATAATTGTTTCTACTGATAAGTTGTGTGGTAAATTTTCCTTTCTTATACATTTTGTTTTCCTGTGGTTAATAATTACCTTATTTTTTTCATATACTTGGTTTTCTTTGTATATAATACTTTTTTTCCCCTAAACATTGCAGTAGACCTGTCAGATGCCTAGCAGTAGCTATCAGTGCTCAGATTCATCAGATGATCTTCCTTCCTGGAGCCCTCCTCCCACAGCCTTTGCCCTCCCATGCCAATCAGGACAGGGCACAGCTGTCACCCTAAGACTTCCCCTAGCCCTGCTCCTCTTGTTTGCTGGATCTTGTACTTCTCTCTCTCTTTTTTTTTTTGGCCGCACCTGTGGCATGTAGGATTTTAGTTCCCTGACCAGTGATTGAACCCACACCCCCTGCTTTGGGAGTGCGGAATCTTAACCACTGGGGAAGTCCTCTCCTTCCTTTCTTAATTTACTCCCTCATGTTGCATCTCTCAGCAGATTCCTAAGAAAAGGTGCCTGGGTGTTAAATTTTCCATGTCTGAAAATACATTTATTATATCCATATGCTTAATAGATGGTTTGGGTATAGAATTATAGGTTAGAAGTAACTTTACATCTAGATTTTGAAGGCAGTGTTTACTAACTTCTAGCACCCACTGAGAAATTAACACCATTCTGATTCCTGTTCCGTTGTAACTTTATTACTTCTGGAAACTGTTGTGATTGTCTCATTAATTCCCAATGTTCTGAAATTTCTCTGTGATATTCCTTGGTATGTGAGTCTTCATTCATTTCGCCACGTTTTCAACAGGCTCTTTGAAGATTCATATCCTTCAGTTTGGGGAATGTTTTATTTTGTTCCTTAGATAATTTTCTCTTGGTTTTTCCATTCTTTGAGGTAGTCCTACTGTTAGTTCATTCTTGGCCCTCTTGGACTGATCTCCTTATTTATTTATGTAGGTGTGTATGGCTGCATTGGGTCTTCACTGCTGCACACGGGCTTTCTCTAGTTGCGGCAAGCAGGGGCTATTCTTCATTGCAGTGTGTGGGCCTCTCATTGTGGTGGTTTCTCTTGTTCCGGAGCACAGGCTTTAGGCCCATGGGCTTCAGTAGTTGTGGCACACAGGCTTAGTAGTTGTGGCTCGTGAGCTCTAGAGCACAGGCTCAGTATTTGTGGCACACGGCCTTAGTTGCTCCACAGCATGTGGGATCTTCCTGGACCAGGGATCGAACCTGTGTCCCCTGCGTTGGCAGGCAGATTCTTAACCCCTGCACCACCAGGGAAGTCCCCGAATTTTTTTATAAATTGGTTGTTTTCTACCCTGTCTCCGTTTTCCCTGAGTTCCTTTTTCTGCTTGTTTGTTTTGGTGTTTATGTCTTTGATGTTTGATTCTTTTCTTAAATGTTTATTGGTCCTTGGGTGACTTCAAGAACAAGGCACTAAGAAGCTCACTGGATACCTGGTGGGCAGGTTGGAGCTTGCTGACCTATGAGCCTCACGAGGTGATCAGGCCCCAGCCAGTCGTTCACTTGGGACCCCCAAATGTCAATGTGTAAAAACGGCTTTTCCTGAGAATTCTTCACTGGAGAAACTAAAATCTATGGCAGTAGGTACACATTGCTGATGTTCTTGAGATGGGGAAGAGGTCCAGGATCCAATAGTTCAGTGTGTAGATCTTCACCCTAATAGCTTGTTTTCAGGCCTGTGCGTCACTGCTGCCAACCCAAGTAGAGCATAACCCCTCTCAGGCAGGGACCGTTTGCATGTCTTTCATTCCCCCTTTTCATACAACTATCTTTAGGTAGTTTCAGTGGTTCAATTCCAACATAGAAAATAGCTGTTAAGAAACTGAGCCCTTTGATTGATGTGAGCACATTGTTTTGAGCTAATCCTGTACATGTTCACTTCAGGAATCCTTATTCTGAAAGCATAAAAGAAATGCTAACAACATTTGGAACTGCTACTTATAAGGTGGGACTAAAGGTTCATCCCAATGAAGAGGATCCCCGTGTCCCCATAATGTGCTGGGGTAGTTGTGCGTACACCATCCAAAGCATAGGTAAGAGATTCAGTTGTGTCTTTAAATCTCAAGCCTACATTGACATGAGTTGTGTGTAGAATCCTGTATTTAAACAGAGATGTTTAATGTGGGCAACAATATCAAATAATATAAAGACTTTGAAGCAGGAAATGTAGTGTGCTGACAGAATATTAGATTGACGGTTTATAAATTAACCACAGCAACAGAGAACTCATTTTAATGGTGGTTATAGCTTCTTGTCAGTTAAGGGAATATTTCCTCATTTTTACTTCTTATCCAAAGTTAATTCTTGTGAAATGACTTAAAGATTTCAAAACCTGACAATATTGTGCTTTCGGGAGAAAGAATTTTTTTTTACTTTTTTTTTAAACTTGTAATAAAATGTACAAAACATAAAATTTACCATCTTTACCATTTTTAATCCTCAGAAAGAATTTTAAATGATGAAGATAAACCGTTGTTCAGTCCTTTGCCTTGCAGACTGGTAAGTTATCAGTTTACTCAATTCATGGAATGGTGGAGTAGAAATTAGGTTGTTCTGCTTTTTTTAATCCAAAAAACCTGAAGTGGTTATTTAAGCATAGGTTCACTCCTTTTGCGGTAAAACCCATTTTCTGTAACAACACTGGAGACGTAATGTTTCTTATTTAATTTTTCATTATTTTTCTTTTAAATAGACTTCATCTCTTTTGGTTAAACATGTGAAAAAATGGGGGGATGGGGAACTAAAAACAAAGTGCTTGTTCTTGAATGTTTAGTGCCGTAGTTGGAAATAGAGATCAGAACATACCCTCTACCACATTTGACTACCCATTATAAGCAACATGTAAATAAGTACAAATTAATTTCAAAACAGTACATTTAATGCCTAGAAAAGTGAAGGAATATACAATTAAAGCTTGCTAATTTTTACAATGTAGCTAGTGTCAGCTGCTTCTACTACTTACCATTCAAACTTATAATCATAAAAGTGCATGTAATTTTATTCACGTAGAATCACCTGGGGAGCTTTTAAAAGTGCCTAGGCCCTACTATGGGTCAGTTAAATGAGAGTCTCTGGAGATAGGCCCCAGGCATTAATATTTTTTAAAAAGCTTCCCCCACCCCCGAGGCCAGGATTGAAAACCACTGATGTAAGAGCCCTAACTCTTTGGAGTTTTTAAAAAATACAGATAGCTGGTCACTTTGACTTATTAAATTGGAATATCTAGGAGTAGACCTGGTATTAAAACTGCCCTGAATTGTATCTTTGTGGTAAATCAGCAGAATAGCAGTACCCTGTATTCTTAACTGTGATATATGATGGATTGACTGTGACATTCTTTTGCTACAGTAAATAAGAGTTGATAAGTATGCTGATATTGAAAAGGCAATCACATGTCTAGAGTAGAGTTTACTTTGGCTTTTAAGGCAGTTCTTACACATTTTCTTGATTTTGTGTACTTCGCTCTCCCTCTTTGGCACACTGTCGGCTCTTCATCTGTTTTTCTGCTAATATGATTTTGTGTAATCTGTTTATATTGATTGTTAAAGCAACCTTGCATTCCTGAAATAATCCCAACTTGGTCATGTAGAGTATCCTTTTTATATATGATTATATTTGATTTACTAATATTTTATCTAAGTTTTTTTTCTACGTTCATAAGAGAAATTTAATTTTTTTAAGTATATAGCCATTAGGGACGAACTCATTCTATTTTTTTGACTTCTGCTTTTCAAATTTACATACCTCTCCACTGACCTTTCCCTCCTATATCAGAGGATAAGGGACCTCCGGGTAAAGTAGCTTATCTTTCCATCTATTGTTTGGAATCCATCCCCTCTCCATCAGTTATCCCTTCTTCTACCTCTTTCACTCCTGGCACTTGCCCTGTTCACAAGTGTGCTCCATTATTCCTCTTACTCTTGCCCTCAATATTATCTTCTATCACCCTAGCTTTTTCATTCCTTTTTATGACCAAGCAAGCGATTTTAAAGCATATTTCACTTATTTCACCATGCAATGAAAAATGTTTAAATACAGATAAATAGCACCTACAGTTTTTAATTTCACTTCACATCCTAAGAGAAATTTTATACACAGCGAAACGTCTTTAAACAATAATGTATACTCTGGCTCCAATTTCTTCACTTTTCAACTCCCTGCAGTTTGGCTTCACCACCACCACCCCTCGCCAACACTTTCTCACTTTTCGGAAACACCTCTTGCCAAGTTCACCAAATGATCTCATTATCATTGTGAGTGGGCATTTTTCAGCCCTTATTTGACATTCTATTTACTTAATTCTGATAACTACTTCTTTGTGAAACTCATTTTCTCTCTTGATTTCTGTGACATTCATGGTTTTCTCCCTGCCTTTCTGGCGGCTCCTTCTCAGTCTGCTTTCCCTCCTTTGTGCTGTAAATGTTATTTTAAACCCCCAGAGTTTGGCCCATGACTCAATCATCTGATACTCTTCCCTGGTCAGCCCCATCTATGTCTCTGATTCCAGTTATATCCAAATGATTCCCACCTGTTTATCTCTAAACCAGATCTATTATCTCAGTGCCATTTTTTCACCTGGATCTCCTAAAGATACCTCAAACTGAACAATCCAAATTAATTTTTCTTCCTATATTTAGAGTCTTAGTTAATGTCACCACTGTCCATCGAGGTGACCAAGCCTGCCAGAAAGTTGCAAGTCCTTTTGGATGCATCTTTTGGTCTGGATGTTCATATCCAATTGATCAGCAGAGTTTGTTGAATTTCTCTCCTGCATATTTGTCCTAGTTCTTCCATTCCTACTTCTACTGATTTGGTTCAGCCCCTATATCTTTTCTTGCCTAGATTATTGTAACTGTCTCTACCCTGAATCTCACTCTCTCCTAATATATTATCAGAGAGGTTCTCTAAAAAGTAACCCTGATCATATCTCTTAAATGTTACTTCTCCATTGTCACTCACCTCCTGCCAATCCCCACATCCATGGGCCAGGATTGCAGAATCATCACTGATCCCCAAATGCTAGTCCCAGACTTTTGCCTCTGCCCAAGTGCCCTAAGCAAATGACTCCTCTTTAAGAAGTTCTTCAAGCTTTGCCTTCCCTGGGAAATTTCTGAGCCATGAAGTGGGGTATACCTCAGTATCTGTGATACTGCCTCCTTTAGCTGTCCCCTCCCCCCTTTTCTTTTCCTTCCCACCCTCAAGGCTGTGAGCTCCTTGAGAGCAGGGGGTGGGGGGGGGTGAGTTTTCATTTTGAGATCTTCAAAACCAAGACTAATGTATGGTAGGTCCCCAATATCTATTGAACCAAACATTACAAAAAATTTAGAAAATAGAGAATTAAGCAGGAAGAAAAAACTTAAATCAATCACCCATCTGTCTTTTCATTAGCATGTTTATACTTTATTATAATAGATATTTACATGTAGTTTTGTTTCTACTCTATTCTTCACTTTACATTAAGAGTTTTCTCATTGTTCCTACATAGTCTCCATAACAGTTTTTGATGTTTACAGACACCCTGATTTGTATAACCATCTTCTTGCACGTAGTTTCCCCAGTATTTGAAGTGTTTCCCACATTTTAGAATATTTATAGACTAAATATAAAGAAATACTGCATCACATTCCTGGGAGTCTCTTTTGTTTGCTCTCTGTCTTGACACATGTGTCCTTCTTAACTTTTCCATAGAGAACTAGCAGCATGGTAACAGGAGATAGCCTTGTTTTATTCATCATACAATTAGATGTTCTCCATTCCATGCATTCCATGTTAGAGACATGCCATTAAAGATGTCATAGATTCAGTTCCATACCATCTAGAGATTTCATTGTGCATCCAGCTTTACTTCAACTACCTGTGCTTTGAACTAACATTCCTGAAAGAGGAGAACTACTTCATATGCTGGCTTCTTTGTTAATTTTGTCGTCTCTTTATTTCAGGATGACTGTCTTAGGTCACTAACAAGATTTGCTGCAGCACATTGGACAGTGGCATCACTTTCAGTGGTACAAGGACACTTTTGTAAACTTTTTGCATGTGAGTATTAATACATGTACCATATATGTTATGATAATTTCTCATCTTCTGTAATTTTGTTTTTAGTGGTGAAACTTCCCTCCATTTTGAAAGAAATATTTTGGTAATACTGTTTGTCTTATATACAAGTTCTAGCTCATGAATTCATATATAGCTTGCAAAAAATAAATTTAAAGTAGATTATATGCATTTTAAAAATAATTTAATACTTACGTTGACATATAATATGTGCTCATGTATTTTTCTTTAAACATTAGCATTGGTGCCTGGTGACAACCACGGAGACCTTCCATGCATATTAGATATCGACATGTTTCATTTATTGGTGGGTATCTTGTAATTTGTGTTTGAAATTTTTATCATATTATATAGCTTTATCTTAGACTTGATGAGTAATGCAGAGGCAGACAAGAGGAATTATCACCTATTATTCTTACTATTTCTGAGTATAATTCTTTCCTGAAGATCCTCAAAAAGAAAATGTTAAGGAATCCAGTTGAGAGACTTGACCTGGGTGTCTAATCCGGTCTCTTATTTTTGCCTTGTGGCTGAGGTCAGTAATGTAACCTCTCTATGCTTTTCACTATAGAGAAGTAAAAAACACTAGTAATGTAAGGGCTGCTGCCAACCCATACGGTGCTTTGGGGCAGATACAGCCCTCTGGTAACACTACTTAGCAACAGTCTGTTTGTGTGATTTAGGGAAAGTGATGTCTTCTGAACAGGTGCAGGTGGTACCAGGTCAGCACTGGCCAGGCAGTGGGTGGCTGAAGTTCAGCCCCACCTCAACCAGGTCCCCTTACTCAGGACTCTGAGTGTACTGCCATGCACAGCAGCCCCAAGTGCTGCCCCTTAATCTCTTTGGGCATCATATTCTGTGCCTGTAAGTTGGTTAATACCTACCTGATATAATTGTGTCAAAACTCAATGGGATAATCAATGTAAAGAGCTTAGAGCAATGTGTCCCTAGTAAATGTCAGCCATTGTTATTGTTCCCATTACCCCTCTGAAAACCACCACCACTGACACCACCATACAGGCAGCAGGAGGTTAACAGAGGAGCTAGCATTTATTGTGTACCTGACTGCTTTCACATTCATCTTCATTTAGTCCTTACATCCTTATTACTGAGGTATTAACAACACGTATATTATCGCCAGCTTACCAGCAGGGAAACTGAGACTCAAAGGAATTGTCTAAAAGGTTCATAAGAGGATCTCGGATTCTTACCTAGATCTTTGTGGGTCCAAACCTCATGCTTTTTCCATTGCTCACTACCTAGAAAGAGTTCAAGTTTTATTTTTGTTATTATTAACAATAAACTATATATAGGGGAATCAGTGGATAAATGAAATAATAATGCCCATCAAATGAAATAATAACGCTCTAAATAATTTTCTTTAGTCAATCCTAGTGGAATTTCTAACATGTGTACCCTTTAAGAACAAAGATTTCTTAAGGGGAGGGACTGAGCTCACAAAGACATCACATTAAGAAAATGGAAACGTGTTCAGCTGTGAAAGGAAAGGTGCTCTGTCTGACCCTCTGTATTTGGTATCCAGGTGGGCTTGGTGCTCGCCTTCCCGGCATTGCAGTGTCAAGATTTTTCAGGGATCAGCCTTGGCACTGGGGACCTTCACATTTTCCATCTGGTTACTATGGCACACATCATACAGATCTTACTTACCTCATGTACAGGTAACTCCTTTTTGTCAGATTCTTGAAGTAAAATCCTGTTTATCCTCATGTGAAAATTTTTGAAACGACTTCCCTTCTGTTAAAAACCTTAGTGATGTGAATGTTTTTACTTATTTTTTTTATTTCATAAGTTTAGTAATACTTGAGTACCACAGGCTGTATATTTAGCAGATTTTACTCACCGCTTGCTGCCTGGCACCCTGAGGCACTTTGGCTTCCTCTCCCTAAGAGGCTCCTTGTTAGGATGGAGATCAATACTGTGTTCCGACCTGAGGGATTAAAGTTCTGTGTGTTTTGTGAGAGTATTTTCATATTACATGTGAGTGTATGAATATATTTGAGTGCTTAAATGGTGTGGTCATCAATCCACTTAGTAGGCAAATACAGAGTACTAATATTGCCTTATCTTTCAGAAGAGAATGGCATGGATCAAGAAAATGCTTCTGGGGAAGAAGAATTAGCAGTTCTTGCCTTGTATAAAACACTTCACCAGTATACAGGAAGGTGAGGTCGTAATCTTTACACGATAGGCAGTTCCCCAAATACTAGGAGGTGGTAGTATGAAAAACGAATTCATTTGTTAAATAAGGGAAGTTGCTGTCTGTTGACATGTTTAAAATAAGAGATGGGGGAGTGACCTGCAGGACTTCTCAACTTTTAATATACTAACATGATTGGAAATCTCTGAGAGAGGAGTAATATACAGCACTTCCCACACATTTTTAAGGTATATCCAGGGCCGGCAGGAGTGACATTCTTAGAACCTCATGTTATTGGAGTCATTGTGATTTGGTTACGACAGTTTCACTTGGCTTTCTTTTTTTTTTTTTTAATTTTTGGCTGTGCTGAGTCTTGGTTGCTGCGTGCGGACTTTCTTTAGTTGCAACGAGCAGGGGCTGGTCTTCCTTGTGGTGCGCGGGCTTCTCATTGCAGTGGCTTCTTTTGTTGTGGTGCACTGGTTCTAGTCACACGGGCCTCAGTAGTTGCAGCACATAGGCTTCAGTAGTTGCGGCACGTGGGCTCAGTAGTTGCAGTGCACGGGCTCTAGGGCATGTGGGCTTCAAAAGTTGTGGCGTGCCAGCTCAGTAGTTGTGGCTCACAGGCTCTAGAGCGCTGGCTCAGTAGCTGTGGCACATGGGCTTAGTTGCTCTGCAGCATGTGGGATCTTCCCAGACCAGGGCTTGAACCCGTGTCCCCTGCATTGGCAGGCAGATTCTTAACCATTTTGCCACCAGATAAGTCCCTTCACTTGGCTTTCCAACAGTATATGTCAAGAACCATACTGTTTGTTCTTTGACTAAGTTATCCCATTTCTGAGAATCCACACTAGCAAAATAATCCAACATATAGAAAAACCTACAGACATAAAGATGTACACTGATATTATTTATATTAGCAAAGAATTTGAAGCAATCTAAGAGTTTGCTTACAGGGAAGTAATTTAGTGTAGGTTATGATTTATGTTATCCAGAATCTTAAAATTCTAATAAAATTATGGTTTATGATCTGAAAATCATGTTAATTTTAAATTTTATATGTTACAAGTACAACTGTGTAAGACACATTAGTATGAAAATAGTTTTCCAAAGTAATACTTGCTGATATAAGGTTATAGAATAGTGGATAGTTTTTTTATTTTCCAAATTTTCTCTTTATATAGCTGTATAACTTTTACAAATTTTAATAACAGCATTAGAGGGTATATCACCAATTATACCTGATGTCCTGTAATAGTTAGGGCTACCCATACCTTTTAAGCCAATGTGCTATCAATTCCAAATAGTAGTTGTCTGTTTTCACACTGTGCTATAACTAGAATGACCATTTTTTAATTACATTTCCCAGTTATCATTTTTCTCTTTCACAGTGCCTTGAAAGAAATGCACTCTGGTTGGCATCTGTTGAGGAATGTCAGAGCTGGAATCATGCCTTTCCTGAGGTGTTCTGCTTTGTTTTTCCATTACTTAAATGGAGTTCCTTCCCCACCTGAAATTCAAGGTAATTTCTAATTTCTTTCAAAATGTAGGAAATGTATGTAGTCTTTCACTCTAGCAAGTTAAGAATTAAAGTGCATTGCAAAAATGAAAACTTATTAACAATTTAGGTCACAGCTACTTGACTATGGTGATGTACCGATTATATAATTAGGTGCATATTTATGTAAATATCTGATTTTATTTGGATGTCAGTAAATGTACTGATTTTGTACATGTACAAAAATGTACTTGTTTTGCTTTCAGATGTTAAAATTGTTCAATTGTATATTATTCATAGACTGGGTTCTTCAGATTTTAAAAAGTGAAAAGTGACAAATTCAGGTGTGGTTTTTTGTTGCTTTTTTTTTTTTAACTTTTGATTTTATATTGGAATATAGCCGATTAACAATGTTGTGATAGTTTCAGGTGCACAACAAAGCAACTCAGCCATACATATACATGTATCCAAACTCCCCTCCCATCTAGGCTGCCACATAACATAGAGCAGGGTTCCCTGTGCTATACAGTAGGTCCTTGTTGGTTATCCATTTTAATTATGGCAGTGTGTACATGTCGATCCCAAACTCCCTGACTATCCCTTCCCTCCACCCTTCCCCCCCCCCGGTAATGGTAAGTTTGTTCTCTAAGTCTATGAGCCTGTTTCTGTTTTGTAAATAAGTTCCTTTGTGTCATTTCTTTTTAGATTCCACATATAAGAGATATCATATGATATTTCTCTTTCTCTGACTGACTTTGCTCAGTATGGCAATCTCTAGGTCCATCCATGTGGCTACAAATGTCATTATTTCATTCTTTTTAATGGCTGAGCAATATTCCATTGTATATATGTACCACATTCGCTTTATCCATTCCTCTGTCGATGGACATTTAGGTTGCTTCCATGTCTTGGCTATCGTAAACAGTGCTGCAATGAACATTGGCATGCGTGTATCCTTTCGGACCATGTTTTTCTCTGGATATATGCCCAGGAGTGGGATTGCAGGATCAAATGGTAGCTCTATTTTTAGTTTTTTAAGGAGCCTCCATACTGTTCTCCATAGTGGCTGTACCAATTTACATTCCCACCAACAGTGTAGGAGGGTTCCCTTTTCTCCACACTCTCTCCAGCATTTATTGTTTGTGGATTTTTTTGATGATAGCCATTTTGACTGGTGTGAGGTGATATCTCATTGTACTTTTGATTTGCATTTCTCTGATAATTAGCGATGTTGAACATCTTCTCATCTGTCTTCTTTGGAGAAATGTCTATATAGGTCTTCTGCCCATTTTTTGATTGGGTTGTTCGTTTTGATGATATTAAGCCTCATGAGGTGTTTGTAAATTTTGGAGACTAATCCCTTGTCGGTCACATCATTTGCAAATATTTTCTCCCAGTCTGCGGGTTGTCTTTTCGTTTTGTTTATGGTTTCCTTTGCTGTGCAAAAGCTTTTGAGTTTAATTAGGTCCCATTTGTTTATTTTTGTTTTTATTTCCATTATTATGGAAGACAGATAGAAAAGGATATTGCTGCAATTTATGTCAGAGAGTGTTCAGCCCATGTTTTCCTCTCAGGGTTTTATAGTATCTGTTCTCACATTTAGGTCTTTAATCCATTTTGAGCTTATTTTTGTGTATGGTGTTAAAGAACCATCTAATTTCATTTTTTTACATGCAGCTGACCAGTTTTTCCAGCACCATTTGTTGAAGAGACTAGACGGTCTTTCCACCGTTGTGTAGTCTTGCCTCCTTTGTCGTAGATTAATTGACCATAGGTGTGTGGGTTTATTTCTGGGCTTTCTATCCTGTTACATTGATCTATATATCTATTTTTGTGCCAGTACCATACTGTTTTGATGACTATAGGTAGTATAGTCTGAAGTCAGGGAGCCTGATTCCTCCAGCTCCGTTTTTCTTTCTCAAGATTGCTTTGGCTATTCGGGGACTTTTGTGTCTCCATACAAATTTTAAGATTTTTTGTTCTAATTCTGTGAAAAATGCCATTGGTAATTTTATAGGGATTCCATTGAATCCGTAGATTGCCTTGGGTAGTATAGTCATTTTGACAAATATTGATTCTTCCAATCCACTAACATCGTATATCTTTCCATCTGTTTGTGTCTTCTTTGATTTCTTTCATCAGTGTCTTATAGTTTTTGAGTACAGATCTTTTGTCTCCTTAGGTAGGTTTATTCCTAGGTATTTCATTCTTTTTGATGCAGTGGTAAATGGGATTGTTTCTTGAATTTTCTTTCTGATCTTTCATAGTTTATAGAAATGCAACAGATTTCTGTGTATTAATTTTGTAACCTGCAACTTTACCAAATTCATTGATGAACTCTAGTAGTTTTCTGGTAGCATCTTTAGGATTTTCTATGTATATAGTATCATGTCATCTGCAAACAGTTACGGTTTTACTTCTTCTTTTCCAATTTGGATTCCTTTTATTTCTTTTTCTTCTCTAATTGCCATAGGTAGGACTTCCAAAATTATGTTGAATAAAAGTGGTGAGAGTGGACATCCTTGTCTTGTTCCTAATCTTAGAGGAAATGCTTTCAGCTTTTCACCATTGAGTATGATGTTAGCTATAGGTTTGTTGTATATGGCCTTTATTATGTTGAGGTATGTTTCCTCTGTGCCCACTTTCTGGGGAGCTTTTATCATAAATGGGTGCTGAATGTTGTCAAAAGCTTTTTCTGCATCTTTTGAGATGATCATATGGTTTTTATTCTTCAATTTGTTGATGTAGTATATCACACTGATTGATTTGCAGATACTGAAAAATCCTTGTATCCCTGGGATAAATCCCACTTGATTATGGTGTATGATCCTTTTAATGTATTGTTGGATTCGGATTGCTAGTATTTTGTTGAGGCTTTTTGTGTCTATGTTCATCAGTGATATTGGCCTCTTTCTTTTTTTTTTTTTTAATATTTATTTGGTTGTGCCAGGTCTTAGTTGCAGCAGGTGGGCTCCTTAGTTGCAGCTCATCAGCTCCTTAGTTGCAGCATACGGGCTTTTTAGTTGTGGCATGCAAACTCTCAGTTGCAACATGCACGTGGGATCTAGTTCCCTGACCAGGGATCAAACCCGGGCCCTCTGCGTTGGGAGCACGGAGTCTTAACCACTGCGCCACTAGGGAAGTTCCAGCGTGTAATTTTCTTTTTTTGTGGTATCTTTGTCTGGTTTTGGTATCAGGGTGATGGTGGACTCATAGAATGAGTTTGGGAGTTTTCCTTCCTCTGCAATTTTTTGGAACAGTTTCAAAAGGATAGGTGTTAGCTCTTCTCTAAATGTTTGATAAAATTCGCCTGTGAAGTCATCAGGTCCTGGACTTTCGTTTGTCGGAAGATTTTTAATCACAGCTTCAATTTCAGTGCTTATGATTGGTCTGCTCATATTTTCTATTTCTTCCTGGTTCAGTCTTGGGAGACTGTACCTTTCTAAGAATTTGTCCATTTCTTCCAGGTTGTCCATTTTATTGGCGTATAGCCACGTGTAGTGTCTTATGATCCTTTGTATTTCTGTGGTGTCTGTTATAACCTCTCCTTTTTCATTTCGAATTTTATTGATTTGAGTCCTCTCCCTTTTTTTCTTGATGAGTCTGGCTAAAGGTTTATCAGTTTTGTTTATCTTTTCAGAGAACCAGCTTTTAGTTTCATTGATCTTTGCTCTTACTTCCTCTGTCTCTATTTCATTTATTTCTGCTCTGATATTTATGACTTCTTTCCTTCTACTAACTTTGGGTTTTGTTTGTTCTTCTTTCTCTAGTTGCTTTAGGTGTAAGGTTGGGTTGTTTATGTGAGATTTTTCTTATTTCCTGAGATAAGATTGTATTGCTATAAACTTCCCTCTTAAAACTGCTTTTGCTGCATCCCATAGATTTTGGATTGTTGTGCTTTCATTTGTCTCTAGGTATTTTTTGATTTCCCCTTTTATTTCTTCAGTGATCCATTGGTTCAGTAGCATATGGTTTAGCCTCCATGTGTGTGTTTTTTGTAGTTTTTTTCTTATAGTTTATTTTTAATCTCATAACACTGTTATCGGAAGATGCTTGATATGATTTCAGTTTTCTTAAGTTTACCGAGGCTCGCCTTGTGGCCTAGCATGTGGTCAATCCTGGAGAATGTTCTGTGTGCACTTGAGAAGAAAGTGTATTCTGCTGCTTTTGGATGAAATGCTCTATAAATATCAGTTAAGTCCATCTGGTCTAATGTGTCATTTAAGGCCTGTGCTTCTTTACTGATTTTCTGTCTGGATGTTCTGTCCATTGATGACAATGAGGTGTTAAAGTCTCCCAGTATTAATTGTGTTACTGTTGATCTCTACCTTTATGGCTGTTAGTATTTGCCTTATATATTGAGGTGCTCCTATGTTGGGTGCATATATATTTACAGTTGTTATATCTTCTTCTTTGATTGATCCCTTGATCATTGTGTAGTGTGCTTCTTTGTCTCTTATAACAGTCTTTATTTTAAAGTTTATTTTGTCTGCTATGAATATTGCTACTCCAGCTTTCTTGTGATTTCCATTTGCGTGGAATACCTTCTTCCATCTCACTTTCAGTCTGCATAGGTCCCTAGGTCTGAGGTGGGTCTCCTGTAGACAGTATGTATATGGGTCTTGTTTTTGTATCCACTCAGCCAGTCTGTGTCTTTTGATTGGTGCATTTAATCCATTTACATGTAAGGTAATTATCAATATGTGTATTCCTGTTGCCATTTTCTTAATTGTTTTGGGTTTGTTTTTGTAGGTCTTTTTTCTTCCCTTCTTCTTTTGCTCTCTTCTCTTGTGTTTTGATGACCATCTTTAGTGTTGTGTTTGGGTTGCTTTTTCTTTTTGTATGTGTATCTATCGTAGGTTTTGGTTTTGCTGTTCCCATGCAGTCTTTTTGTTGTTGTTGTTTTACTTATTTATTTTCAGCTGCATTGGGTCTTCGTTGCTGCGTGCAGTCTTTCTCTAGTTGCAGCAAGTGGGGGCTACTCTTCATTGCAGTGTGCAGGCTTCTCATTGTGGTGGCTTCTCTTGTTGCAGAGCATGGGCTCTAGGCGTGCAGGCTTTGGTAGTTGTGGCACATGGGCTCAGTAGTTGTGGCTCGCAGGCTCTAGAACACAGGCTCAGTAGTTGTGGCATACAGGCTTAGTTGCTCCACAGCATGTGGAATCTTCCTGGATCAGGGTTCGAACCCATGTCCTCTGCATTGGCAAGCAGATTCTTAACCACTGCACCACCAGGGAAGCCCTCCCATGCAGTTTTGATACAGCAGTCTATGTATGTACAAGGTTTTTTATTTTTTAAGTTGCTAGTCCCTTTCCCACTTAGAGGAGGAGTTCCTTTAGCATTTGTTGCAAAGCTGGACTGGTAGTGCTGAATTCTCTTAGCTTTTGCATGTCTGTAAAGCTTTTGATTTCTTTGTCAAATCTGAATGACATCCTTGCTGGGTAAAGTATTCTTGGTTGTAGTTTCTTCCCTTACATCACTTAAATTATATTGTGCCACTCCCTCTGGCTTGCAGAGTTTCTGCTGAGAAATCAGCTGATAACCTTATGGGAGTTCCCTTGTATGTTATTTGTCATATTTCCCTTGTTGATTTTTTTCTTTGTCTTTAAGTTTTGTCGATTTGATTACTGTGTGTCTCGGTGTGCTCCTCCTTGGGTTTATCCTGCCTGGGACTCTGTGCGCTTCCTGGACTTCGTTGACTGTTTTCTTTCCTATGTTAGGGAAGTTTTCAGCTATTATCTCTTCAAATATTTTCTTGGGTCCTTTCTCTTCTCCTTCTGGGACCCCTATAATGCAAATGTTGGTGCATTTAATGTTGTCCCAGAGGTCTCTTAGGCTGTCTTCATTTCTTTTCATTCTTTTTTCTTTTTTCTGTTCTGCGGTAGTGATTTCCACCATTCTGTCTTCCAGGTCACTTATCTGGTCTACTGCCTCAGTTATTCTGCTATTGATTCCTTCTAGTGTATTTTTCATTTTAATTATTGTATTGTTCATCTCTGTTTGTTTGTTCTTTAGTTCTTCTAGGTCTTTGTTAAACATTTCTTACATCTTCTCAATCTTTGCGTCCATTCTTTTTCCGAGATCTTGGGTCACTTCACTATCATTATTCTGAATTCTTTTTCTGGAAGGTTGCCTGTCTCCACTTCATTTAGTTGTTCTTCTGGGGTTTTTATCTTGTTCCTTCATCTGTGACATAATCCTCTGCCTTTTCATTTTGTCTAACTTTGTGATTGTGGTTTTCATTCTGCAGGCTGTAGGATTGTAGTTCTTCTTGCTTCTCCTGTCTGCCCCCCTCAGGTATTTTTTAATCTGAAACATGAGGCCTTGAAGTTCAAAATAGCCATAATTACACATAAATCTGATTTTAATGTAGGAATTAAAGGTAGACTTAAAGTTTACTGTACCTCATAGTGCCTGGCACAAGTCATGGGGTGCCTGCATGTTATGCTGCTTTCTAAAAGTTTGTTGAATAGCATCTCCATTTAGCTAGTTGTCCAGGCACCATTGAGAAAATAATTTACCCTTCTTAATCATTTTCAGTGATGATTAAGTTAGTGTTTAAATCCATCTCTCGGTGATAAAATCATCTTACGTCTCTGTACTGCCTTATACTTTTCCAGAGCTACCCATGTTATTTTTGTCATTTAATGTTCACAACCCCATGAAGTATATCACACAGGTACCCCATTTTGCAGATGGTAAAACTGAAACATCAAGAAATTGTGACCAGTTTGGTAAAGGAGTCGCCTGACTCCACTTTCAGTTATGTCATTTTCTGTGGATCCCTTCCATGTGCCATCTTATTTACTTCCTACAGGTTATGTACCTAGCAAAATTGAACTATTTCATCTCGTGCCTTTTTTGTTTTAAGCTCTGCTGTTGCTTACTCTCCTATAGGATCTACTCTTAGTTGTTATATGCAAAACTGTTTTCTTCTCTATTTGCAGCTTCTGGAACAAGCCATTTTGAACATTTATGTAACTATCTTTCCCTGCCAAACAACTTCATTTGCCTTTTTCAAGAAAATAAGGAGATAATGAAGTTACTGATTGAAAGGTAACGATTATACACTTTTTTTCTTTATATTGGAATATATATATATGGAAACAAACTTCAGTTTATCACATATTTTACAAAATTCTCAGATAGCCTGGCAGAATTCAATCCATGTGATTCAAAGTATAATTATTAGGCCTTCTTAGTTAAGGATTTACCTTTATGGTAAGATTTTTGCCAGGCCTACTGAATAGCATAAGCATATTTGCCTGGAAGGAGAGTAGTGGTGGAAATGTTTATTTCCTCATATTAACTTACTTGTTAAATACTATGTTCTGTAGATTTTTGAAACTGAAAGAAACCTTAAGGGTTATCTAGTCTAATATCCTCACTTTATTTTGTTATTTTATTTTATTGCTTGTTTGACTGCTGCTTTGGGTCTTCATTGCTGCGTGCGGGCTGTCTCTAGATGCAGTGAGCGGTGGCTACTCTTCATTGCAGTGCATGGGCTTCTCATTGTGATGGCTTCTCTCGTTGCAGAGCACAGGCTCTAGGCGTGCGGGCTTCAGTAGTTGTGGCTCATGGGCTCTAGAGTGCAGGCTTAGTAGTTGTGGTACACGGGCTTAGTTGCTCCATGGCATGTGGGATCTTCCCGGACCAGGGCTCGAACCTGTGTCACCTGCATTGTCAGGCGGATTCTCAACCACTGCACCACCAGGGACACCCTATCCTCAGTTTATATTTGAGAAAACTGAAGTCTAGAGAAATTGACCCGTTAATCATGTCAAGTTAGTGACTAAGTTAAGAATAAAATTTGGCTGATTTACCCACAGAATGGGAGAAAATGTTTGCAAATCATATATCTGATAAGGGAGTAATAGCCAGAATATATACATCTAGATTTCCTACATCTCAGCAACAAAAAAGCAAGCAACCCATTATAAAATGAGCAAAGGACTTCTCCAAAGAAGATATACAAATGGTCAATAAGCAAAGCACATGAAAAAATACTAAACATCACTAGTCATCAAGGAAATGCAAATAAAAATCACAATGAGATACCACTTCATACCCATTAGAACTGCTGTAATGAAAAAGGCAGACATTAATAACACATGTTGGTGAGGATGTCAAGAAACTGGAATCCATGTACACTGTCGGTAGGAATAGAAAATGGTACAGCTGCTCTGGAAAACAGTATGGTGATTCCTCAAAATGTTAAACAGAATTACTCTATGATCCAGTAGTTTCACTTCTAGGTGTGTATTGCAAAAGAATTGAAAGGAGGAACTCATAGAATTTTGTACACGCATGTTCATAGCAGCGTTATTCACAATAGCCAAGAGGTGGAAACAACCCAAATGTCCATAAACTAATGAATGGATAAACAAAATGTGTTATATACATTCAGTGGAGTATTATTCAGCCTTAAAAAGGTAGGAAATTCTGACACATGCTACAATGTGGATGAAACTTGAAGGCAGCCTAAGTGAAATAAGCCAGTCACAAAAGAACAAACATTATGTTTCTATTTATATGAGGTACCTAGAATAGTGAAATTCATAGAGACAGAAAATAGAATGGTGGTTGCCAGGGGCTGGGGGTAGGGGGAGGAATGGGTTAGTGTTTAACAAGCACAGAATTTCATTTGAGAAAGCTGAAAAAGTTCTGGAGACAGAGGTGGTGATGATTGCCCAACAACGTCAATATACTTAATGCCAAAGAACTGTACACTTAAAAATGGTTAAAATAGAATATTTTATGTTCTGTGTATTTTACCACAGTTAAAAATTTTTTATTTTATATGAGTGTTCTAGCTCTAGATTATAAGAGCTTCTCATTGATTCAGACTGTTTTGGTTTGGGTTTTGGTTTGGTTTTTTTGGCCACACTGCATGGCTTGCGGGATCTTAGTCCCGTGACCAGGGATTGAACCTGTGCCCTTGGCAGTGAGCGCGCAGAGTCCTAACCATTGGACCACCAGGGAATTCCCCAGACTGGTTTTTCAGAGTGTCCAATTAGTGGGGGTAATAGCAAATTTTAATATGTTAAGCATTGTTGCTTTCAGAAAATCAAAGGTCATATTCTTCTGATTTTAAAATATGGTAGGCAAAGTATGTGGTATTCCTCTAAGCTTCTTATGAAGAGATAAATATAATAAGCCAAGAAAACTGTTTCTCTCTTACTGGATTTAGAGAAGAAAATTTTTTAGTTCTAGCCCTTCAAAAGTAAAAAATTTTTTTTTCTCCATTTACATTAAAGTTGGTGTCATAACATTGAAGTTAAGAGATACCTGGAAGGTGAAAGAGACGCTATAAGGTAAGCTGAAGATTGTCAAAGACTTGGTTGGAGGCAAGAAGTAGGAAGGAAGCAGGATATAAGTGTACAGGACAGCCCATTGTCCTGATAATTCATCCTGAGTTCTTCAAGTAAAAATGTGAGCCCTGAGGCCCTACGTTATTTAAGCGTGCATTTTAAAGTTCTTACTGTGGCTTTTTGCTGCTGTGGGTAGTGCCCAGTCACTCAGATTCAGGCTTCCTTTATTTATTTTGACTAAGTTAAGAGTTTCCCTGTCATTGTTACAATATGTCCTCATATTAACTGGGTTTTTTATGTGGTTTTTGTTTTGTTTTGTTTTAGCTATCCAAGAGAATCTAACAAATTAATAGACCTTCCAGAGGATTACAGCAGCCTCATTAATCAAGCATCTAATTTCTCGTAAGTTTTTATATTAGCTTATTGAGCACTTCCTACCACTGGAAACACTCACTTCTCTACACAGAACTTGAAGGATTTTGTCATTGTTTTCTTTTGTTTGGGTAGGGAAATCATAACATCAGTAGTACCACCTAACTTGTACTACCAAACTTGTAAAAAGCATGATTCCATGTTTCAGAATAAGGTATGAGAAAGGGGGTGATGAGGGACAAGTTTGATTCATTAGATGTTATGTAAACAATTTGCACTTTAAATAACACATTAACTACAAATGGTTATATTCCTAAGCAGTTATTAGTATTTTGCATATATTATTATTTTAAGCTTTAGAATAGCATTGTACATTATCCTATAGCTTTTTTCACTCAGCATTGTTTGTAAGATTTATTTATACATTTGACACATATAATTTTTAATCCATCAGTTTTCACTGTTGTGTAGTACTTCATTATATGACAGTAGCAGTAATTTTTTTTTAATTTACATATTTTTTTCCTCCTATTGATAATTTTATTTCTCTTTTCTCCACTTGTTGATTGTTTCAGTACATGGTATGTGAGATGTTACCTATTCTAGCAATAAATTTGCCTGGTCCATAGTCTGTATGCATCTTCAGCTCTACTTGATATTGCAGAATTTTTTTCCAGGGCAGTTTTACCACCCTCAGCTCTTTAGCCAGTCTTTTAGAGCCTTGACTTGTGCTTTTTTATTTCATGGAGGTGCCCCAAATCAGGTGGTGACAAGAGCAGAGCCCCAACTCTGTGCCTTGTATGTGGAACTCTGCTGTGCTCCCAGAGCTACTGCTGTCAGACGGAGTTGGAAGGGGAGGACGTGGGAGCTTGCACCGCCCACACCTACTCCTGTGGTTCTGGGGTGGGCATCTTCCTGAGGTAAGGCCCTGGAAGGAGCTTTCTAGCTTTGGACCTGCCACAGTAGACATCTGTTGAGGGGTGGAACAAGAAACTACTACATTGCAAAGATTGGAGGCCACTCTTTTATTCATTTGAGGAAAATGGGGAGCCTTGTCTCCACACATCTCATATTTGGCTCATGCTAACTCTGTGCTGTTTTTTCATTATCATTTCCATCCCCATGACAATTCTGTTCTTTCTTTGTGCCTCATTGTAATGTGAAACTTCTAGCTGTGTTTGGTTTTCTACCCAGGCACAGTCAGAATTTCTTCTTTTGTTGTATCCTCATGGTTGGATTCATACATATCACAGGCTGATGTATGTAGTTGTGTACATCCGACAACGTGCAGCAAATACTTATCAGTGACTGTGTAATGGATATTGAGAATGCAGTAGTCAACAAAGCATACGAAAATCTCTGCCTTCATGGAGCTCAGTTTCTAGTGAGGGAGATAGAAAATAAAATAAGAATTTAGAAAGCAATCCATGCAGAAGAGAAAAAATAAACTAGGGAGGGGAATATGAAATGGCAGCTGGAGAGTTGAATTTTAGATAGGGAACCAGGGAAGGTTCCCTGGGAAGGTAACTTGAATAAAGACCTAAAGAAGTGGGGAGAACATTCTAGGCAGGGAGCAGCAAGTACAGAATTGCTGGAGAGTGTGCCTGCCGTGTTCAAGAAAGAGCAAGGACAAAATTCATCTAATTGTCCTGTAAAAATGGATAGGTTTTTAAAAAAAAATTATCCCTCAATAAAATTTATTTTAAAAAAAAGGAATTCCCTGGCAGTCCAGTGGTTAGGACTCCGTGCTTTCACTGCTGAGGGTGCAGGTTAAATCCCTGGTCGGGGAACTAAGATCCCACAAGCCGCATGGCATGGCCAAAAAATAAAGAAAGAAAAATAAAAAAAGAAAAGAAACAACAAGGAGGCTGCTGCTACTGCAGTAGTGAGCACAAGGGGGAGAGTCATGGGCCTGGTGTGTCCTAGCGAGGTGTCTGAGTGAGATGGAAGCCATCACAGGGTCTGAAGGCGAGAAGTGACATGAGTTTGAGCTCCTCTGGGGCATAGATTATATCCACATCTTAGTCACCTTAGTACCCCCCAGTGCCTGACAATTTCTTGTATATGATAGGTTCTCAATAGATATTGAGATGAGCTGAATTGTTAACACCAGAAAAAGTTAAGCAAACCTCTCAAAGGGATCAGGAGACACATTTTTTTAAAAACCCTTAGGAGAAATGTAAAAGTAGCCTTTTACCTTGTGTGGCACATTTCAGAATTCTTTTAGTTGTGTGGAGTGTTGCCTTGTGTTTCAGGTCAACCTAGTTCGTAATATTTGTGTGCCTTTTTTTTTTTTTAATTTTTGGCTGCATTGGGTCTTCATTGCTGCACAGTCTTTCTCTAGTTGCGGCATGTGAGCTTTCTCTATTTGCAGCGAGTGGAGGCTACTCTTCATTGCAGTGCACGGGCTTCGCATTGCAGTGGCTTCTCTTGTTGTGGAGCACAGGCTCAGTAGTTGTGGCTCGCGGGCTCTAGAGCGCAGGCTCAGTAGTTGTGGTGCATGGCCTTAGTTGCTCCACAGCACATGGGACCTTCCTAGACCAGGGATCGAACCGTGTCCCCTGCATTGGCAGGCAGATTCTTAACCACTGTGCCACCAGGAAAGCCCTGTGTACAATTTTTTAAATGAATAATTTCCTCATAATAGTGGTTGATACATAAATAACTACCTTATGTTTAGAAGTAGTTAACTTTCTCACACTTAATTTTTTAAATGCCAGTATTATATGAGCTGTCGAATCCTAATCCTAAATGTCCCTCTCCCTCCTTATGTTGGTTACAATACAATCCTTTTAGTTATTTTTAAACTTAGGCAGGGGTGTTGATAGTTTTTCAAGTGTCTCTGCTATAAACGCCATTTCTTCTCTTCCAACAGTGGTTTTGTTTGTTTATATTTATTTATTGATATATAGTTGATTTATAATATTGCACTAGTTTCAGGTGTACATCATAATGATCCAGTGTTTTTTTGTTTTGTTTTTTGCAGGTTATATTCCATTATAGGTTATTACAAGTTATTAGGTATAATTCCCTGTGCTATACAGTAAATCCTTGTTGCTTATCTGTTTTATGTATAATAGTTTGTGTCTGTTAACCCCATATTCCCAATGGTTTTGTTTACTTTTATAAGACTTCAGTCCATTTGGAACTGAATCCAAACCTTGGTTACTAATGTATAAATGGTCTCTCTACAGAGTACGGGAATGTCAAGTGCTATTTTTAGCTGGCAAAACCAAAGGCTGTTTTTATTCTCCTCCTTACCTTGATGACTATGGGGAGACTGACCAGGGGCTCAGGTAAGGCCCATCCTGGGGAACTAGGTTGACTGGCTCTGGGCCACCAGAGCCTTCAGCATGGGGTGAACACAATGAACCTTGTGGTCCTGAAGCCTGCCTGCTAACTGCCTGGAGGGTTAGCACAAGTGGCTGTTGTCTGTGGACACTTCCAAGGAGGCTACCCTGGCTGGCTGGTTTGACATTCCCATTCCCAGCCCTCAGAGTGTCGCGAAGGCCATCAAGATACATAAGGGGAAAAAATGGGACAGAGTGCAACTTTTTTCCATTTCTTACTCCAGAGAGCTGTTTGAATTGTCCTGTGGCATCCACAGCATCAGAGCACTGCAGGGATAGCTCTTTGTAACTTGTGCAGCTTTGTGGAAAAAATGGGACAGAGTGCAACCTTTTTCCATTTCTTACTCCAGAGAGCTGTTTGAATTGTCCTGCGGCATCCACAGCATCAGAGCACTGCAGGGATAGCTCTTTGTAAATTGTGCGGCTTTGTATGGGAGACCCGGTCCTCTTCGAGTGATATAAAAGAGCAAATCTTGATTGATAAGAGTTGTGCTTATCTTACTACATAAGAATCTGAGAGAACAAAGATTTAGAACATATAGAGCAATACAACAGTATTTGAGGCTTAATCACTTCTACTTTGGTAGCTTCTGTTACATCACAAGCAAAATGCTAACAGCAGTTCCTTCAAGCACTGTTAAAGAACTTTCAGACCATTTCTTTTTGCCCAAATGGGGTAAAAGTCTTAACCTAGATGTAACTTCCCAGCCTTGGGGAACAGAAGTTGAAGGCCTGGAAACCAAGGCAAGATAAGTAGATGGGTTCCTCAGGCACTTGACCGCAAGGATACGGGCTTGTGCCACCTGTTGATGGTTCTTACCATTGCTCTGAGAAATGTGGGCTCTTAGGAGGAAGAGCTCTGGACGGAGAGTGAGAGGACTGGCACTCTGAGTCAGGAGCCAAGGCCCCAGGCGTGAGCTCACCAGTGCCTGTGCTTTGGTTAAATTAGACCCCGAAGTTATTCACATTTGACTGCTTTGCTTAGACTTTGTAGCTGAAAGACAGTACTTAGAAGAACATTTTCACCCCTGCAATTTTTCCATCCTCTTCCCTGCCCCTCCCTGTTATACGTTTTACCAACAAAATGGATAATAAATGCATAGTTTTAGCCTCTCAGCATAAACCCTCCTGCTCAACCCCACCCCCAATTCCTCACCCCAGTCTGAGTAGGTGTAGCTTGTGTTCATTTTCCTCTTCTTTTCAGCACTTACTCCCCTTCAGCTGCTCCTAGCAAACCGTCAGAGCTAACACATTAATAGCCACAGGCGCCTGCCAAAGAGAAATTCTGCAGAGGATCTAAAACCAATAACTTGTAACTTTTCCTAAATCAGGAAAGATTGGAGTATAATAGATGAATAAACCGAATGCATCCTGAGTGACATGTGTCTTCTTTCTAGACGGGGAAATCCTTTACATTTGTGCAGAGAGCGATTTAAGAAGATTCAGAAGCTCTGGCACCAGCACAGTATCACAGAGGAAATTGGACATGCACAGGAAGCAAATCAGACACTGGTTGGCATTGACTGGCAACATTTATAATTGCTTCACTACCAAATACATAAATTTGGATTTTTGTAACCCAGTTCGCTTTTCAAGAAAGAGAATAGGAAATAGGTTCTACTGAATTTGGAAATAAATTCTTTATTTAAGCTTTTCTTCCCAGTTTTATTTTTATAGTTTCTGGCTCCAGAGACTGATGAAAATCATCTTCGGTCAGCAGATTTTCTTGCATCGTTTGCTGTGTACTTCAAACGTAACTTCTTGAATTTTAGAATCCAGGAAGGAGCTTCTCTTCCTGGGCTGGACTCAACCCCTTTGTGGGCATCTGACTGCATTTGACTGTTCCCAGTAGTCTGAGCCGTGTCACATTACTGAACACAGGGAACTCCAGGCCTGAAGCTGATGCAACAGCAGCAGGAAACAAAGTCTCTGGTCTTTTGGGGTCACACTTCCTGATCCCTCTCAGTGACTCTCAACGTTGGGCCTGGGTCAGTGTCCCCACAGCTGATGGGACCCTACCTCTAAGCAAAACAGTGGATTTCAAAAGTGGCATTCCCTTGTCTCTACCGGCTGTGAGGGGGTTGGGGGACTCTCATGCTGGAGGAACCTGTGGGAAGAAGGAGAGAAGGTGGTGTCTTTGTGTGCTGGGTGATTTTCAGGGCTATACAAGGTGGGATTCCCCCGCCCCCCCCCCCTTTTTTTGCAAGACTTTTGGCTTTGAGGAATAAACTCATGTTCAAGGGCTTATTGAAAACTTAAGAGTATCCTAATTTTTCAGATGATACAGTCTCTTATTTCTAAGACTAAGTTGAAAGAGTGTATACATCTAGAATCAAACACTAGCAAAAAAATGAGAATTCAGTGTTTTAAAATTCCTTCACCCCCACCCCTTCCAGCATTTCCTGGAATAGATCAATTGCTGTTTACCTGCTGGCTCACTTAGTACATTTCTGGAACACCTGTGCGCCCAGGCTTTTTATTATTTTTAAACATCATTGTTCTGACTAAGAGGTGCCTTCCTAGAATGATAGCCGCTTAGTAAAATAGTTTATAACCATGACATGCCATGTACCACTCTTGTGTGATGCACATGTGCTGAGAGCTTGGGTACATGGAGAGTGATGGCAGATTTGGTGGAAGAATAAATACAGAGCCTCTCTGAGGTGAGGCTAAGGGATAAATGAATAATTAGAGGCTCTTGGATTTCTTTTAGCCAATGAAAATAACCCTTTCACTCAGTTTTCTTTGAACTCTGCATCTAAAAGTTCCATCCTGCTCAGCCTTGCACACTCCACGGTACACCCAGGAGGAAGGCTGGAAATCCAGACTTTCAGCTAAAGTAAGTGGAGATGTAGAAGCCACACTCAGTGCTTCTCCAGGGTGGTGTGTGAAGAACCCCTTCCTCTGAAAGGATGACCTTGACCCTTCTTGCCTGGGACTGAGTCACCCATCTGAGAGACGGCACTTCTCACCCAGGAGGAAGAAAATCTGCTTTAGAACACAGCGCTCACCCCCCTTTTCTGGCCTTCCTTCCATTCATAAGATCTGGTGGTATGGGCTGTGGATGGCATCGTGATTTTAATGTTTGTTTTGGCCTTTGTCACATCCTCATTCCTTTAGCTTTTAAGTTCAGCTTCTTTTGGCTTTTCTCCAGTTGTTAACCAAGCTTAAATTTAGAATGATAAGACCAGGTTTCTCCCCCTGTAGTTGAATTTATAAACATGTTCACCAAATCGTAACAATACTTCAGCTTTCAGAGCTGATTTCATGTAAGCCTGTTGTTAGCAGAGGGTGTCCCTGGGTTCCATTCTCTGAGAATGTCAGGGAGTCTGAGAGAAGATGAGTTTACACGAGATAGCAACACATGTGCCCCTTTATCTTCTGGTGTGTGTATCATTAATCTAATTGTCTTCCCTAACTAACGAATCATCTTAGTCTTATGATTTGTTCCGCATGTATTATGTTTATTGTAGAAATGTTTATATAACATGCTTTCCATATCAGGGAAAATCATATCTGTTTAAAAAATTGGCTATAACTTTATTATCTGTGGACAACTTGTAAAATTTGGAATGTAGCATATGTAAAAAGTTTAAAGATATCCAAATAAATGCTTTAGGTGTTGACATTACTTTGCATCTGCCTACATTTTCTTCCTGTTTTGTTTCACACAGTTAAATGCAGTGGAGGTGTTCCACATGTCACCTTGCTATAGATAAAGTGGGACACCTGTATTAGCTTGAAATTTAAGATGCTTATATTATTAGTGTCAGTTATGGCTGTTGGCCAAACGATCTTGACCTTCTGAAGAAAGCTTGATCATCATTTCAGCTGATTAAGTTTCATATTCACTGACTGTGACAGCTTGTGACCTTTCTGAACCACTGTGGACCTCAAATCACTGGGAAAACAGGGCACTCAAAGTCTCTCCCAGCTCCAAGTCATTTCCTCCAAGAAGGGTTAAACTCTTCTTGCTTATTCTTACGTAGTGATCTCCAGGTCCCTGTTCTAACACACTCCCCAGACACTTCCTGCTTAGAAAAGACACATGTACGAAGGAAGCTACATCCTATATTTGCAAGGGAGTCATTGCCTATGAAAGTTCTGCTGTGCTCTTGAAAATCCTCTTAAAAGGAAAGCATCAAACTAAAAACACTAGGTTTCTCTGTCTCCTGGTCATTAATGCTGCTCCTAGCTAGCTTACTACCTTCCCTGGTCCTAATGTCATCAGCTCCAGGACTCATTAATTCCCTCTGACATGCTCCTTCCTTGCTTTCTCCCTGCTTTTGTTTTTTGAGTCAGGTTTATTGACGTTTATTTTCCAAATAGTAAAATTCACCCTTTCTAGTGGATGGTTTTATGCATTTTGACAAATGCATACAGTTGTTTTAACAAGCCACACTCAAGAATAGAATAATTCCATCACCCAGGAAGTTCTTTCATGCCCTTTTGTGGGCACCTTCTCCCCGCATCCTGACCCTTGACAACCACTAATTTTTTTCTGTCCCTTTGTCTTGCCTCTTCCAGAATGTTATATAAATATGTCATATATGTAGAGTTTTGAGTCTGGCTTCTCTCTAAGAAGACTGATGCATTTGAGAGCCGTCCACGTTCCTTTTGGTTGCTGAATCAGTTGCTGAATCGTGTTCCATTGTGCAGATGTATACCCACTCACCAGGTAAAAGACATTTGGGCAGTTTTGGGTGGTTATGAATAGAACCATGACAAACAATCCTGTTATAGGTTTTTGTATGGACCTGAGTTTTCATTCCCGTCAGGCAAATAGCTAGGAGTTGACTCATCTTAATCCACTCTACACCATCCTCACACTTTGACTTTGCTGCTTACTTATACGCATCCTCTGATTTGAAGGACAAGATATAATGCCATCAGGAGTTAAGGGCTGATATTTCCTCCCTTCCAGCCAGTCTCATGTCCTCTGAACACCAAGAGGGCATCTGCTCTCCCCCTGAACCTCCGTGTTATTCCCCCACATTCCTAGTCCTTAACAACGGTGCTGCTGGCTTGCCACACTGACATCAGGAGCCTTTTTTTTTAATGTAGTAGCAGGTCAGAGACCATAATTGTCATAGTGCCCCCCTCCCCACCCCACCCCCCGGCCTCTGGCTAAGCTGCAAACCTGCTGACCTAGCATTATAGGTGCCCAGACGAGGGGAGGCGGGGGAGTGTGCGGAGCAAGCCCCTAATCTTATTAACCTGAATTGAGGTTACTAAGGGTTTATTGGCTGGTGGCTCAGTCCTGGGCTTGAAAATATTGCAAGAGGCTGTGGGCTCTTGAGCTGAGGCTGCAGACACTAGGACACTTATCTTCCTAAATGTTGGGAATAAGTAGCTATTACTACTTCACTATGGAGTAATTGTTTCAGAAATAAAAGTTCTAAGGCACTGTCTTTACCTCTCACCCTTCCCCAGGGCTAGGCTGACAGGACTTGAAAAGCTGGCTGAGTCCCTTGGGAGAAATGAACCTACATTGGCCCAAAGAAAGACTGAGGTTAGACATAAGGAAAAACCTGGTCCCAGTCTTGCTAGGCACTGGTAGATGACCAAATGAGATGGGCAGCTTCCTCTAGCAACTACCTGGCTACCTGAGAAGACTGTGAGAATGCAGCCCACCCTAAGTCTGTGTAATGAGAAAAGAGCTACTGTGAGTTGCTGCCTGAGCATTTACAGTTTGACAGCCCTGCTCAGGTCATTTAGATAAGGAGCTTAGGTTTCCCGTCCCTGGAATTCCTGCTTTGCTTTTCCCGTCCCTGGAATTCCTGCTTTGCTTTTCCCGAAGCACGTTTCAAAATAACCACTTAGAGTGGAGCCCGTCCCAACCACTTCTTAAGTAATAGGTGCTTGCTACCCTGCTGTCTGTCTCCTGCTCTCGAGACCTGGAATGGAGGACCCCCCTTCCACTGGCTCATTGCACACACACCCCTCGCTTCTGTTCTGGGACCTGCGAGTAATAGACCTTGTGAATTTACTCCCTTTGTATGAGTGCCTTGAAACTGCCTTCGATCGAAACAACCCTGGGGTTTTCACTTCCCCAAAGTGGGAGCTGGGATGCTGAGGGAGCTACCTGCCAACCCTGTGTGGGTGGCTTAGTGCCCCCTCATTCAGCGGGTCATAATCTGCATGTTCTTAATTCAGTACGCCAGCTCCAGGTCCCCTGCACAGTCTGCTCTGAACCAACTGGTGGTGTTTATTGTGGGATCATTTTCCCCTTGATCCTCCCAACAGCTCTCAGATTCTGACCAGAGCAGGGGGGATAGAAAATGGAATTTTTGCTTAAATCACTAAATTAAGATTCCACATACTAAAATATTGAACTCAGCTCTGGTCCAAATTCTAGCAAATGTTGAGATTATTTGGATAACCTAATAGTCCCTGTTCTTGCAGATAAGAGATAGCAAGAGGGAGAGAGGTGACACCCACGCTGTTGAAACAGCTGCCGTGATCATTAGCAGTGCTACCTTTCAGTGTCAGGTTTGGTTTGGTTTTGTTAACAAATGTTAGCAAGAATCAGGGATCCTGTGCTACATACATGTAGCACATACATTTAAGACAGGCACTTAACAAAATGATTTTCATACAATATAATTTTTAATGTCTATTGTACAGCTGTCAACAGCATCGTTATACGTGTGGACCTAGAGCAGCATTTTCTTGATGGTTCTCAGCGCTCCTGGGAGGGGAGAGCTCCGGGACCCTCATCAGAGGGGCTGACTCCCTCAGTGTTGTCCATGTGGGTCATTCCTTGGTCTCCACACTCAGAAGTCAAATTGAATTAAATCTGGGACCAAAATCTGACAGAATGTCCAAACATCTTTGATCTGGTCTTAAGCCTGAGAGAATTAGAGCCCCAGAACATACCCCAGGCAGCACCAGAAGTCTTATTTTTTCCACACTGAAAACTCCTAGGACAGCAGTGAAATCATTCCCTCCTTCCCCTGAAAGCTTCCTTTCTCTCTTTTTCCAGAAGGAAGTAAAAACTTCTTTTGCAGTTGCTAGCATGGGAAGATGAGCTGTCTCAAAGAATCTTCTTTAATGCGGAGGCATTCGGGAAATACCGTTTTGCAGGATGGGTATCTGGGGCAAGAAGCAGGACGAAGCTCGCAGAGGACTCTGTCCTCCACTGTAGACAGTGTTGTCCGTGGGGCCTGTCACGGCACCTGTGTGGGCGTCCCAGGAGGTGAGGCCTGGTCTCCAAAGGGTGGACTCTTGTCTGATTGTTGCTCCTCTTCCACAGAAGGGCAGCCGTCTAACCCAGTGCTTCCATAGATGAGCCAAAGGAGGTCACCCGGCAGTTTAGCCAGAACATGCCTACAACCCAACTCCCTCAGCCCGTGGCTCACTCCTGGCCAAGTGACTGAGGGCTTGTGAAGGTGACACAAAAGCTGTATTTTTGCTGAGGGACATAATCCCCTCTCTCTAAGTTCTCTTGCCTCACGATTGAGAATTCCTCTTTTGAGCCCTCAGTCCTCTGGAGAGACCATTACTCTTAGAAAAGTGTAACTGTCCCTCACCTTCTGTAATTACATAAAATGGCTGATGTGTCAATCTTCGCATTTGAAAAACATGACAGCGTGGCCAGTACATCTTTCAGACTCTTACGCTTATGCATCAGGTGACCCTTTGGATATAGAATGAAGCGACTCGGAGCTCAACGTAACAGCCAACTCATAAAAAGGGCAGCCCTCAGGTGTAGCCAGTAGCCTCAGGGTGGAACTGAATTCCTGTGCCATGAGGAGTCATCCACTGAGAGGCCCCCCTGAGTCCACCGCGAGGGTGCGTCCTAGGGCAGTGAGCCTGAGTGGGACTCATTCACTCACACTTTGGACAGTCATTCAACGGAAGTTTTTAGAGACCCTGAATTTTAAATCCCACCATCCAGAAGAGTCTCTGTGAGACGGCCACCCTCCTTGGGAGATTCATATTGGATCGGGGGTATCCGCGTTTCCTGGAGTCCACTACTTTTCAGTGTTCAGAGGGGAGGGGCTCCCGCGACCGTCAGCCAGCCTCTGGGGCCTGGCCTGCATCCACACCCTCGGCTTCCACCTGGTTACCCTTGCCCAGCTTCTTCAGGCTCTCCAGAAAGGCCTTCCAGGTCTCCGGAATGCTCTTCTCCAGAAGCCAGCCCTCACTCTCGCACTCGGGGTCTTCGGGGTTGGCCACGCCTTCCAGCGCCGTGTGCAAGTAGCGCAGCCCGATGGTGATGGTCACCTGTGTGGGGAGAGGAGACTTAGTGGAGATCTGGGAGAAGTAGCTGGGGCAGGGGTTACCAGGAAACCATGGCAGCCACCAGCCTGCTCATCCTGGGAGCCCTTCAAACAAGGTACTGTTGGGGCTGGGTTGGCGAGGCCCTGCCCGCCCCAGCCAGGCCTGGGTGCTCGCGATCTGCCTGTGCTCCAGCCTCATCTCAGACCCCATTCTCCTCCCTTTCCAGTCACCCTGGGTTTCTTTGGATCCTGCCCACACCCAGCCTTTCTCCTCTCCAGTTTTACCATTTGCTGTTTTCTCTACTTAGAACATTATGGGTGCCCCTGCACCTGAATTCTCCCCTCTTTGCCCTCAGGTCTCCCCCTTCCTGGGGGCATTAATCCTGGGCTCCTTCTCTCTGTGTCCACCCCCACCCCCACCCCGTTCCTGGCACGTTGCTAGGCACGTAGCAGGTGCTCAGCAACTATTTGCTGGACAGAATTAGAAAGTCCTCTCCTTTTCTGCAAACAATAGTGATATACGGTTTCCCTCTACTTGTGTTATTGTGATACTAGAGCATGAGTGGGTGATTTGTTTGGATTTGCTCACTGGAAGTCACTGCAGCAGACTCTGGTGCCAGAATGCCTGGGTTCAAACCTCAGCCCTGGCACTTAGCCAGCCATGTGACCAGGAAACCTCAGTTTACTCATCTGGTTTGCAGATTTTCAGATGAAGTACTGCCTGCTCCATGGGCATGCTGTGATGCTTACATATGTGTAGAGCATGGTACCTGGTGCACAGCAGGGATGAATAGGAATATCAGCTGTAGTTGGTTATTAGTGAGCATGGTAAGTACTGTTTCCACTCTTCTAACCCTGTATTGTGTTAGCCACTTGTTTCTACACAAATTCCTGGTTTGCTGTCTTACACTCTTCCTTTGATGGTATAGCAAACTCTGTGAGAGGCCTAGGCCCACTAATGGAGAACATCCACCCCCTGAGGGCAGGGGTGGCCCTGATGAATCTTGTTCACCTGCTGTCCCAGCCCCTACAACAGCACCCAGTGGTGGTAGGGCCTCAGTAAACGTCTGTTGAATGAATGCTCTGGGAGCATTTTATAATTACAGCAGTAGATGATAATAGTAACGAATAGTTTTAGGTTATTGTTGACTGACAGTTTAATAAGATATTTTTACAGTGGAAAGACTCACCTCCAGGAAGTCCTCCTGGTGTGCATGTACCCACTCTGATTCCTTCCTGCTTTCCTCAAGAAGGCCCCCTGTTGCACTATGAATTTTCTGCTAGGTAATGGTCCCTTTGGTTCATGAGTCTGATGTGGACTCATGGATTGTGAGACCCAGGAGGGCAAGGCTGAGGGCAGGATCTTATCAGCCCCCCTTGTGCCCATCACAGAGCTCTGCCCACTAAAAGACTCAGGGGAAAAGTGAAAGGGGATTAAAACTCCCTGTTCCCAGTGAACAGTTCCTCTCCTTAAGCGGTCACTAGGTTCCTGGAAAGGTGGGTAAACTGAGAGGCAGCCAATGGAACTCCATTTCCCCACTGACATCATTTATCCTTTCAGTCATCTTTTCATGTGTTTTCAAGGGATGCAAACTTCTAACCTTCTAGCAGTAAGCTTCTCTCCTTATTCTACCCACATATTCCCAAGACTCTGCCTCAAGGAGCTGGTGACTAATAAATCATCACGAATATGCTTGCGTTTGCCTTAATGTGAAAAGAAGGCCTTCCTCCCCATCTCACCCCCTCAACAGGCAGTACAGTTCTTCTGGTGTGATGTGGTAAGTTAGAAGTGGTGCGTCTCAGCTGAGAGCCCAGCTATGTGTGAATTTCCATAGCACTAAAGATTGACTTATTTAAGGGAACCTTTCAGTGAATCTTCTCTGATGGACAAAGTTTCCCCACCTAATGTTTCTGGTTTTGTACATTTAGGTTTTGGAGTTTGGGTTTCTGCTGTCAGCTCAAAGCATGAGCCCATGAGTCACACTCTGTGCCACCTTGGTTTACCCCTCGCTGACAGTGGGCTCTCGTTCAGCACCCAGGACAGCGCCCAGCACTCGTAGGTTTTTGAGAAACTATTTCTTCAGTAAATGAATGAATGAGGGCTTGCTATATCCCAAGACCTGCAGCTACAGAGAGGAATTAAACCTAATAGATGAGATAAGATGAACCTACAAATAATTAGAATACCAGGTAAATTGCTACCAGAATCTCAAGAGAAGCACAAATCATTGACTGAACACTTTGATGTGCCTGTATCTCCTGTTGCCTCCCAATAGTTCCAAAGCTAAATGCTGGCAGTCCCCTATAACAGAGATGTTAAATAACTTTCCGAGTCCTTAGACTCAAAAGGTGGAGACACAGGATAAACCTCTGAAACATGCAAAGTGAAAGAAGCCAGACCTAAAAGGTCACATATTATATGATTCCCTTTATATGAAATGTCCAGAATGGATAAATCCACAAGGACAGAACACAGACTGGTGGTTGCCAGGGGCTTAGGGGGAGGGGAGGAGGTGGACTGACTGTTTAACGGGTATGAGGTTTTTTTGAGGGGGCGATGGAAGTATTTTGGAACAAGGTAGAGGTGGTAGTCACACAACATTGTGATTGTACCAAATGCCACCAAATTGTTCACTTTAAAATGGTTAATTTTATGTGCTGTGAATTTCAACTCAACGAATTCTTTTTTTTAAGTGATGGGACAGAAACAAAAAATAGAGGTGCTGGTATTCAAGCCTGGACCTGCCTGCATGGCGGGCAGAGGGCTGGTTCCCAGGAGGGAGACCCAGGCCCAGCTCCACTCCATCAAATCCCAATGGGGCCCTCTTGCCCTGCCCCCCACCAGCCCAGGGCCTACCTCAAAAAGCCAGACGAGGAGCGTCACAGCGCCCACGGAATTCATGAGGTTGCTGTAGTAGCTCAGCAGGGCGGCCCTGCAGCCGCGCACCCACAGGTTGAGCTCCTCCGTCTGGTGGTCATAGCTGTAGTGTGCAGAGTTGTTGGTGAGCTGGTACTGGATACAGGGCCGTGGCGAGCTGGGGTTGCAGCAGCTGAAGGGGACTCCATCCACCAGGTACCGCCCATCCACGTTGCTCTTGATGCGACTGGAGGAGAAACAGACGGCTTAAGACCAGCTTCTTGAACTTCTCACCAGGGGCCAGCTCCTCCCATCCCCTTCTGAAAATCTGGAATATTCATTCATTCATTTGCTGTCTTGAGAAATATTTACACCGACTATGCGCCAGCCACTGTTCTAGGTGCTGAAGATGGAGCAGTGACCCTAGAGAGCCAACGCCCCAGCCTTCCTGGAGCTTATGTTTAGAGGGTTAAGATAGATGATAAACCAAGAGGCAAGTAAATAAGGAACAAACGTATTCTAGCCCTTGTGGAGCAATGGAGACTCAGCAAGACCTAACAATGACATTTCAAGAATTCTGCGGACCTGCTGATCCTGAAACTGCCTGGCGTTTACGTCCTGGAAGCCTCTGAGCAATCTTTGGTAAAACTAAGATCCAGGATGCTGTTCACCGTACTGATTTGCCAGAGGATGGCCTGTTAGAGGTTCAGGATTTCTTCAAGGTCCTGGATAACTAGCGGTATAGATAGTAAAGAAGTCACAAGTTGGGGCATTTAGACAAGAGTGAGTCACACACGTGAGAAACGTGTTCATTCTTTTATTGCCCATTGTTTTAACCTGACTGAATACAAGATCGACAAGAGCACTGTACTCCTGGCAATTATTAGGTGTGTTGGAACATGGATGTTGCACTGTAGACAACATTTAACACCAGTCTGTGGAGTACTGCATTGTAAACTGCAAAATAAAGATTTATTTTTAAAAAGAATCAACCACTCTGTGCTGCCAGGCCCTGGCATGCAATGATTTCTTGGGTCCGTGCCAAGCTGGTAGGAAGAGTAGCAGGACAGGTGGTGACTGTTGAGACAAGACTGCCTAGCATTCATGACCATCAACTTCAGCACCCAGCCCCCTCCCCAACCTCATCTCCTCCTTACAGATCACTGGGGACCAAGGTCCCCTCTGGCCAGATCACTTTTGCTCAACAGATGTTTCCAGAAGGCCTGCTCTGTCCCTGGGCCTTTGCAGGAGCAGAGAATGGGTCTTTGCCCATGGCTTGCTCTCCATACACACTGACCTCTGCCCCCAGCTGGGTGGGAGCTCCGTACTCACCTGAAGGATGCAACTTGCACAACTTTTGCATCTCTCTACTTATACATATATTTGGTTAGAGCACACCATACATTCATGCAGGTTCAAAATTCAAAAGGGGCAGCCATCATTATAATGAAAATTCACTCCCTCCCCATCAGGCAGGCTGGGTATGTTCCATCTGACCTGTTCGTGGTTACCCAGGCAACTTTACGTGTCAAAATTAATGGAGGGAATTCCCCGGCGGTCCAGTTGTGAGGACTCCGCACTTTCACTGCCAAGGACACAGGTTCAATCCCTGGTCAGGAAACTAAGATCCCACGAGGCACATGGCGCGGCCAAAAATTAAAAAAAAAAAAAAAAATTCATGGAGCTGCACACTTAAGATTTGCACCCTTGACTGTGTACATGTTATCTTGAGTAAAAAAGGTTTTTTTTAAGTTGCACATGAACAATGCATTACATAATAGCAGCAGACTTTTACAGCACAAGGATAGGGAGCATGTAATTGTTCATGATAGAAATTGTTTCCAACAATGTTCATTGAAATGGTAATTAATTATACTCTTTAAAAAACAGATGTTCGTGTTCAACTTCTAAATAAAATACCCTCAATACAAAAAAGTCTCCCACTCATTCTTGTCCCTTGGCCCCCAAGTTCCCTCACTGTGGCCAGCTCTGTCTGTCCTTTCACAGAAGCTTCAAGCATGGATAAGCTCAGATTTTGCAGAGTTCTTATTCTTCCTGTATGTTTGTTTGTTTATCCGAATGGTAGCATTATATACACACTGTCTTGAATCATTTTTTTTCCCTTAGCAATACCTTAGAGTTTTTTTTGTTTTTTTTTTGCGGTACGCGGGCGTCTCACTGCTGTGGCCTCTCCCGTTGTGGAGCACAGGCTCCGGACGCGCAGGCTCAGCGGCCATGGCTCACGGGCCTAGCCGCTCCACGGCATGTGGGATCTTCCCGGACCGGGGCACGAACCCGCGTCCCCTGCATCAGCAGGCGGACTCTCAACCACTGCGCCACCAGGGAAGCCCCCGCGAGATCTTTTTATATCTGTCAAATGGAGAGTGTTCTCCAGGTTTTAATGAGGTGCATGGTGTCCCCCTTGTGCAGATGGCCCATAGGGTACTATCCATTTCCTATTGATGGACATTTGGGATTTTCCCAGTGTCTTGTTATTTTTTTTTTCTTTTCTCTTTTTTAACTTATTTATTTAATTTTTGGCTGCATTGGGTCTTCGTTGCTGCGTGTGGGCTTTCTCGAGTTGTGGCGAGTGGGGGCTACTCTTCGTTGCGGTGCGTGGGCTTCTCATTGCGGTGGCTTCTCTTGCTGCAGAGCACGGGCTCTAGGCGCGCGGGCTTCAGTAGTTGCGACGTGTGGGCTCAGTAGATGTGGCACACGGGCTTAGTTGCTCCGTGGCATGTGGGATCTTCCCGGGCCAGGGCTCAAACCCGTGTCCCCTGCATTGGCAGGGGGATTCTTAACCACTGTGCCACCAGGGAAGTCCCCCCAGTGACTTGTTAATACAAACATGGACATGGGTCATTTTGCATATTGGGAATATATCTAGAGGATCAATTCCTAGAAGAGGCATCTCTGAATCAAAGGGTCCACCTGTGATTGCACCCGAGCTCTGCCATATTTCTCCTCTCGGGGGTTGTACAGTCACACCCACACCAGCCAGACCCACATAAGTCCTGTTTTTGATCTTTGCCAACCTGACAGATGAAAAGTAATATCTCAGAGTCGTTCTGATTTCTGTTTTTCTCATTATAAGTGAAGTTAAGTATCTTTTGATGTGTTTAAGATCCATTTGTGGTTTCTTTTCAGTGAACTGTCTGCTGATCGGTATGATTAAGACCTGAGGAAGGCTCTGAAAAACGTGGCCTCCTTGGTTCCAGAACAGTCCTCGCCTGGGTTATGGCGACCGTATTTCCACACACCCTGTAGTCCCTGCCCTCTGTTTCATGGTCAGAGCCCACTGCGCAGAGAACAGCTGGCCCTGGATGCACAGGTGGTCCAGGACCAGGACCACGATAAGAGCAGGACAGCCTGAGTTTACTCCTGGTTCATCCCTCTGGAAAAATTCCTTAACCTCGCCAGGCCTCAGCTTACTAATCTGTAAAATGGAGTTGACATAAGAGTTGTATGAAGGGATCCACGTAAAGAGGCTAAGAAGAGTGCTTGGTACTAAGTGTGTAAGACATGTGGACGCCTGGGCTAGGGCTGGGAAGGGTGACAGAGCAAGAGACTTCACGTGAGCTCTGTGTGTCGTCGGGGAGCAGCTGTGACAGTGGAACAGACCACATGACACCGCTGGGGAATAGTCTCTTGTGCGTAGGTGGTGTGGCCTCTGCCAGCTGTGGAGAAGAGTGCCTTCTGTGACCAAGACTGCAAGGGCAGGGACTTCCCTGGTGGCGCAGTGGTTAAGAATCCACCTGCCAATGCAGGGGACATGGGTTCGAGCCCTGGTCCAGGAAGATCCCACATGCCACGGAGCAACTAAGTCCATGCGCCACAACTACTGAGCCTGTGCTCTAGAGCCCATGAGCCACAACTACTGAGCCCGCGTGCAACAACTACTGAAGCCTGTGCGCCTAGAGCCCATGATCCTCAACAAAAGAAGCCACAGCAATGAGAAGCCCGCACACCACAACTAGAGAAAACCCACGCACAGCAACGAAGACTCAATGCAGCCAAAAATGAATAAATAAAATATTTTTTAAAAATTAAAAAAAAAAAGACTGCAAGGGCAGAGCTCAATGCCAGCCTGAGGCAGGGGCTGTGAGACATTTGTCCAATGATGGGAGTGGCTGCTGCTGAAGCTGAACTGCACCGAGCGCCATGGGAGCAGCTCTCCCTGCACAGCCCCGCACGGCACCTGGTTCCGCTGGCTGGGGTGGTCCTGGGTGGTCCCAGTGGGAGGACTGGAGCAGAGGCCCTTCAGCTTGGGGCTCCCACCCCCTTCTGAGGGGTAAGCCAGCCCCATCCAGGACTGAGCAGACGTAGTCTCCTACCCCTAGGACCAACCCCAGCAGGCCTGGTCCCCAAATGCAAACACTGTTCGTCCTTCTTCCTGACCTGCAGGCTGTCCCTGGAGCCCGCTTCCACCTGCACAATGTCC